TGCAAATGGCTTTTACATATTTTAAAAATATTAAATAATTTTCATCGTATATCGCATATTAAGAACACCTCTCTCACTAATTACTTAGAATATAAATAAGATTATAAACTGATGTAAATATCAGTAAATCTGTGCTTTCCTTGGTGACTCTTGGTGACAGAGGATCATGAAAGGTGAATTACAAAGTACAAAAGAGCGAATTCATCCGAAATATATATATCCTTCTCAATATCTCGACTGAAGTATAATATTGACCTCGTCGTCACGACTTGCCGCGTTGGCTTGTAAATCAATAAAGTCGCTACGCTGGAAACAATACTTTTTCATGTAAAATATGAGTGTCATTGTCCCTCGTCGCTATGATTAATAGTTGAAAAGGGAGAAGGAAAGGAAAAGTAAAATGAGTTTTAAGTAAACGTGTTCACGCTTGGTGACTAGTAGTAACATTCGGAAAAATTGTTGTCCGAGGCACTTCGTACCGATGATACGTGGCCAAGCGTAAAATTATTTGCTAAAAGTAGCATGCAAATTATATCTGCGTGGCGGTAAATTTTTTTTTGTAAAATTCGAAGTCATTTTTATTTTTCATGATCTGTACAAGTAACTCTTGCATTTTCTAATTGAAAAGCTATTCTTAAATAGATAAAAAAAAACTTCACTCTCGAAAATTGTAGTGTATAATTTTATAAATTATCTAGTTAGTATTATGTGGAATTGATCGTTTTACTTGAAATAATAATTCTTCTAATTGTTATACATTGTTTATATATAATTAATACTAGCCTTACATTGCCGTAGAATATCAATATTATAATATAATTCATATTTGAATTAACACTGTTGTTAATATTATATAATGCCTGTACTAAATGTTATTAGGAATAACATTTGTTAAAGCATGAATAAATCGCATATCTTAAATATTTCTAGCTGGATGAAATACTGATTTGATTTTATGAATCTAGATTGGAATATATAAATATACAGTAATGTTATTCCCTTAATCAAATATTTTCAGTTGAAATGTTTATTTACGTTGATAATTGCTTTTTATAATATGAAAAATAGTATACATTTTACATTCATGTAAAAACGAAATGAATAATAAAAGAACCAATATTCATAATATAGTTTATTGTAAAAATATTTTAAAATGTAAATATTTTACCAAAATTCACATAACCATTAGTTACGAGTAACAAATTTTGTACGTAGAATTCTAAATATTACGTCGTAAATATTGAAAAACTTATTATAATTGACGTTTTAGATAATGAATTTTGTTTTTCTAATAAACTCCATCGTTTCTTCTTAATTAAGTTAAGAAAATGGCATTTATTGAAAAGAAATATTTACTTTGTCGACATCATATTAATTTACAAACTCCTAATTGGACAAAATATAAAAATAACTTGTGGTGATAATGAACTTGATCAAAGTAAGCTTGGATAAATAAACTTGTTATTTAAACAATATAAAATTATATAAATTTTTTCCATATAAATTAATGTTGCCATGTTTAAGTTACAAAAGTGAACTGCAAAAAATAGAGATTATGATTTTAAGCGACACGACTACAAAAAAAGTTATCACGTGTATTTTCAAAACATAATATTTCTATCGGATATGTCAATGATATAAAATTTTTAATTCGATGCAAAAGCAGAAATGAAATTTTTTCAATTCGACAACGATGAGGAGATGGAAATTATACATCATGATATATATATATTCATGCACACATAATGTAATATTACATTGCTAATATTAAATGCTATCTATTGTACTATTCTTAAACAAGAAGCGGACAATTATATTCCATCAATAAGGAGAAATTAGCTGATGATTTTTAAGAAACGGCGCCCTCTAATCAAACATTTGGACGTTTGAAAGAATGGAGTGTGTTACGTTAATGAAACAGCGATAATTGTTTGACATTGACTTTGTCGCATGGCCTTTTCTCCAATAACTCGCGCCTTATTCCCGTTTACGGTCTTTGCGCTCAACGGCACGGAAAAAATTGAGGCTATTACCGATCGAGTGCACGTGTCGAAACTCCCATGTAAGTATTCATTTTATGCTTCGCAAGGTTGTAATCAAGTGTCTTCGCTTAAGATGACTTGTGATTTCCAATATCTTTTGCCATTTTGTGAAATTCCAATTGTGATGCTCAATTGATTACAGTACATAAATAATCGAGGAAGAGTATAATAGTGTCGTTATAGGATAAGAAGCATCGTATAGCTGTAGTATAGTACCTATTTCATAAAGCTTTGATTTAAAAAAAGAAACAATGCTTACGGCTGCCATAGAATAAAGTATCGTATTATCTTGAATATCGTACTTATTTTAAAGAAATTGTAATTTTTGTTTTATTAGAAGAATTGCCTCGTTTGTAACAGAATTCCATTATGTAAACAAACATATTGAATATTGATTGATATTTACTTTTCTTACAAGTCTCATATAATAGATAAAAAAAAGAAATAATGGTATTATTTTCTACACCGTACGCGTATTGAGAAAATTGAATATCAATACAGGCATATGAGTAACTAAAAGTTGGTTAACTCGGATGATAGTGTAATCAAATAATTAGATTATAATTATTACAAAAGGTGTGTATCTTTTAACGTGTAAAGGGAAATTTTGCATATATTTCTTATGAATAACATGGTTGTTTATTTACAAATTGCATAGTAGAATGATTTCAACTCATTAAAACTGTGAACTTGGCAAATCAAAATCGAGATAAATAATAACTTTCGAAGCCATGTACGAAGTACTGCTATATACGAATATGTACATTAATTTTTAACAAAGAGCAATCATGAAATGTATATTAATAGCAGTGATAGTATTGTGGACAACTATACTTAAATGACATAACAAATGTGTAAATATCTCGACAAGAAGCCAGAAAACAGTGAATCTTTCTATTCATGAAAAGGATGATAATGTCAGCTACCGATTCAAGTTGCATTATGATCATTAAATTTATAATTTGCTCGCTCATAATTCGAATACAATGTCATTATGTGCGCGCTTGGCCTTAAAATACAATGGAAGGCGGATGAGAATAAAAATCATTGACTCGTTCATGTTTCAACAATATGCTATGAAACTAACGATTACGAGATTTTACAACGGCAGGACTGAACTTGGCTCACGTTAAATTTCAGGACCCTCACAGGCGCATGCGCCCCATCAGCTGTTGCCCAATATGGCAATGTATACTTCTTTCCATTTTGACAGAGAGCAATAACGACAAGATTTCATACGAACGGACGTTTGTCTAGATAACGTTTCGCTGACTTTCTTATGAAATGCGCGGCAATGAAAGACTCACTTGCCATTACGTAAAAGTAAGCCGGTGCATCGAATTACCTGGGATGTAGGTGCTTTTTTTCTATTGGCGTGTTTTTCTCGGCTCTATTTTCACTTTCCTGCACTTCTGTTGCTTTAGAAACATTGAATGTATATGAGAAATCGCGAAATGTGATTCATCAAGATTTATGAAACTATATTTTTCAAATGCTATTATCGAAGCGTCTTATTTGTATTTTTGAATAAAAATGCTTTCTCTCGCATTATATGTTTTATTTGAAATTGATTAATTGTCATTGAAGTTTTATTATATCCTGCACCGCTTTGATTCAAATATATTTCAACTGATAAAGTAATGTTAAAGAAAGAATATCGATTTTCAGTTCATTTTCAATGAACAGTTTTTTCCTTTTCCCTATAATTCAAACTATTGAAAGTATATTTGATACATTGAATTTTTAATAGAACTTGGTAGATAAAAAATACTTTATCATTAAATATCAATTTTATTCGATACGGGTGTATGTGCGTGTGTGTGCGTGCGTGCATATATAAGATAAAATAAATAAGCGTATAATTTTATATTTTTGTAATATATTCAATGTTCGATTAAAATAAAATGTATTGTGTACTTTTGATGCCAAGCGAAATCACACATATATATCTATTCGCTAAAGTTGTAAATCTTTCTGTTTCATACTTTTATTTGATTACAGTGCAGACATTAAATGGAAGTTTAAAATACTTTCAATAAAAGTACTGTTAGATCAACTTTTATAGTGCTGAAAATTTGTCATATGTACGCAATTTTTTAATCTTTTACAATACAATCAATTTATTATTTATATGGTATATTAATTTCTTATTAAATAAAACATACAATAGAAGTTAAACATACTATAGAAAACATACTATAGAATTTATAGAATAATTATTAGAATGGTAATTTTTATTATTCAATAAAATGTACCTTCATGGGTCTAAATCAGTCCGATTTCATGTAAAAAATACAATACATTTAGTTTTTAAAAAATAAATTAATTTAATATAATAACATCGATTTTCCTATAAATTCAATTTTTTTAATTTGTTGAATAGTTTGCATACAATTTGATTTTCTTTAAACAAATAGATTGGCTATTAACATATTTAAACGAGTTATTAATTTTTCAATAATTAAATTAAAATTTGAAGACTAAGAACATATTTACGCTTATAATTCCTTTTTGAAACCGTTCGATTTGCATGTTTTTTTCATAAAATTACACGAATATGTGATTTAATATTTTAAGAAATTAATTTCGTATTAAATTGTAACATTTGATGGTGTGTTGTAATCGAGATAAACGCTGTTCTGTATCTTTATAAAACAAAAAAGCAATTTAATGTTGACAAAGGAGTATTTTCTTTGTAAAGAAATAAAATCGTGATTATTATCTCAACAGTATAAACAGTAGTAGCATAAGGAATATCCTTTATTTTGCACTTGACGAGACTAATCATCTCCTCTTACATTTCCTACTATTCTGTAATAGATTCGATTAATTGCTATGAAATTCGAGCTAAGTTAATCGCAGAATAAAATAACAATTTACCCATTCAAGACAGTAATCTCGAAGATGAATTGGCATTAATAATCTCACTAACATTTTACATTTTCAACAACTTTTTAGGTATGATACGGTTGGTGAACGGAACGCCAGTACTTGCCGATCCAACTTCGGAGTGGCACATAATTTTGACCCATTACGGTGGATTAGCTGGTCTGGGCCTGGCCGGAATACTCCTTGCAGCAGTCCTTCCTTGCGTGGGCCTCTTTTTCTGCTGCTGCAGATGCGCCGGAAACTGCGGCGCTCGCAGTGAGCCCTTTGACAAAAAGCACGACCATTGTCGTAAAATCATGCTGAGCGTCATTCTCATCGGTTTCGCAACAATTCTCCTGTTTGGGGTTGTTTGTGCCTTTGCCACCAATGAGCAGATGCAAGAAGGCACGCGCGACTTGCCGAAGGCTGCGCGCACGAGTCTCGGTGATGTCAAGCTGTACCTGGGTACGACCAAGCGTCAGGTCGAGACGTTATTGAAGGTGAATTATGATGAGCTCGAGCTGGCACTCAATGTTATACTGCAAGCAAGTGGGAAAATTGTCACCGAGCAGCTTGCTGAGTCATCGCATGCCGTGTCGCTTATGAATCTAAACGACATTGTCGCCGGACTCGATAACATACGCAAAGATTTAAAGATGATGAATGACATTACAAAAGAACTCAGAAACAACGCTTCCCACCTCGAAATCCGTAATTAAAACTTTTATATGTCTAGCTTTTAATCAGTTATTTAGTGTCACTAACCTTTTATCTCTTTCTCTCTCTTTCTCTCTCTCTCTCTCTCTCTCTCTCTCTCTCTCTCTCTGCTAATTACATAGTTGTCCGGAAGGTACGTGGCAATCTCCTTCAAACCTTGACGAACTGCGGCACGCAGGACTGTAAAGATGTGATGCACAAATACAAGATTAGCGAGATGACGGTTAAAGTGGACTTCGATAAGGTGCATAAACACTTTTATTAAACTTTCTCTAAGTGTCTCAAAAATATCTCACATTTTCTAGCCACTCGATTTACACGATATGCAATATAATAGTTTATTCGTTTTTAACGCAGTACTTGGACCGATACTTTCCAAAGGTACATACATCCACACATTCTGCTCCTGCATAAGTATATAAAATACATCGTTTTTCAAGTTGTCAAGTTTCCATTTTTTAAAAATATTTATTTGCTATTAGTTTCATTTAGACGTTTCAGTATTACTAGTATATGCTATTAATGTACAGAGGCTCTTTTTATAATTGTCATCGAATGACGTATGACTTTGTTACGTATCCTAATACGTGTATATATAAAAAATGTAATGTAAGCATTTTTAACAACTTTGTAAATTTGTTTCGTTTCATGATTGCCAACATAGCTTGATACTGTAGATTACCGGCTATGCATGCGATACCCAATATTTTCTTTATATGCTTGAGGCTCTTGCTGTTATTTCATAATAAAATACTTGCCATTTAGATTTAGATTTGGTATTAAAAAAAAAAAATAAATAATGCATTTCATCCGTGTAAATCTCAATCCCATTTTATCGTGTAGAAAGTAAAAACGTATTTACCTAGCCAGCATGAATCAACGATTATGTAAACGTACTTAGCGATGATGTTAATTCGAAGAAGTAAGCTTACGCACGTACATGGATCGTTGCAGCTACCTGATCTCGATGTCACATATGTGCTTAACAACATTTCACATCTCATGGACGACAATATCGTAATGGAAGTGCGCAAGGGTATGGACCAATTTATGAACATCCAGAAGGAGATACAACAAGCAGTGAACCAAACGATACCGATAGTGAGTGCGAGTATAAGACGTGCCGGCGAATCCCTTGCCACGGTCGCAAGCAACATCATTCAACTAATCGATCGACTCAATATCGACATTGATAAGAAATATGTGCCGCAATTGGAATTCGCAAGACGACATATCGAGCAGTACTCGCCTTACAGGTGTGACAAATTACGGTGAGCGAGACTTGGACAATAGAGAAATTGATGAAACGGATCTCGTTGCAGGTATTACTTGGGATTAGGTATCTCGAGCATTCTCCTAACAGTTCTTATGTGCCTGAGCTTTGGATTATTGTGCGGTATTTGCGGGAAACGGCCGGATGGTTATGGTGATGACTGCTGCAACAAGGGCTCAGGGGCGCGCTTCCTTATGATGTAAGTTTATCTCAAAGGACCTACGTCTTGATTGGATGGATTTTAATATGGGAATGCTTCTAGGGCGGTATGGATAATTTTCCTACTGACGAGTATACTGATGATCATTACGGTCGTACACATGATAACCGGAGTCCTAGTAGAACGGGCGATCTGCGAGCCTCTTAAAAATCCGAGCGACAACAGGATGTTCGAGCTGGTTGACGAGTATTTGCAGATCAAACGAGTTCTATATCCGAAGAATCCGCATGCCGACATAAATATGAGTTATATACTTAAGTGAGTTTGATGGCAAAATCTTTTGAATGGTTTTATTTATCACTGGATATTAAATATATTACTCAATTTTCCGTTTCAGCACTTGCCACAAAAACGAGACGATTTACAGGGTACTGAAGCTACAATATATTATCGACGTAGATTCGTTGAGGGGGTATATCGATCGTTACGATATCAATCAGACAATCCACCAACTGGAGCAAAAGATCAGTCTCTCGCACGATTACAAAATCATAAGCGAAGCGGCGAGAGAGAAACTCAACGCCTTGGCACAAAGTGGATTGAGCGACATTAAATTTTATCAATACACTGAAAATCTGAGAGATAATATCACGAATATTAATCTCGAGCAATTGGGAAGTAAGCTGCTTGATCTGGCCTTGAGATTACCTAGAGGTTACGACAATGTCAAGGAAGACTTGTTAAAAAATGCCTACGATCTCGAAGGGTACCACCGCGACATTGTCAACCCTATGAGCAATTTGAGCAGCTTACTGAGCAGTAGTGCCATAGAGCTACAAGAGCACATCAAATTTAATCATACATCTATGGCACAAGCTATTCATTCTTTAGTCGATGAGGTTGATAAGGCCCAGATATTCATTACCGAAAGTGGACCTGCACACGTTAAAACGGTAATTTATATTATCAACGTAAACTCAGAATATAGTTATAGTAATTATACAAAATATACTTAATTTTGTATAATTAGTTTTGATTAAAATTAAGTCATTAATTTCTTCTTGCATCTGCAATGAATGTGCTAAGACTACATCATACCATAAAGTTACTGGCTTGAATAATAAAGTTTCAAATTTTAAGGGTGCAATAATTCATATGAAAAATAATAATACCATTAATTAATATATTATAACAAAATATTTACATAATTTTATTAGTTGTATTGGATTTTTTTTTAACTTAAGTGAAAATAATTCCAGTACATAAATGAAGAATAAAAAAAAGGAAATTAATAATGAATTTATTTTTGCGTTGAATTTTTAACATCAATAAGTTCTCGATTTTTAATTTTATTTAAAAAAAATAATTCACAAATCAATGTGTAATCATAGAAAATAAAAAAATATATGGTTAAACTAATTATACGTAATTATTAGTAATAATAAAAAATATCAATATATACATATATATTATTTACTTAATTTAATGTTCAGTAATTTCAGAAAATACTATATACATTCATATTTAAAATAATTTTTGTTCAGCTTGCTGCAGAGTTTGGTAAAGCATTTATCTATCAAGTTAATAGCTACCTCAATTATGTGATAAATAATACTCTAACGAAAGTTGGTAAATGTGGACCGATTTCAAATGCTTATAACGCAACAATCGTGTCTGGTTGTAATAAAATCCTAGATCCCTTTGTAAGTATTATTTATTTTCATTACCAAAATAATGTTAAAGTTATTTTCAAAAACATTTTGATTTTTTGCTAATAGAATGGATTTTGGGCAAGTGTCGGATGGTGTTTGGTTCTTTTCATCCCGACAATAGTTTTGTGTGTAAAACTAAGTGCTTTGTATCAAAAGTCAGATCCTTATCCAGGTCCTTTAGTTGAATCGTAAGTATTTTATTCATTTAAATATTTATTCATTTATTGATAAAAACGCATTCTTTATTAACTCGTCAGACTCTTAAGAATTGGCTTAAAAATTTTCTAATTGAGTTTGGCTAGTTTAAAAAAATTGACTTTTGACTCCTATCCGCTTATTGTCACGTAGGAATTATTGTATACTAATATTACATACTATTCCTATATATATAATTATATAAAATTATATAATTTTATTATATATAATATATAATTATATAATAATATAAAAGAGTTTCGCAGAAAAAGATCTTATAAATTATAACATATTTTAATTTGATCGTTCAACGCTGAAATAAAAATTCTTGTAAATTTCCGCTTTGTAATGAATGTTCCTTATTTCTATTGAACGGCATGACTGATCACTATTTACGCTAATAATGTTTTCGCTGTCATTCTTAATATTGATTGATATACGCTATGCGAAATTATACTTTCACATCAATGGTTCTTAAAAATATCAAAGTCTCGCATAATACATTATGAAATATTTAATACTAGAAACAATTTATGTGTTTGATATATTTGAGATTTTTTAAGTATATTATAAATAACATTACGAATATAATAAAATTTTTAAATAATTACGATAATATATTGTTTTGATATTATTCTTATGAGCCATTGTAATCAGTACTCATATCATCAAATTCAATTATAATCACTACAACAGATTTTCTGTTATAAAAACAACTACAATGTATGACTTTTGAAATTACATACTTATTTTATATCGCGTACAAGAGAACAAGTGAACGAATGTTGATTAAAAAAAAAAAAGATTTCAGAAGCAATTCATTTAGTACAATTATTAATTTGCTAATCGAATGTGTGGAGTGGTTGTTTAAATTATTAAACTGCTTAAACGCTCCGTTCCAGTGAATATTTGTATGACGCATATGCGGACAGGGATAACGTGCCGCTTGCTCAGTAAGTATTCAACATCAAGAAAGGAAAATATATATAACGTTAGCATGTCAGAGAATATTCAATTAAGCATGTATCGCACTTATTGAAAAAAGGTTTTTTTGAAACTAAATTTTTTAGTTAACTTTATATTGATATTATATGTAAGAAATAAAACAATAAGTAAATGAAGAAAAGAAAATTATCGATTCTATATGCTTTGAATTAATGAAATGTTTAAATTAAAATTTTTATATTATAATGAACTAATTTAATATTGTACTTTTGTGCACAATGCCAGCAAAATTTGAAATTTTATCAATCTTTCAGATGCCCATAATTTGTTATAGCACAATAAATGAACTGATTATTGTCTATTAGCTAGAAAAACACATTAAAAGTGTATGGAAAGTAATACTAATATCGGCAACTTATTATGTCACGCTTTGCAACAATTATTACATTATCTTGCTTTATCACAACACTCGGTCATTAAATTGCGTCACTATTTAAATAAAGAATACATTTGCCCTTTATAAGCTTGGATATATTATTTCATTATAATTAGTTAACATGATATATTCAAAGCAGATTTCGAGTATTTTAAGAAAACATTGTCAAACTAAGGAAAATTCTACGCTAATTGAAAGTAATATAAAGTAATTTAAGTTAGTCGATAAATATATTTAAAAATGTGAAATTAAACTTTTATATTAAAATTAATTTTTTTCTACGTTGCAATAAATATACGAGAGAAATATACGAGGGAAATATAAGAAAATACTGTCATTAAATACACTCCAAATAAGAATTTATAGAATTATCAGAAGTTATAGAAAACTGACTCGTGTTTAAACATGTCAACTTTCTGATTCGTTTTTCTCCGATTAATTATACATATCATCCGCATTCATACATAATCTCAAGAATATTTTCGCAACAATTTTACTTACTCATCACACATTAATTACTTAAACAAAATAAATAACAATAATGTAAAGTTTTCCTTAGCGCGTTAAAAAGCGCAGCTGCAGATACATCGGAGCGCGCAAGAACTCAAAATACCAAGGAATGTAAATAGATAGCACAGCCATCCGTTAGTTAATGCACAATCGCCGCTTGCTAATCTTACTATTTTAATGTCTCGAATCTCTTGTTTTTTAGCGTCCACGATAAAAAGTACGTAGCTCACGGCAGACATCACCCGGTCGGTGGCTACCCTGAGATCTACAATGGTCCGGCGATCGGTTATTCCGATCGCGAGCATATCGCGGATGCACACCAGAGCTCATCCCACCATGACTCACGATACTCGGACCTGGCCCCCAAGTAAGCCTAACTTAGGATTAATGAAATTACCTGTACAATTCGCGAAACTACCAATCTACCACTATCTATATAATTTGACAACGAGAGTACTTTATCGAGAAGCAGACTTTGTTGCGTTTGATTTTATTCTTCTTTTTCTTTACCGATACTGCAGTACTTGCGTATCCCGCTGAATTTGTTGTAACATTTTTATTTTTTGTTCTTTGATTTTGATTTTTGTTTTTACAAAGAGATAAAGAAGGTTTCACCGATTGGAGCACTGTTTTTAAAAAGCCGAGCATGTATGCACCATTAAACACATTAGTATTAATTCTCGAATCGACATATTTTAATTTTTTTTTTTTTTCAGAAAAAAGTGTCATACAAAAAATAATAAAATAGCTCATTTTCCTTCTTATAATTTGGAGAGTAAGTAAAATATTTCTTGAAAAAGATGAAACAATATAAACATGTTATTGACACTTTCACTAATGTTACCGTTTTATGACAATTACACTTTTTCAACAAGCAATTATTACCATTATGAATAGCCAATGTTCACAGCACACAATATTACTTAAACTATCGAGATAGTACGCTAATTTTTTGAAACATTTATAAAAAAAAATCAAAAAAGAAGGAACAACAAGACAACAATATATTATATATATAATTAGTAGAAAAAAGCTTTTTTTCATTAACTAATTTTATTATGTGCTCTTTCTATTGAATTTGCTTTGCAGTTCAAGCTCGCACAAACTGCACCAACCGTAATAATTGCCTTTTGCTAATTTGAATAATTTTACTAATGCATATGGTACAAAATATTATACAGTAAAAAATTAATGTGATTTTATAAATAATAATTTATTACGCTTATACTCATCATTTATAAAAGAGATAATGTTCTTTTTCTATCATTTTATTCAAATTTCTTTTCCTTTTTTCTGGTACTCGCCAGGGTTCCCACTCATCGCCAAATATTTTATTATTTGTCTTTATTTTAAATATATCAGTGGCAGTTAATATACCTATTTTAAAATTCATTATTATAATTATTGGTTTCAGTAATCTTTTTTTTTTAACAATTTCTTTATTTCGAATAAAGTTATTTATTATGTATGCTTGAATTTTGTGTTTCTTTAATATTTTGCGATTGTTATGTATGCGGGTGACAAGCAAAACTCATTGACTAGACCCAATATAAATGGCTAGCAAATATTATAAATTTTTGCAGGATAATATTTTTCTCTTTTTTGACAATATTACTTCAATATGGCCAATTTTTACATAGGTTTTACAACCAATGAAACTTTACAACGGAAGTAATACACTATAATCATCTTATTAATTAACAAACATTTTACTTCTCCCTACATTTTTGAAAGGAATTTCACTTCATATTTAATTTCATTACATTAAATGACTCACTTATAGATGCTTATTTCATTATATTCTTATTTATTTGGAAAATTTTTATAAATGGTGATTTTCGATTAAACGCTATACTGTTATTGAAAATAGAAACATAAAAGAAAAATAAAAAAAAATCGAAAAAATGAATCTCAATAATAATATACAAAGCAATGTTAGGAGAAGGACTTCAATGAAAAACTCCGTGTCACGATAAAAGTTTATTGTACTTGCGATAACCGAGGCAAATATGAATAACTCGTGAACTGTCTCACTGGTCACATTGTGTCTCCCGGTTATTTGCAGGTGAGTGGGAACCTTGCGGGGGGGCAACTTCTCGCGACACTCAAAACGCCTTCACACGTAAGTCGTCAGGATATCAAGATTCTTTCACTCTTTATCTTTCTCTATATTTACTTTGACATTTTTCTTAGTTTTAAATTTATAACTGCCTATCTCTTTTTCTGCGCATTCTCATTGTCAATTGCCATGTTATTACATTTCCAAATTAAGTATCAAAATGTTGACTGTACACGTATCTTAAAACCTCTATTACATATAATCTCATGTGCCCAGTGTCTTATTTTGATAGCTACATAGATTAACCATTTGCTTAATATCGTATGATGTAAATGCATTTAGAGTTTTGTAGACACTTGCTCTGTTACCATTTTATCTTGGATCCTTTACTACGACCGTCTCACTTATTCGTCCCAAGTATTAGTTCGTAATTTCAATTAGATAAGACCTTTAACCAAGCTTCTGGACATTATTATTATCCGATTGTATAGTCTGTAACTCTCAATATTATTGAGTATTTCCATCTCCTTTAAAAAATTAATGAATGAAACATAAGTAGCGATCGAGGTAATTGGACACTGTGATCATACATGCATTAACTCACCGTGGCTGCGTGTCTGTGTCCGTGCAAACATTATTCATACTCCTTTTCTCGTATTCACATACTACGTCAGGCAGACGTGCAGCACGGAGTGTAAATCGAGTCCTTTGAATTACCTCTGCAGGAATTGGGACTTTCCGAATGGTGGCCCTCCCCGGTATCAACCAGCCGCAGTGGCGCCGCCACTGAGTACCGAGTACGAGCGACCACCCCCGTACTATTACCCTGGGCCAGGGTAAGATCTTAGACATTGTAGGATAATTTAGGTGTAAGACACAATGTATTTAAACCGGCCGTCTACTATTTTAGGGAGCGGAATTAGAACGCGGGAGCCGTGGCGTGTGCGATGACGACCCTCGGCACCGTCGCTATGAACAGTCTTACACGCAGTTACAAAAGGACCCTCGGTAAGAGGAATAAACGGGATTATGTGTAGACACAATCACCTCTTGACACGCCACGGATATAAGTCGGACCACGAAGATAAATCATCTAATGCTCCCTGGATTGACTTTACTGAAAAATCACTTTTGGATCGCGCCAAAGCCTACGATCTTTATGTGACGCCCGAACGCCTGTGACGAATCTGATGCGAATGAATTCCTCTTCACCCCCTCTCTCTTACTCTGTCATTATATCCTTTATTTTATTTTGCATTGTATAATTCGCCAAATAGGTAGTTACTATTGCCTCATTCCTTGCATGATTGTTTTACAAACGGATGGAAAAAATAACGATTAATAATTTCTTTTAGAATGTCAAGAATTTGTAAAAAGAATCGAAAATAAACATTCGATACTGCCAATCGCACAGACACTTACATTATTAGACATTTGAAGCTTATCGATTCATGAAATTTTTACGAAAAGAATCGATCGATTAGTGATATTAGTGATTTTGTGGTCGAGTATAATATAATTAATGCAGTGCAATACTCGAGCGCGTTTATCTCTGACTTTCCTTCCTTTACGTTCTTGTCCAACCATTTTTATTACCATTTTTTAAATAAATGATAAAGCTTATTAAGGGAACCTGTAAATATAATTACATTAATCTAATTTACTAACAATTAAATTTTATATTAATCTTATTGTTGATCATACGTGATGCAGTTGCGAGAGAAACCATATGTCGAAGTCTGATATTATTCTCCTGGGTTTTAAAACCACACGACATACTTATACCGGATGTTCCGATCAATATAGCAAAAAGATTATATAAAATGAAATTTTTTTCGGAATTAGACGAATATAATAATTATATTTATAAACTTTATTTTAAAGCTTTATCATTTTGAAGATAATGCTATTTTTGTCATTACTATTTCTTTGTGTGGGAGTGTGTGTCTACGCGCGAGTGTGTCGGAAGTATTTTCAAAGCTAATTTTTAATATTCATCTTAAAAAGAAAATCGAACAACACGCATATTTAATTATTAAGCTTTAACGAGCAATTAATCTTAAAATTAATTATGTCGTATTGATATTGTTAAATTACTTTCAGTGTTAACTTTTTTTTATCATTGGAACATCTCGATTTCTAGGGTGAAAAGAATGTTTAGTATTTATTGTATTTTACTAGTCATAAAATACTAACAGTCAAAACGATATACGATTATGAGAAGAACGTGTGTGTGCATTCAATTTTCATAAAGTTAATTAATGTAGTTAACACTGCCGAAACAAGCGTATATGTATTCTAAGAGGCATGGTGATGATAAAAATGACATTTTGCTTATTTTTGACTGATTGTCGTGACACGGCGACAATGATCTAAATCCGAATGACGGGATATAAAGTCAATGTTACAAATACTCTATGCATATGGTTCTCTCTAGTTTTATATTATCATTGTTAGTATTACTATTATCGAGTGATGTGTATAATTCTGATGTCCAATTATTTCATTCTGTATGCTTTCAAAATGCAAAAGTGCTGTCATTCATATATCAAATTACCGTCGATTTATCGATGGCTGCAATTTTGTTTATCTGAACGATATAGAATTAAAATTTTAATTTTTATCATTAACGGTGAAAAGCCTTTATCACCTTAATGTTTTAATAATATTTATTTAATTTTGCTTTCAAGCATTTAAATTATAAGATTTGTTGAACAACAATACATTTCCAAACGATTTACATTTGATTGTAATATTATCTTAACATTTTATTTATAATTTAGTTTATATGACACATTTTTATAAATAATTTTATACGATAATTTATAAAAGCCATCTTATAAACCAACTCTTTTTACTAAATTGTAACACGACACATCACTTGAAGAATCTACTGATAGTTGTTTATTAATAAGAAAAATGCAAATAAGAGCACAAAACGAACATATTGTTTAAAACTGTGTATTAATCGTTATTAAGATGATGAAGTGATACAAGAGAAGTTAGAGGTTTCTATTAAAAGAACTGATTGAAAAAATTAGAAAAATTATTTATAATGGTTCGCTTAAATATTCCGCTATATTATTACTGCATTTAACTTTCAAGTATAAAGAGAAAAGATTTAAAACTAGCGTATCAATATTTAAACGGATTTCGTACAATGTTTGAAGAATGTAAGTAAATGCGATGTTAAATATGAATGAGAAGCGTTGATTTTTTAAAAATAATAATTGAATGTATAATACATGAGAGTTGTGCGATGTATGCTTGAGATTATAAAATATATTGTATTATAAATGAACATGTTCTGTAGAATAAAAATAAATAATTAATCGCAAAAAGTAAAGTATTGGCTTAACTATTATAGAACGACGAAGCCTTGAATTAAAAAGAAATTTTACACGATTATTAATAAATGCAATTTAAACTAACATCTCAGATGTTATCAGAGTTTTGAGTACTATTTTTACATGACCAGGTAGTATCGTTCATTTATGCGAATACTTTTCTTTTTTGCTTCGACGGCGTGTCATTTATAAATTTTAAGAAAATTAGAATAAAGAAAAACAATTTTTTCTCTCAACTATTCTTCGACTCAACACATTGAATATTTAATTTAATAGAATATAGTAAAGGAATTTAAAATGATTAAATTTATTGTTCTGTTGAAAGTAGTGCTTAAACATAATTTATTTTTCATCCTATTTCTATTTTTAAAAAGTTGTTTTTTATTTTATAGGCGGTGTAATTCTTTAAATTTTCTGATACAATTGTGACAGTTCCAAAGACTTGTAAAGCATAATAAAACTTTTGTTGCTTTCAGTGCGCCAAATATTTAATAATGATGGCGCTTCTTTTAATTCACTAAATTTATCTATTTAATAATTACGAATAATCGCATTCATATGTTTTTTTCTTCTATTATTATTGCACTATTAAAAATGAGTGTATTATATGCATATATATATATATATATATATATGTATGCATACAAACATAATACATATTACATACCTGTGCATATGTAATGTCTGTTATTTGTTTATATATTTGAAAATCTTTATTTGTACAATTTTTACAGAAAAATAATTTTTTTTTTTTAATTAACTTTATTGATAATAATGACAAAATAAATAATCTACACTACAAGACTTTTTAAAAAGATACTCGATTTTCCTTTCCCCATTTTCGCATCACCCTAATTATCTGTTCCGCTTGTGTATTGTTTGTGTTTTTGAGAATTTTAATAACTTCTGATAATAGTTCTCTGCAAAGAAATGAACGCAACATTAATTGAAAAATTCATTAAAATTAATTAAATTAACAAATCTCTTACTTATACTGAACCAATAAGATATGAAAATAATTTTTGTAATCCTTACTTTGGTAATTTTTCCATAACAATGCACTGGAAAGTGCCGCAGCAAGCGCCTCGTTTGCCTTCCCAGTGCTCGGGTGACGGATCCAGTCGCTCGAGCATATCGAAGGCCTTAGCGGCATACCAAAACTCACCCACAACGTAGCATGAATTGGCGATAAGCTGTAGCAAGCCGAACGATTCTGACGAAGGCTCCATTTTCAGGTAAAGCTCCCAGGCTAGTTGACCTTTCTTGTTCATTATATCTAAGGGAATAATGGTTGCCGTTGGGAGCGGCGATGTCGGATAATTAAATTACTGTTGAAACGACCAATTGGTTGTTAAGCCATAAATCTACTTACGACAGTAAGCCAGAATGTTAATGTAAGTAAAGTCGTTTCGGTAGCGGTCGTTCCTTATGGCGAGAAATGCCTCTTCGGCTTCTTTGAAATGTCCAACCGCCGCCTGCGCTTGCGCATAATTGAAATTAAAGCCATCGACGTTGGAAAAGTACGATCTAATGGAGTTGAGATAAATGAGTACGTCCTTAAATTGTCGATAGAGAAAGTAGAAGGAGGCCATACACTGCCTTCCAGGTATCGTATCACACTCCGAGGCAGAAGTGCCCACAAGTTGAAAGAACTGCTGGGCACTTTTGATGTACTCTCGCTAGAACGTTGTATCGTTTAGTCTCGATATTGTTTTACAAGAAAAAAAAAACTATTTATACATTTACCGAGTTACGTTCTTGGCCTAGGATAGCGTTTACAATACCCTTTAATATGTACTCCTGAGCCACCGAAGGCTCCAACTCCTTTATCAGTTCGTGCGCCTCTTGAATCTCGTTCTGCTTTAAATAATAAATGACGAGATTCAAACGGGCTTCGGGAATGACATCCACCAACCCAGGGAGAATCTGTAGCGCACCTTCGCCATTCCTGAATACCTGTACTTTCGCTTTATTTAGCTTTTTAAGTCGAAATTCGAGTATAATCGAATGCTCACCACTGTATTGTGCTGAATGAGATCGTTGTTAAAGTGATTAGCATTGGATGCTTTATCGATTAATTGTTTTATCTCTGCCATCTCCGAGGTACTTTTGTAATAATGGAAAATGTTGCAGGCCTTCAGGTTGATAGCAGTCGCGCTGTCCGGATACTTTTGCAAATAAACTTGAAGGACCTTTTGCGCTACGTCGTAGTAATCCAATTTATAATAACAGAGAGCCACGTAAACATTTAGGGCCAGATAATCCCTACGTTAGAATTAAAAGTAAATTTACGTTTTTTATTCGACAATTACGTCATTCGACAATTAATATAATGATTTAATCCTTTAATTTGTTATTAATTTATTATTATTTATTGGTCGAAAATATGATAAGATCATACGAGTATATTTATCTTATCTTATATATGTAATTTAAATATTACTTTGGAAAACAACTTCAAACGTATTCCATTTTAAATTGAATATTCCAATGCGGTTACATTTTTATAATTATAAAAAAATGATAAATTATGAAATTATATAACGATCAACTGGTAATAAAGAAAATGGAGAAAAATCAAGTAACTTAAATAAATATGATAGGATAGGAAGGAATACCTAGGTTTCAATAGCTCCTTGTAAAAAGCTAATTCGGCATCTTCATGAGATTTTTTTTTTTTCCTATGATGTTTCCCGTCCAATCTAACACAAGGGTTCTAATCCGTAAATATCATTAATTGGAAGAAAAATCAATAAATAAAAAACAATAAATAAGAATAAAAAATAATGCTTCGATCATTGTATTTCTCATATTTTTACAGATGGACAAAATTTAAAAATTGATTTACCTATTTTTGAGCAACACTTTTTTGTAAATATCTATTGCTTCTTGATAATGGGTTTGAAGATAATGTACGGACGCTAAGCATAATTGATCTTCAACGTTATTTTGAAGCTTATCCTCGTATTCCTTTATTTTATTCTATAGAAATTTAAAATAATATTCGGCCTTATTTTAATAATGTAAAGTTAGTATGTAAACTTAATATTAGTATGCATAAGTAAATTGGAAATATTATATGAGAGGAGGTACATAAATTATAAAATGTAAATATTTAGAAATGGGCTTTATACAATTAAGATTACCTTGATTTTGATAATATAACAAAGTAATCTACTAGTTTCAATCTTTTGTTTTTAAACAATAATTTTAATTAAATTATTTTTTAAACTAAGTGAATAATTTACGTTTCGAAGATTTAATAAAGATTAAAACTACTTTCTTTTCATATTGATATCAGTTAATTAATCAATCGACTAATGTAGGATTTAAATGTACTTACTAATTATGCTGTATGCATTAATACAATATCAATAAAAAAAAGAATTTTTTTTTTTTCGTAAAGTTTTCATTAATAATTTCAAATTAGTAAATTAATGCCCGTATTCAGAAAGAACAAAAATTATTATTTAAGAGCAATATTGTAACGTACTGTTTTCGACAACTTGCAAGACAAATGTAGCAATAATCTTGTCTTAAGCTGACTGTCAGGTGCATTGGCGAGCATCTTTTCGGACTCCGGATACATGCCAAGATAGAAGAAGCAGCAGGCAATGTAAGTATCGATGTCCGCATGAGCGTCCTGATCATTCTTCAAGTTCGTGTAAATATCGGCGGCTTTCTTATAATTGCCGAGATGAAAAGCGCAGTATGCTATCCAGATCTGACTGTCTTTGTTTGAACTTGGTACGTCGTTGAATTCAAGGAGGGTCAGGGCACCGGTATAATCCCTCTGCGCGAGAAACTGCTCCAAAGTTGGGATTTCCTTCCGAGAGACAGACTTCCTTGCGCCCTCCCCCGAAGCTGGTTTTGCTCTTGATAAGATCTTTCAAATTCATTTCAGCTGTTGTATTAATTACTCAAATGTTTTATAATTCAGTATGCATCACATTTATCCTTTTCTCTATATTTGCCAATTATTATTGTCTTTTTGTTGATATCGTTCGATAGTAAAGCTTTGATGTGATTATATATATATATTATTGATAGTATAAGATGGAAAATTTAATGGTTTAATGGAAACGACTATACGATCATAGGCTGCGATCTTAATAATTTTGCTAATAATTGAAGCAGGGACAGCAGAGAATTCGACACTTGAAATAAAACATTTTATTGTATTTATGAAAGCTTTTATGTAATTTAAGCATTGCAATTTCCAACTCGACCTTTCTTTCCATGTATGTACGATCGCCGTTAAAACGCCAAGTACCAATAAAACGTAAAGTCTCGGCTCAACGACATAAAGTAAAGGAGACCGTTGGCCCCATACCCACATTGAAGCTGAAAAGACTGACTCACCATTTATTACGAGCCCTAAGAGATTTTAGATACGTGAACGCGCGTAGCCAGCCAGGTAGAGCAAGCGAAGCCTTGATCAATCCTCGATCCACAATCCTAACGTAAATGAAGATGACAATACTGCTTAGCCATCCATCAAAACACGCGCGCGCGCGCGCGCGATTGAGTTGTTGTCCGTGCTGTTACCATGGAAACGGAACGTAAGGAACTGACGTTTCGCATTTCGCGCGTTCCAGATATTACGTGCGCGATGCGCTGCGCGGCCCATTCCTTTGTTTATGAAAATCCGAGATAAGAAGGAGGTAGCGAACGACCGATCAAGACTCGACAAACGTACCCAGGCACGCACGCACGTACGTCAGTGGATGCGCAGAGAGTTGTCAGCTGTTCGCTGAGACTCAGTTCAATATGGAATGATATCAGAGCGCGGCCGTCCGTCGTTACAATCGTTGTCAATTTTGTATTCTCGTTTTCCCTGCACGAAGAGAGAGAGAGAGAGAAAGAGGGAGAGAGATTGTTCCTACATAAAGAGTGTCGCCAACGATTCTTAGCACTTGTTCTAATAAGCACTCCGAGCGGTGCGCCTCCTCACTAATCCAAGCATTTATGTCTGTCCGCTGTAAGTGCTGTGTACAACGACACACGTCGGAACTCCCCGCAACGAGCCAGTGCTTCTCCCTCTCTCTGACTCCCTTGGCAGTCATCGCCTATCTGCGTAGTGTTGCTGATGTGCGTCCTTCCATTGTGAGTGAGAGGATTCAAATACTGATCAACGACGACGACAACAAGGACGGTCGGACTTTGGTACAGGCAACGGCGACGTTTTATGCAAAATTTTGCACGCAACGTGGACGTACTAGCGCAGGGCCTCAAGTACAGCATATCCGGACTCATGAACCTCGCAAACCAGACTGCCGATCCTCAGAGCGGTGTTTTCTTCGTTAACTTTAACCAGGACTGCTCGTAAGTTACGCGCTATACCGTATCCGAGCCTTGGCGCCTTCACGGGCTAACCTCAAACGGCCCATCATTATTCATTGCTCTATCGCCTCCTCGCTTCGTCTAAGAGCTTCTATTTTTCGCAACGCCTGCCCACTCCTCCAATCGCTCTCCATTGCTTAATCGTCTCTCTCTCTCTCTCTTTCTCTCTCTTACGTCATTTCGCTCCATCTTTGCCTGAGTGCGTGCATCTATTCTGCGTAACATAGCAGCTTCGCTCCCTCCCTCGATCTCGCCCTCGCCACATCTATCTATATATATATATGTTGCGCAACATAACTGCGTTTACTTTTTCTGCGTGTTTTTGTTGTTTGTATTTTTTTTTCTTTACTTTTTTCCCTCGTTTCTGCATACGATGTGAATCTTGCTCGGCGAACAAAAAACAATGGTCTCCAAAGTCAAAATTGGCTCATTGACATAATAATACGAAAATAATTTCATAATACATAAACAAAAGCTCGGGTGGAGTATGTAGAAAGTAGAATGTAAAAGCGAGAGATAATACATAATTATGCGGTATTTGTTTAGAGCCGGAAAGGCAGCTATTTGTTTTTCAGAGTCATTCTATAGCAATAGTCAATTACAGTATGATGATTATCCATTAATGGACTTATGGCTGCATTGAGAAAAATGTATTTTAAAGTTACTTTGGTTTATCGTTCACAGTGACGACGGTGAAGTGTAATTTCCAATTTTTTTTAATTTCATTGCCATCTAATGACTTAATTTGAAAGATAACTTAATGTACGTCTTATCCAGGTTGCGACAGCTCGGTTCATTGAAATCGTGATTATTAATACTTGATTCATTTATTGTACTTAAAATGGAAAAAAGTAGAAAGAGGGAGCAAGTGTGTGTGTGTGTGTGTGTGTGTGAGAGAGAGAGAAAAAGAGAGAGAGAATGAATAAAAAGAATCTAACTAACTTCGTAAAATAATATTTTGACAAATTGTAAAGAAAGCTTCGAATCTGTTTTGCGTTTAATACCAGGTAAAGCGCTATGTAATATGGCACGAGTAATTTTCATGACTTATCCGCGGGTGTCTATGATGTCCTGTTAAACCAAATTCCGTGGTATTTTGTTTCTTGTCATATCTATTATGGATATCGTTAGAATAAAAGCATTATAAAGCATGCCTGTACTAATGACACAATTATTGCGTCGAACCAAGGCCTTAAAGTCTGGGTGTGCTCGCGTGACCCTGAATTTACTCTCTCGCAATGTTTTATTTATGACGGCGACTGTGCAGGTGCCTTCGCTTTGTTACATCTTAATAAGCCGTGCATACCTATGTGCACGGCTTGTATTATGCGAAATTGCACCCTGTATTCATTGTGATGATTATCTCCTATACACCCAGGTCATTAGCCGTTGGATCCAAGTCTGGCTACAAAATCTTTTCCCTCAACTTGGTTGATCACCTTGAAAAGATCTTTGAAAATGGTAACTTCTGCTACTTTATACCTTATTTTTACCAATCAATTAATCAAGTTTTAATTTCATTATGACTGAATTATTTTTAGGAACCGAAGATGTGTGCATTATCGAGCGTTTGTTCAACAGTAGCCTTATTGCCATGGTCAGTTCGTCATCCCCTCGGAAACTCAAAGTCTGCCACTTTAAAAAGGGCACGGAAATATGCAACTACAGTTACTCAAATACCATTTTGGCTGTGAAACTTAATAGAGCGGTAAGTACTGATTTAGGAGTCTAAAAGTAATTTTCAACTTCGTCTCGTTTGTAGAAAAATTACTATACATTCAATATATTCAATTGTAAATTGATTTCAGTATTTATCAAAGCAATAATCATCACCAGTTAAATTGTATTTATGTTGATTATAACCGATGCCTTTTATTCAATCACGTTTTATTTGTTGTCATTGTTACAGAGATTAGTAGTATGTTTGGAAGAATCGCTCTACATTCACAATATAAGAGATATGAAAGTGCTACACACTATTCGTGATACACCACCTAATTTAGCGGGACTTTGTTCACTTTCAATAAACACTGACAATTGTTATTTAGCCTATCCAGGTTCTAATACAATTGGCGAGGTCCAAATATTCGATGCCATTAATCTTGTAAGTTTGAAAATTTAATTATTTGGATGGATTGCGAGTTTACAAAAACCATTGCAATACACACATTATGCATATTATTTTCATCTATATAAAGAATTTTACCAAGTAATTGCATCAAATATACTTTACTATAATAGTACAATTTTCTTTAAATTTATATTAATTTTGTCACAATCAGTAAACACAAATCTATTAAATTGTACTTTAATATTTTAGCAAGCAAAAACAATGATTCCAGCACACGATAGTCCATTAGCTGCTCTTGCATTCAGCCCTAATGGAACAAAAGTCGCAACGGCTTCAGAAAAAGGGACCGTAATAAGGGTCTTTCATGTAAGTTTCATTAAAACTCCATTACAATTAATACGATCAAATTTGTCAAAGATAACAATACATTGTGATTTCATCAGGTTCATGATGGAACAAAACTTTTTGAGTTCCGCCGAGGAGTTAAGCGATGTGTCTCTATCAGTAGTCTAGTTTTCAGTATAGACTCTATATTTTTATGCTGCTCTAGTAATACAGAAACTGTTCACATATTCAAATTGGAAGAGCCAAAAGAAGTGTAGATATTCTTAATAATATTTGTACGATATTTTATGTACGATTGTTTTATGTATTTAATGATTTGTTATATGCACCGTAGGCCGCAACAAGCACCAGAAGAAGTCCAGAGCTGGATGGGATATTTAACAAAAGCAGTATCAGCATCGGCTAATTATTTACCGTCACAAGTAACAGACGTTTTTAATCAAGGGCGTGCTTTTGCCAGTGTTCATTTGCCCTTTCATGGACTCAAGAACGTTTGTGCTATCACAACGTAAGTCCACAGCAGACTTTATTTTACTCAAGAAATTAGAAAAATCTTATATTTAACTAATTAAATATTCATTATACAATGAATGTTATTCTTTTCAGTAAATACAGAAATATATTAATAAAATGTTTATTTATTATATTTGATTTATTCCATAAGAAAAATTTTAAATTAAAAATTCTATGTTTAATAAATAAATTCTACTTATTGAAACAAAAATTCTAAATTTACAATTTACAGTATTATTTTGCTTGGTCAATATAGACAAACATGATGTGTATATTAATCAAAATCAAATTTCACAGGATACAAAAGGTGCTCAGGTTGCTGGTTGCCAGTGCAGATGGTTACTTGTATGTTTATAATCTTGATACTCATGAAGGTGGGGATTGCACTCTTTTTAAACAACACAGGTTGGTATAGTATTATCGACAAAAAATTGGAAGCTCATCTTATTAAGTGGATATCTTAGCAAAAACAATGACAAATAATTTTAAATGGCAATAATGTAACATGAATATCGCAAGTATATTATTGAATTATATTGTATTTCATACAATTTTTATAATGAATTAATGATTTATACAGGTTAGATGGTAAACAAGATGAAATCGACGGTGCCAGTCTATCAACTACTGTATCATGCTCTGAAAATTCAGCGACAGGTACACAATCAATACAAAATACAGGTATCTTTTATATATAACTGTAATACACTAATTAATGATTTAGTATTTTTGAATTAATCTTTTTTATTAAATCGCATGATATTAGCGATGTTAAAAAAACTAATATTTTGACTTCAAATTTAAAACAGATGGCAGGCGAAATTGCTTCCATTATGTATAAACTCTATTCACAGTCTTATATTATATTTTAAAATATATTTTAAAAAGAGAGACTAATGATAAAGAGTTTTACATATTCCAAGCACAGGTAGAGCAGGTGATGAATTTAGCCTTCTCTGTTCGCGGCATGCCAAACACCCACACACACACATACACCTTTGTTTCAGTCCCGTATGATTTTCAATTTTATTTTAGTCTAATTAATTATTAAGCGTTGGAATGATGCATGTTTCTTTGCATTCTTCATTTACATATATTTATATGAAAATTAAATATTACATACAACATAGAATAAAAATTGATGGGGTAAAACCTTTAACTCAATGAAACATAAAAATAATGTTTAAACACACGGCTAATAAATTACACTTAATTTTAAATAAATAAGAAATGTTATTTTACCATATATATATATATATATATATATATATATATAGAATATAAATAAGGAAAATTGTTGAAACTGTTTTTACTGACGTGGTATAATGACTTTTCATATTATAAAATTTATTACTTTCTTAAAGTAGATTAAAAATTTTCGATAAGTATTAGTTGCCATAAATTTAGTTGCTTCAAAAATTGCTGTAAAAATCTATACTATTGTAACACATAAAAATTTCTAAAGCTGTACAGATTATAATATTGTATTATTTAACTATGCTGCCCTCACGTACGTGTGTGCGCGTGTGTGTTTGTGCCGGAAAACGAACGCATTAGAAGCCTCTCATTGCTTGTCTCCTTTATTGCTTTTGATAAAAAATTCCTTTATTTAAAAACAAATCAGAAAAGAAAATATTTAATGAATGCGGAAGTAAATATATTGTTCGTTAATTTTCTCAAATATCTTGCTTTCTAAAATATTTTTATTTGAGGTTTATTAGTACTTTTTGCTTCATTGCCCAGGATGGTGAAGAGAAAAGTTCAGTTTTTTTTTATTTTCACCTTATTATTTTTAAATATTGGTATGTACACCTTGAATATTGTGCTTCACAATAACGATAACGTAACAATTTTGTAATGCTGTAAATACTTCAAGCCATTTTAATAACAATTCCCCGAACTGAAGAATTCCTAATGATTTCATAAAAAGTTATTAATTATTTCCTTTGATTAAATTGAGTTCTGTCATAAATTGGAAATTTATTTCCTACATTGCATTGCACCATTTCTTTTCAAATTCAAGCTATTTGGAAATTAACGAAAAATGTATTGAACTTATTGTAAAGAAAATAAACAAATAAAAAAGAAAAAATAAGGAGAACAAGGAGATACTTACTCCCCCCAATTCCCAATCTTTCTCTCTCTCTCTCTCTCTCTCTCTCTCTCTCTCTCACACCTTTCTGTTCCTTCAGGGGTTTGTCAATAGACCCCCCGGCAGTTGACCTTACTTGATGTGTTTTTTTTTCTTTTTATTATCCGCCGAAGCCTGCATAAATAGCTACGCGGGTGCGTTGCGCGGCCGTTCGCCAGACTCCATGTCAGGTACTGGTATATCCTCTATTCTCTGACACCCATTTCTCGACTAAGATTCTCGACTAATTTTAATTAATTTTTTCTTTTATTATTATTATTATTATTATTATTATTATTATTATTATTATTCCTTAATTCTTTATTTTATAATTTCGCTCGACTGCTTTAAAACTGTTTTTGTTACATATGGTGCAGCGCCTTCAAATACTACCTAAGCTCAAGCACTTTTCTATTAATCTATAAACCTATAAATGCACCTCAACTCATTTTTCAAACTTATGCACTTTTTTCTGCTTTATATTTATAGATTTACAAATATAATTACTGACCACTAAAAAAGTAAATAATGCTGCTGATTAATTGTAAATTATATCCATTCGGCGATTTTAAATTTATAATGTTAAATTATTTCGTGGGATCTTTTATCTAGAGTTTGTGTAGTACGTTATCCCACAAAGATATAAGATAAAGTATTAATTGATGTTTTAGTTACGAACTATAACTCAGCGATATTATTTTATCTGTATTCGAAGCAAATACATCTTATTGAAAACGTGAAAGTGTAAGGTAATAGATATTAACGTTACATCGTTTAGTTGTCGCGTCAGTCAATTGCATTGTATGTATTAAAAAAAAGGAAAAAAGTACGCATTTGGAACAAATAAACACAACTATAATATCGGTCGTTGGCGAGCAATTACAAGTCGACGGATCTTAGTAACCTGACGTAAGGCACGAAATTTCGAAATTAATAAATATTACATAATTATTATTAAAAAAAGGTCACTAGGCATATTCGTTCTCCACTTTTCTGTCAAGCTTTTTTTTCTATCAGTATTTTAATACTTTTCATTAAAAAAAAATTATTTAATTATTATTATTTAGTTATCGTAATTTCTTATATAGTTGCTTCTTGCTCTCTCTCTCTCTTTCGCTCATTTTTTTTTGTATAAAAAACTATATAATGCCAATACATAATTAATTAGTATATATTAACAATACATCTATAATACGAAAACACAGCGTTATCGCAATTTTTGAGCGCATATTTCCTCCGTTTTTTGAACATATTTTCGTACATATCGACGGAGGAGCCGAGTCGTTGCCTCATTCTCGCAATATCGCTGTAGCTTATCGTGGCATAACTTGGTAAATCATAATAGTAATGAGCGCTCGATTGAACTTTCAAGTAACAGTGTAATAATAGTTATATCTAAAATGAAACAAAGAATGAAGCACAAATGAGATTTAAAATTCGTGGCTGCATTACTCGGTCGACAAGAGTGTCTCACACATTTATTAATTTAAAAATCGCATGAACTAACAACTGTCATTTTTGGGATAAATGAAAATCGTAGTATTAAAATTCGGGGGACTACTTATGCACCAATAAATAATCAACAATCATAAATGAAAACAAAAAGAAACCGATCGATGACATTATGAGCACAATCTAAGAGTAAGTCCCTCGAAATCATACTAAATACAATGCAGAGTTTATTCAACCATCTCATAATTCGACTATTAAATTCCATAGCATTGAATAATAAAAACAACAAAAACAATAATAATACAACTGGCACTACCACTACAAACATTTGCCCCACCCCCTTCACTATTCAATCAACAACATATCAGGGGGAAAAATCGACAAATTGTGATAGTGCATTGTGCATTCTTGATATTGTTAATGTGTGTGCTATAAGCTAATCGAGTGACGGGCAAATGTTCGTCCCGTCAATGAGCCACTTAGCGATGTAAAATCACAGTTGGCTATTTTTTCCCTGGTTCTTTTAGCGCCAAACCAAGAAACCAGCTAATACGGGCTTAAATCTGCTTTGCTGCACGTAGAGTCGGAAAAATACCATGAGATAATAGCAGCGACTGAGAGCCCACCTAAGAGCGATGGAGCATTCTGCCTCGATGATGACGATGACTTCCCGCCAGTGAGCCAAAGGGCTGACTGAGTACAATAACAGAAAGTGCCGCAACGACAGCAGCAGTCACATATCAATAACATCACCAGCAGCAGCAATAGCAATGTGCGACACAAAAAGCGAGGAATGAAGTTTTGCTGAGAAAAGCGGAGCAACCACGCATCTACACCATCTTTACTATCTAATACCTTTCCCTTCAATTCCTTCGATTATTTGTTCTCTTATATCAACGCTGCATCACCTTTTATCTTCATTCATTTACCAATGTGTTTGGTATTCCGTTACAAAGTACGCAGCGTTGTTATATTTGCGTAATAGCCTATTGTTTTCTTTTTTGTCTCGCCCCAAAGTACACGGATACTCGTATCCAAATAAATAATACAGAGCGTTTAATTGCCATATATTTCACGCTTCGATAATTAATGGCGAAATTAATTTCGTTTCAGCATGTAACCGATACAAAGGTACACGATATATTTGCGATGTACCCCCCCCCTCTCTTGACCCCTATCACTTTTATAATATCGACATCTTATTTTCAAAATTCCCTTATTTGGCTATATGAATTTTGTCAAACTGTTCATTTGTATCGTTCAAATATTTAACGAATCCAACGAAGTCTTCGATTTAAACAATTGTTTTTCAGCATATCTACATAAATTAGGTATGTACGTGATAATATTTTTACTTTTTTTTTTTTTAATCTTCCGACAAAATTTAATTCAACAAGTTTACGATTGTGATTGTAATTATTTATCGTTAGTGCCAATATGCAAACGGATATTTGATAAGAAAAATTTCTAGTGATAATCATTTTTGGATATATTTTTGACAATTTTCGAGAAATTTCAAAACTGCATTTTACTATCTCATACTCGCTGTATTAAACTGATATCAAAATTTATATACAGATTATGAAACTAAGAATTACGCTCAAAATTAAAAAAAATATATATATATATATATATATATATATATATAATCAAATTTGCGTAGCGGAGAAGTTTCACTTTCGTTTTAACTTTGAAAACAAAAGTAAAAACAACTTTTAATTAATAAAATGCATTTGCATAGCTATTTGTACATAAATATTGTAATACATAATTTATATTATTTTTGTTAATTTCTGATAAATTTAATAGGAATGCAATTTAATAGAATAATTGTATATAATTATGTAAAATCTAGAATTGCTATTTTCGCTCTTTAATTATAAATTTATTATCATTCCTTTTGCAAAAAAAAAAAAACAGAAAAATTAATGTTTTTGGCACGAGTGCTACGTAATGCTTAATCTGTACATTAACTAGAAAAAAGCACACGTATTTCGTCGTATATGTATGTAGTTCGTATTTGTGTAACACTTAATCAAACGAATGAATGCTTAAATTTACTGACATGGCAAACTTAAGGGTCAAGTGTCTTAGAATGAAGAATGTCATTAGTCAATTTTGTACTGGATCTTGTTTAGTAAATAATTTTACTTTTATATTATACATCAAAAAATACAAAATCGGCAAATAGACAATGCGTTTATAATGTGTGTGAAGAGCTAATTTCGTTAGCGATTGTAAATATTTTTAAAGATTTATGCATTAACGTTACTATCTATGTCAGATTTCTTATTAATACATGTGATGATTAAAAAATATCTGTCTAATCTTTTCACTCCCACCCCCTCTCAAATGTTTGGTTATGGATATATTATTAAATATAAAAACAGTATAATGTCTAATCGCGACTTTATTATATTTCTTTCTCATTTCTTTTATCTTCAATCAAAATTCAGAAAGTAAACGATAGGATTTTGATGGAAGTGTAATGATAACAAGTATAAGAATGCAGTGAAGCTGTAGCCATTATCAAAAGGGTCTATCTTTGACCAATTCACATATTTCATTTAATAATTCTAACTTAGAGACAGCATCTTATAAAATAAAATGTAATATATAATGAATGTTTAGATTATGCATAATAAGATGAATTAGAAATTGTAAAAATTATCAATGTCAAATATTTATAAAAAATGACATGTAGTATTTTAACAGTTAAAAAGGCTTAGTTTTCCTTTACACAGAAATTCGTCTATTTTTTCAAGCAACTTGTGCTTTGTAACATTCACATTAGTGTGACTTTTATATCTTCATTTGAATATCATTTCTTACTTTACATATATAATCTCGCACTTATTCTTCTTTTCATATCACAAAGAATTTCAGTACAAGGTGATTTATTTCAACATTATTATAAGAATGAATTAATCATTCGTTTTTGTTAACTACTTACTGTTACATCTATAGTTCATCTACAACTAAATTCGGCTAAAAAATTCTTAATGAGCACCAATTAAAAAAAAAAAAAAATAAAATAAAAAATAAAATAAAACAATATTGACGTGAACAAAATTTTTTTTTAATCCGCTTTCATCAAAAGCTGGAGAAGCGAAAATCTTAGTTTATTAACAGTCTTACCACTATACAGTACACACAATACGTACTTCATATAAAACCTTGAATTAATTAGTTTATTCAGATTTATAGAAACCATTAAAAATTATGGTTCTAGTGTAAAATGTACACGGTAATAGACAGGCCCTTTTGTTATATGCTCACTGCAAACAAAAATACGAACTATGTGGAGAAAATAAATTTAACTGTAGAGATCATCATCACCATCATCTTGGAAAGGCTGGTCCCCTTGTGTCGTATCCTGAGCACCACCTGGTCCACTTTGGGGAAATCTAGAAGCATAACATCGAATTTTGTAACAAAGGTGTTATTTTATAAATTTATTGAAACAGTATTATTGCGCTAAAGTTTCATAATTTACTTTTAAACGTTTGCTTAAAATTTACCTGAAATTCGTACCGAACCCTCGCGATTGTTGGAGAGTTTGGGCAAACATTTCGTATTTGCGAATGTCATTGTCTGATACTGATCGTCGAGCAAACCTCATGGCTTCTTCAAAGTGAGCCCGTGTAATTTCAGGTACAGGGTCTTCTTCATCCGTCTAGAAATGTTTACAAAATTTCGTAACTTGGGCATTACATTTCTTTTTCTTTTAATCAAAATAATAAACTCACGTCCATAGAGGCTGTGGGATTAGCAGCTCGTTCCCTGGCTCTGCTTATTTCAGATTCGATGCACTGCCGGATTGCCAACTTACAAGCGCGCTGGCAGATTTCCGTGATATCAGCTCCAGAGAATCCATGTGTTACTTTGGCTATGAAATTCAAATCGACGTCCTAAAAATGAAAATGATAAATGTAGTTGCGTTGATTACAAGTAAATTTAAATTAATTAAATAAATTAGTCGATATTAATTCACCTTAGCAACAGGTGACTTTCGCAAATTCGCTTTAAAAATAGACTCTCGTGATTTCTCATCGGGCAATGGAATATAAATAAGCTGATCGAGTCTTCCAGGTCTCAAGATAGCTGGATCAATGATATCTGGCCGATTCGTGGCGCCGATAATAAAAACGTTCTTTTTGGCCCCCATACCATCCATCTCCGTAAGAATCTGATTGATGACGCGGTCGGCGGCGCCACCTGCGTCCCCTACTGTGCCGCCTCGCGACTTAGCAATCGAGTCAAGCTCATCAAAGAAGAGGACACAAGGTGCTGCGGATCTCGCCTTATCGAACACGTCCCGCACGTTCGCCTCGGATTCACCGAACCACATCGTCAATAGCTCCGGGCCTTTCACCGAAATAAAGTTCGCCTGACATTCATTGGCGATGGCTTTGGCAAGTAGTGTCTTACCACAACCAGGAGGTCCGTAAAACAAGACACCGCGCGATGGTTGCATGCCAAATTTCAAAAACTTGTCTGGATGTTCGACTGGGTACTAAAATTAAACGAGTAAAATTCTTTTATTTTATCTCGGTTATTGGCAATCGTATTGACATATTGCTGGATTTTCTTACCTGCACCAATTCTTGTAGCTCCTTCTTGACGTTTTGTAACCCTCCGATGTCCTCCCAAGTAACAGTAGGAACTTCCACGATAGTTTCACGAAGTGCGCTAGGACTGCTTTTACTCATAGCATACTAAATAAAATAATTTAATTATTATAATTACACGATGTATATTGAGTTTTTAATGTTCTGCAATCAACTTTACCTTGAAGTTTTCCATTGTGACGGCAAGAGACACTAGAACGTCAGCGTCAATTTGTTCATCTTCAAGATCTATTAAATCCATTTTCTCTCGAATTTGTTGTAAAGCTGCCTCTGAGCATAATGATGCTAAATCAGCACCAACGTGACCGTGTGTTTCCGCAGCAATCTAAAGATACAGATACTGAACACTGTTAAATCTGTATAATAAAAATGATTTGTAAATTAAAAAGAAAAGTTCTTACTTCTTCCAATTCTACATCGTCTCCTAATTTCATATTTTTTGTGTGGATGCGTAAAATTTCTAAGCGACCGGTAGCGTCTGGAATACCAATATCAATTTCTCTATCGAAACGGCCAAAACGTCGAAGTGCTCCATCAATACTATTAGGACGATTTGTTGCAGCCATTACAATAACATGAGAACTTTGTTTCATACCATCCATTAGGGTTAATAATTGCGAAACGATACGTCTTTCTACTTCACCATGTGTCTGTGAATTATTATAGTTAGCGTTATTTTAATTAGTGTATGATTACAGTATAAATTATAAAATATTTACCTTTTCTCTTTTTGGTGCAATTGCATCAAGCTCATCGATAAAAATAATAGCTGGAGCATTTTTCTCAGCTTCTTCAAAAGCTTTACGTAAATTACTTTCAGATTCTCCAGCAAGCTTACTCATAATTTCGGGGCCATTGATCAAGAAAAAGAAGGCCCCAGTTTCATTAGCAACGGCTCGTGCAATAAGAGTTTTTCCAGTTCCTGGTGGACCATACAACAAAATACCACGGGGTGGTTTAACTCCAATCGCTTTAAAAAGAGATGGATGACGTAATGGTAATTCTACCATTTCTTTAATTTGAGCTAATTGTTTTCGCACACCACCAATATCATCATATCCTACTGCATTTAGTGATTCCTCCTCCTCCTAAAAAAATTAATTATTTAGAAACCAATAGATATACGACTAACAAAAACAAACTTTATGCATGAATTTTTTTATAAAATACCTCTCTTTTAACAGGATCTCCTTCACAATGAATTACAGTTTCTGGAGATACAATACAATAAGGTCCTGGATCAGTTTCAACAACTTTGAACTCTACTGCATGCATACCACCACGTACAATAAATATATCGCCTTTATATATTGGACGATAAGCTTCCAAGAAATATGGTTTCAAATAAATTTCAAAGAGATTTCTGTTTAAGGAAAATACCAATTTTTTTTTTATTAATTTTCTAAAATTATGTTAATTTATCATATGAAACTTTAGAATTCCTATACATACCCTGTAATACCTTCAACTGTATCATCAATAGGTAATACATGAATGCGCTTTCCATATTTAATGTCTGGACAAGACTGTATTGATACAACATCGCTTAAGCGAACTCTTAAATTATTCCTCACTACTCGATTCATTAGAATCTTTTCGTCTGGGCAAGAAGAATCCGATAAAACTATGCATACCGTTTTCTTGCGTCGTTTTCCCTTAAGAAAAACTGTGTCACCACGGAAAAGCTGCAACTCATCCATCTTTGCTTGAGAAAGTGCAACAACCGAATTATCATCGTTTCTTGCTTCAGAGACTAAAAGTCTATTAGGCTTATCTTTCTTACGCAGGATAGCGGTAGCTAAATATTCTCCACTATTAAAGATAAACAATTATAGTTTATAAAATTTTTGTTTGATTTATGCAAATAGTAATTTGTAATTCATTATCTATGTTATTCAAAAGAAAATATCATCCATAATTAATATATAGCTCATAGGCTTGCAATTTAGTACTTTATTCAATAATGAATTATTTATTTGATGTATTTGATGTAATAATTTATTTGATCTATGTTTATATTTTATAAACAATCTAAGAAAGAGATTTCTTTAATCAAAATAATTTATTTTATATTTAAATAATAGTGATTAAAATTGAATGTCAATAAGAATAATGGAATTGATAATCAAGATAACGAAAACAGTTAAAAATACATTAATGACTTTTGTGGACAATCACTATTACGGAAAATTATTTTAATGATTAATCATTCCGATCCTTGAGAAGTCAAACAAAAGAATACTAACAATATTATATTGTTTGATTTTATAAAATTTAATAATATCAACTGTACAAGTCATCGAAAAAAAGTTTATGGTGGGCTTGAAAGTAAAATAAACAGAAATTGGTTATATAAATGATAATCCAAGACGTTAAAGTATTAACAATATGAACGCGATGTGTAGGCAGTTTGGCTATGAGACATGGAAAATGCCTTTGTCACGTTACCGTTGGTCGGCCATGATCTGTGTCGCGAAACGATTACTCGTGCGTTTAGACGTAAAACAAACACACAAAGGTCGGTCGGAATAGGACCTACAAATTTTTGTCATTCGGAGACATTGACGCGCGAACTTCCCGGGTCTAGGAAGTAGATTAGAAGATCCGCGGATAATGATGACGGAAGAGCTGCCAAAACAAGCGGCGATCCGTCGACATGATGACAAGGTGAAATTGATGGTGGAGTCGTGTCGTACAAGAAAACGAGAAAGCCCCGTACTTATATCGAGTGTTAGGCTATACTTAAGCCCACAACTCCTCACATAACGTATTTAATTATTACAGTAAGATAATGCTACGCACCTCTTTGAGTCGCCCATTGTTTTTCTTTTTCACAGTTCCTTTCAAGTAGACGATTTACTCATAAAATGTACGCGTATATACGCAACGCCTGCCTGAATATCCCACGAATCGCCGATGCCGACAATCCAGCAACCACAGCACTTATACAGCTGCAACGCAGCTCGGCAGATCGTCGTTTTCGTCCTGATTGGCCAATGCCGACTGCTGTTCCTATTTTATATATAATATATATATATATATATATATATATATATATAATATGTATATGTATTGCATATGCCACACATAAATATGCATGCATATATATATACGCACATGCGTATGCAGCTTGCTCCGACTGTCTTTGTCGTTCCTTCCTACCTAGGCAATGGACATCAGCGCTGTCACATCCGCGACGTCCGGTCATGTTCACAACGGCGGCGACGAGAACCTAGATAGAACGATTATACCTTTAATTTTATTATTTGCAATTATAACCATTGCATCTAGCACTGTATTAATCTCATAATTATTTTATTTTTCAGGACCAATTGTCTCTTATTTTCGCCTCTGCAATTGTTAATCGTGGCGCTATTTTTACATATCTTATAATCGGTACTCTGAATCCAATGTCGCGTTTTCAAAATTAGTAAATATCGTCGATATTAAAATTAATATTTTATAACTGTTATTAATTATTTTGATATTATGAAAATAATTATTGGACGCTTTGAGGCGTAATTTTGTTGATAATGTCCAATAGGCAAAATACACATGCGAGAGAAACGGAATGCAAGTATGAATCATCTTATTTCTGGCTCCTCATAAAATATGATTGGCTAATGATTGTACCGTAATCTGAATTCAAATTTAGTAATGAATTACGTCGATGAATTAATTTTATTTTATATATACTTTTGATGTATAATAAATTTTTAACCAAACTCATATGTATATTTATAAGTTATATATATATATATATATATATATATAAGATAAATGTAATATAAGACTATGATTAAGAATGCTTGGAATTACATATTTATAAGTCACTAATCAAATATATCGGGTAAATTTTAGGCTTAGCCGTGGATAAAAAATATTCAAATACAAAGATGTTATTGAAAAATAAAAAAAAATTTCTAACTTTAGAAAATAACGGCTAACATTAATTTTTTAAGCAAATATATTACATCGGTCCGACACCTTACACTATATTATTATGTATAAAATTAATTAATAACATTAACTTTAAAAATGTCAAAAATGAAATTCTGAATGTTCCTCTATTTTCAATTAAATGTTTATTCTTGATACAGTAAAAAACGCAAGTAACAAATAGTACGAAGTATAAAAAATAAAAGGAAAGGGCTTAACAATTAAAAAATTTCTTATCCTCCTGATTTTGGTAACCAATACTATATATCGAATCATTCTATCTTGAAATGCAATTTTCTAAATGTCTATACATATTTTTCCCTTTACAAGCTATCTTCTGGAAAACTTTAAGGTTAGATGGGGTCATAGGTGAGAAAAAGCGCACGACTGTCGTTAAAGTAGATTTTTCTTTATAAAAGATAAAATCATAATATACGCAAATATACCAGTGTTTTTTTTTTTTAATATAAAACTTGCATATTAAATTAGTTGTTATTGGAAATGGCACTGTAACAAGTAAGTTTGTTTACAGAAAAAGTACTAAAAATATAAAACAAAAGAGTAAATAAAAGAAAGAAAAAAGGAAAATCCAATAATTATACATCGTCAAAAACATCGAATTCAGCGATGGCCGGAATCAAAGGTTACTTTGATAATTATTCTTATAGAATTCTTAATTATGTACTCTGCTTCTTATTGTCAAATGACATTAGCGCGTTTGACTAACATGACATTTGGCAGATATAGGAAAGAAGAATTATGATTCTTTCTTAACCTTAAGTATTTATTATGACACGAATAAATTCACAAATTAAAGCATGTCGATCGAGCCAATCGTTATTTTTAAAAATTATTGTTCATTAAATGTGTTTTGACTTACTAAATTTAATATTAAATATTTTTTTAATAAGGGATTTTAATTACATTTTATTATTATTGTTCCATGTTGATGACCTTGTTGGTTTCTACATATAGCGTAAGAACTCTTTTATTTGATCATAAGATTATGTTGTGACTTCAAATTTTATTTTTAAATATTATATGTATTTTTTACACTTTAGATTAATTACTTTGGCTTTTGCTGGTTCAATTGGTATGACATTTGTTATACTTGGTTGTGCATTGCCAGCATACAAGTAATTATAATTTGTTATCAAAACACTTTATATATCTACCGATGTAAAAATATAATTCTCTTTGTTCTTTAGAGTATGGTGGCCATTTTTTGTAGTACTCTTTTATATATTATCGCCAATTCCTACATTATTAGCAAGGCGTTATAGTGAATCAGGAACTGTAAATAAATCATATTTAGAATTAGCAATATTTGTTACCATGGGATTTGTAGTATCCTCCTTTGGTCTTCCTATTGTATTGGCAAGATCTCCAATAAATGATCCTGTTGTGAGTATCATTTTTTAAGAGTAAAAAATCCTATATAATATAAAAATATTTATAAAAAATATAAACCTATGTGTTTGTGTGAATGATGTGTACGTTTGTATACACAGGTGTTATAAACCTGTAAAAATTCAATTTATTTAATTCAGTGCAAGTGCTTGTAAACTATTTGTGGTAATTTAAATATTCTGTATCACCTAAATTAAATATTAAATTAAAATAATTTATGAATTAATTTATTAGATTCAATGGGGAGCGTGTTACCTAATATTAACAGGTAATGTTGTGGTATATTTAACTATTATTGGATTCTTCACAGCATTTGAGCAAGAAGATACTGAATACAGCATGTGGTGATGTGTTAGCATATGTACTTATCCCTTATGGTAAAATTTTATTACAATTTATGGAAAAGCCACGGTTTATTTTAATCTTTTTCTTTCTGCTGATTTATTATATATAATTAATATAATTAATATTGAAGAAGCACTTATAAAATGTAATTATAAATTAAATATTTGTTGAAATAAAACTGTAGGCTCTTTCCATATTTATTTACTAAAGTATACACTGATATATTTCATATATAAAAAGACTTATTTTTCATTTCTAGATTTATGTACAAGATTTATGAAGAGTGAATGTGTGAGTTGTTAACTGACTGATTATTATGCTTTCTATGATAAATGCATATAAGTCATTGTACACTGCTAATTTGTACAAGCTGAAAAGACTAAACTTGAAAACTGAAGTTTATTTGTATGATAATATCAATTTGAACAAAACATATAGATCTACAAGTTATATGAAATATTTGTAACATATTCGTAAATTAAACTGGCAGCTTTAATAATTTTCATTCTTTTATCATCTTTATATAATGTATCAATGACAACTGATAAATCATTGATAAGAAAATTAAATTTAGATATATTAAAGAGATTATGTTTAATATTATTCGTCATATATATCAATTCATACATGAAATATGTGTCAATGTAAATTATTTATTAAATTTATAACAATTAAACAAGGAAAATAATTCAACATCAATATTTTTACTTCATAAATAATAACATTTTTATGTCCCTTATTAACATACAATCATAGTATTGGTATATAAGAATAATTTTAAAATTTTCAAATAAAATATATTTAAATCTAAATAGTTAGCAAATTTAGCAACTAGAATACAATGAAACAGAAAATTTACTTAGATTTATTTATATTTTACTATTTCAAAAATACTATTTCTTTTTGCGATATAAATATATGTAACATAATTAAATTACTTTATTATAATATTAAAAATTGTGATTCACATAAATATTCAAGTTTACTTATCGTTTCCTTATATACACCTTATAACTTGATAAATCTCGATTTTTCATATTATAATATATTTAATGCATTGAATTACCATTAATTATTCTTGACTATATTTATACTTTAACCCAATAAAAATTTAAATATACAATTAGTTATATTATTAAAGCTTTATGTAACTAATAAAGAATACTTCTTTACTGAAATATATTATGAAGATATATTGAATAATATATGAAAATCATCATTGAAGTAGATGCTATAATAAATTCACATAATATAATAATAAAACAATGATTTGATAAAATATATTCAAATTTTAATTAATCTTTATATTAAAGTATAGCAACTGTCCATTTTATCAATATATTGAATTAATAATATGCTTAGTCTTTTATGGAGAATAAGAGTATTGACTTAAATAAATATAAAATAATGAATTTTACAAATATTTTTAAATATTTTGAGTTAGTAGAAAAAACGCGTGAGTCTTACAGTACAACAAAGAACGTATACTTTTAACAATATTATTTATTTAGAACATGTAAAATTAAGCGATCTAAAGATAATGAAATTAAATATTTTAGTCATTTTATTTAAGTTGAGTAATTCTGATCATATTTTTCTCTCTTTGATAACGATATAATTTAAGAACACGTATTTTTAATTTATTATTTTTTTTTCAAAATTATGACATAAATTATGTATAATAATAGTAGTACAAATTTTATTTATAGTAATAAATGTATAAACTAAAATTATTCGCAAACTGACTAGTCATTAAATATTGGACCTTATTTAAACTATAAATACTATGTCGGTACTACAAAATATTAGTTAACTTTCACCTATTTGTGTAGAAATCAAAATTATAAAATATTATTAATGATATTTTTGCAATTAATAGACTTATTAACATTATATTAAAATAAAAACGATCAAGCCACATTGATAATTATTAAATTATAAAAACTTGCTTCACTAATATAGTTTTCTGCAATGGCAATCATATTATTAAAATGTTTTTGTTCTGAAGCCTTTAAGTAATCACCTATTTAATACCTGATTTTGGCATTATAATTTTCCATAATTACATAATTAATTATAAGAAAAGCATAATTTTCAATATAAGTTAGAGAAGATAGGGCATTGTGAATAACAATTTAAAAACAAACGGTTTAGAAGTATTAATTACAGACTTTTTGTAGATTATTTAAAAAAAAAAAGAAAACAAAAGGTAATGATCAGAAATAATATTAAAAACTTATACTTAATGAATTTTGTAACTGCGATTTATTTATAACTAATGAAAATACATTCTTATTAAGATATTAGTAGTATACTTAATGATTTAAAACGTATTTCAATTGTTTTTCCAAATTGATTCCAACAAAATTTCATTTTAAACAATACTAGTAAATATCGTTTTTCATTGTACACTATTATATCACATTAAAATAGTAATAGAAATTAAGGCCAGTGTTATGATAATATTTTATAATATTAGTTATTTGGGTTATTTATAACTAATTATTTTTTATTTTATAAATAATATAAACATTTTATAAATGAACTGATTAATATTTTTATATAACATAAAAATGAATTATAAGTTTAATGTTACAAAAACAATTCAAATAACTATGAAATAATATGTAATTATGAAGTAATTAAAATTATTTTAATTTAAATTTAGATTATTTTAAATTAATTTAGAAAAAATTAAGTTAATTTAAAACTACGAATACGTTTTTCTTATTTTAAAAAGTTCAAATGTAATGTAAATTTCATATAATGTGAAGTTCAAAATTCTCTGGAAGAAAAATAAATCATATTAAAATCTAAATGATTTTCAAATTACTATGTTACAATGTAAAGAAACTTTATTTTTGAATATATACACCATTGTATCTATAAAACTTAGGATGTTTATAACTGCAGCTGTATACCTACCTAGTTAAGTGCAAAATAATATATATATCCCGATGTAAAATTTCAATGTAAAATTGTATACCTAATTGGTTGTGAATTTATTTCAATGAAAAATTTCAGACAATTATAAATACACCGTTCAAAGAAATCTTTCATAATGACATCTATCCAGCAAATATAAAGGGGCAAATGAAAAAATTTCAATTACTACTTCTATTATGATTCTGGAAATTTGCATTTTCTTATAGGTAATTAAATATAAGTAGTAATTGTAAACGGTAGCTATTTTCGATTTATGATATGTTTCAGGTACTTAGGTATTTAAATAGGTACATTCCCATTTTAATATACTTCTTGGACTTTTCTAGGATAGACTAACGATAGTAGAAACATGTTACAACTTGTCGTCCTTAATATCTACTGGCCTGGTATTTGAAATTATTTCACTATTCGAAGTAATTCGCAAATTTTTTAAAGTGCGTAAATATGCAGAAATAAATATAAAAAGTCATTAGATATTAAAAGATTGTAAAACATTTGAATTTTTTAAATAATACACGACTTTTAGAAGTTGTGCAGAGTATAGGTGAATATAATAAAGTAAATACCATAAATTTATAATAAACATGATCTTTTTTAATCGATTGATAATTCAATATTACTTAATCGTTCATTTTTATAATAAATGATAATGCAATTAATTAGACTATTAAAATAACCATTGTAGTTAAAAGAATTTATAGACTTTAGAATTAATAGCTTTTTAAGTAATTTGCTTTTAACGAAAAATTCATCGTTGGAAAATTAATATAAATTATCTAAACTTGTAAGAGATTATTGAAAATTTGTTTATTTCAAGTTATTATAAATAGGTTATATCTCATATTTTATGTAAATCCTTAAATTTGGATTTTATTTATTAGGAACTGTTACAAGTTTATACAATATTCTTTAATTTTTTTTGGTATTTTTAGTCATAATTTTGCAATTAAATAACAAACTTCAAACAAGATTCGAGATAATTAGCAGAACTACTTATTCGTTTTGACAAGCATTTATAACATTAGTATAATTTTGTTTTAATTACTTTTTAAAATGTAGGTAAAATAAATAGGAATATATTATTTTCTTTGATATTTGCAAGTATTATATTTTTATTTACATTAAGAATAAATTGAGTCATATGTGACCAGAGTTTAATATTTTTTATAAGTGGAAAAAAGCATAATGATGTAAATGATTTTTATTACTAAGATAATTGAAATTTCGATTATAAGTACATTATAAATAATGAATATACTATCATAAAAATGAGAATTTGCTTATGTTTGTGCTTATTCAAATAAATAGTAACTACTGGAAATCTAATTACTCTATACTCTATAATCATTCAATACCGAGCTATAGTAAAGAAAATCATCGATTTATAATAATTTTATAAACGATTATAAATTTCTGATTTTAAAGATATCCTACGTTTTAATTTAATAGAAATAAAAAAGTAATTATGACGCATTCTTTGTAAAAATTGTTTAATTTTTTTACAAAAATATGTTTTAAAGTATAAACTACAACATTCTATGAATCGAAACAAAAACATAATTATGTGTCAGTAAAAGAAAATTGGTTAGACGGACAGCCGAATGATGCGAAGAATCGGATTAGAGTCTTGGGTATAATCCTTTAATGTGTTTCTTAGAAATTAGAAAACAGATTTAGTCATTAATGAATTGAAAGCTTGTTGCAATACATTATATATTTCAATTCATTTTAATAATAAATAAAGGAGCTTCGCGTAAAAAAATAATGTGAATAGATTTTAAAAACACTGAACATTGTAATTTAATTTTGGCAATTAGATACATATATTATCCAAATATAAATTATATAAATTTAAATCTAAATCTGTATATATATGAAGCCATTAATTATCATTCTATAATGGTCGATACATGTAATTTAACGATGGATGATATTTGATTTTAGAAAATATGGCTAAGTTGAAGAATAAACTGCTCCTAACCTAAGACAAATCTTATAATTATTGTATAAAACATGGCAAAATAAAATGTAACAAATACTAACCAGTATTGATATATATATATATATATATATATCTTTTTAAATTCGTACACAGCTACAAATAAAATAATGTAAAAATGGATGCCATTCAAATTTTTATTGAAAATTTCAACAAATCATGGAAAAATAAAAACAATGACGCTCATCGTGGTAAGACATATCTAAAGGCAAATATGTTAATATCTATATTAAATAAACAAACAATACTATTAATTGCAAACATAGAATATGTTAATTCCCTTGATTAAATATAGAAATATTAAAAAGTATTTTAGATTGATATTCTACAATACATGCTTATGTTTTCATAATCAGCTTATTTTATCAAATGCAATTTTACATCATATTTCTTTACAGCAATAGCTTTGGATAGTTTATTTGACGAACAAAAAGGATTGTTTAAATTTATGCAATTCGTATTACATAATAACGATATAGTAAATTTTAAAATGTCGATACAAGAGTCTTTTAATGCTCTGCAATTTATTATGGAATTATGTAATCAGGAATATAAAGTTTATATCTTCAATACAACTGTAATTTAAAAAAAAAATTTTTTTCCAATATTATCATTTATATTAAATATGTAAATTAATTTTTATTCTAATAATTTTAGAATATCTGTTTTTGTTATATTAAAACATTCTGCTGGTTTTATATAAGAAAATCTGCTGCTGAAACATTACGAAAATTGATAAAATTATTTATGGATTCTGAATTACAGTTAGATAATATTATTGAACATTATATTAAATGTTATTTAAGACTATACTTACGAAAAGGTAATTCATTATAATTTAATTAATGTACCTTACAACTTAATCCTAATTGGTAGTCTCACTAAAATTTTTTTGTTTGAACTATTCAAAATGATATATTCATTCTGTAGCATCATAAATAATTATTTAATTTCAAAGACAATGGCTTATTTAAAATATACATACATAAAATAAGGAGTCTGAATTTTATAAAAACTATAATTGCTATTGAATAGTATTCTAAATCACAATTGTAAAGAAATTGATTGTATTATTTTAATATTAATTAATTTAATATTACTTTCGCAATGAAAATTAATTTTTAAATTATATAAAATTAATACAGTAAAATTATTTAAATAAAAAGATCTGCTTATTGAAGAAATTTATTAATTGGAATTTTCTTTTATAGATGGGAGTATATTGTACATTGTTTTAGGAGCAATTGCAAGATATTGTCCTAAAACAACAAATATGGGTCAATTTGTTGATACAATATTTTATAACTTAGAAAATGATTTAAAGAATCAGGTAACAAAACATAATATTTTATATATTAGAGAAATGTGTATAATCAAGTATTTGTTATAGCTTAAACCTAGCGATGAAAAACAACCACAAGAAATAAAAATTTATTTAGACTGCTACTGGGATATGTTTACAAATTTTATACCATTTGAAGGACATTCTAAAAAATTAATTTATTTAGAAAAATTATATGGTTGCCTTTTAAAATTATGTGAAAATAATACTGACAAAGTAATTAAAAACAAATCAATTTATTTTCTTACTACTTATATAATACATTTTTCAAATTTTATATCTCGAGATTATAAAAAGTGGCACACATTATTAAATAATAATACAGATGACAAATACACTGCATCAGCTTTAATAGCTTTTTATAAAATTATGGCCTTGTATATTTTAAATGAAAATAATAATGAAATATTTTTAGTAAGTAGATCATTTTTATTTTAATAAATGATTGCAATTCTCATAATTATAATATATTTTTCTTTTTTAGTATTTGAAAAATGATTTAATATCTAATTTGCGTAATAAAGATTTGCCAATTAATAAATTAGGTTTGGTTATAAATGGATTAGGTGAATTTTCTGTTGCTTATGCAAAATACTTACCAACTGAGATTACTGAAGTTTTTCAAATGATTGCTCTTCGAACACAGCCTTTTTATATAGAGTAAGATTTCCTAGTTTTTCTTGTATCTGTTTCAATTGAAAATTTATAAATTTATTTTTTAAAGGAAATATGAAATGGATACAAACTTTAATACATTATCAGATTACTTAAGAACTTTATCACAAATTTTACAACATATACCAAATATTTCACAATATCACATCAATGTAGTAATAGAATTAAGTATACTTTTTATTAAAAAATTTCCAAATACAAATAGAAAAAATAGAGATTATATTGTGAATGCATTAAAAAGTACATTTCTAAATATTATTTGTCTCGAAAAAAATGTTCAATCTCAATACTTTAAATGTTTTTGTAAGTCTAATTAATACCTTGTACAGACATTATTTCTAATATCAATTTAATTTCACATTTTAATACGATTAATTTGTAGTTCGTGAAGGAATATTGAACTCTTGTTCTCATAGATTATTTATTGATGTAGAACTACAGCAACAAATGCAAAGTCTTCCAGAGTATCCAATTTGTTATAAAAACTATTTACCTCTTTGGCAATCATTATTTAAGATAGAGAGTGAAAATCAATTTCCTCGACACTTTATTTTACAAATTTTTAATGAATTTATTTCAGTTTTAATTTTATTTGTGGATAATCTGAATTTTAATGTAAACTTTCAAGATGATAATTTGTATAGTGACACATTTTCTTTATTGAAAGTTGAAAATAAAACAGATTTCCGGTTTTTTATTAATCTTGTTGATTTATATATAGATGTTTTTGAAAATGTCAACAGCATTTTATTGAAAAATTGGATTGAAAAACTTATAATATATTTTATAAAATACTCATATAAGTATTCATTGATTTCTGGTTTTTATAAACTAATTAAAGTTATTTTTGCTTTTTCCTGTAATGAAATATGTTTCAATGAATCTACTTGTGAATTAATTTCTCAATATATATGTAATGTTATCAAGCTTATTCCTGGATTTTCTGGTGAATTACAAGTATCATGTATTTATTTAATTTTTAGCATTCCATTACATTTCATAAAAGATTTAATGAGTCAAATTAGTTCAGTTTTCAAAATTGCTTTTAATATTGGCTTAAACGATCTTTCTTTAGCATTTTACGCATTAAAAATGTTGGAGAATTTAATAAATAATCCAGAAATTCAATGTTCAAGAGATTTTGTGATGAGTGCAATTCATTATATAGATCCATATCTTTCATGTGAATATGGCAGCTTAAATATATCTGCATTTACTATTAAAGATAAAAAGGAATCCTTACAAAATATTACTAATATGAATGATGATGAAAGTCTCGAACAGTTACAAAAAAAAATATTACTTTTTTATGGTTCGCTTGGTTTGAATATTTTATTAGATTTTATTCACGAAAAATCTATTCAAACAAATGCAACATGGAACAAGAAAAATCTTTTTCAACATGAATTACTTTTTCCAGATATTCGTTTAGTTATTTACTTTGATAAATTTATTCCAAGAATAATTGAATTGACAAAAAGTGTTAATAACAAAACAAAAATTTCAGCATGTGAATTATTACATACTTTAATAATAGTTATTGTAGAGAAGAAATTAATGGATCAATGTTTTAATAAACCAATGTGTTACACAGTTCTAAGACTTGCTAGCGATTCAAATGACACAATCAGAAATTTATATTATCCATTGGTAATACAATTGACTCATTATTTGAGCTCTAATTTAATGAAAGAATCAAGAATACCTCAGGATTTTATAGACTCGTTGTTTGAAGGTTTGACCGAAGAATTCAATACATGTATACGAGATTGTTGTGGTTTGTATTTAAAGGAATTTGTAGAGTGGTCAGTAAAACAATCGAATGAAAGTGAATTTGCAAGTTTATTGAAAATGAGAAACATTGTTCATCGAATAACGAATTCAGCCCTTTATCCATCGAATAAAAAACATCTAGCTGCTGCAATTGCATTCAATCATCTGTTTTCGATTCTTCAAGAAAATTCAAGTATTCTTAACATATACTGGCTAGAATTTTTATATGCTTTTGTAAAATGTTTGGAAGATAGCGATGATATACAAATTATTTGCGCTATTAATCGCATAGAGAAAGTGATAAGAAACAATGCAACTATATTTAATATTGAAAGTTCTGATAGAAGAAGGCCTCCAGGCTTTCCAGATGTAACTTTAAAAGGTGTATTGATATGGCTTTTTAATTACTGTGCTTCTTTGAATATAAAGTGTAGATGCAAAAGTAGAGAACTTTTTGAACATTTTTTGCCATTGACATCTGAATATGATGTTATCAAAAGTGTTCTTATGGATAAAGTTAATGAAATTGTATTAAAAAATTTGGAAGAAGACTTTGAGTATATTACAATTAATAATTCAAAGGCTATGCTACGAAGTTTAGATTTTTATATTTGGATTCTAAAAAGAAAATTTTTACCTCTTGAGTTTTTTAAAAGATTTGAGGATTCTTTTACAAATGGACATATATTTTTTAAATGTTTTAACAAATTCATTTCTATAATTATAAACCAAAATATACAAATTTTAGATAAAGATTATTTAAATACATTAATGGAGAAAGAAGAACTTAGTAATTTAAAAAATAATATTATTTTGAAGACTTTAGAGTTTATATCAACAATATTACTTGTAAGAATCTTTAAGAAATTTTCTTGTATCATAAAATCAAAGTATTAAAATTTTCTTTATTTTTGTTAAAAAGTTTAATTGAAAAGTATTTATTTATGAGAAATAATTTAATTAGTAAAATATTTAGAAGAAATAATAAATTTTATAATTATAAAATTAACAATACATTTAACAGCTTTCATATGATCATTATTTACCTCAGTACTTAATTGGAATTTAAAAATGAAGTAAAAGCTGTAAAAAATAAATTTAATAAATGAATAATAATATAGTATACAATAAAATTTTGTATAAGCATTTAATAATTATATTATGAATATTTTCTTATAGTGTAAATTTTTTCTTGAAATATAAATTTAAATTTCTTATTTTTAAAATATTTTTAATTTGTCTTTGCTTATACTGCATTGTCTTAATAGTACAAGACAATTTTTTTTTATATAGTCAAGAGGTTTATATTTAAATTAAACTATTGTATATTTTTAATTATAAATTTGTTTACAGGAAAACGACTTAAAAAATAAATATTGGAATGACGATTTAAATTTGTTAATTATGCTTTGCACGTTATCACCTCATAAAATTGGTGTCTCTTCCAGAAGTTTAACAGTAATTGAAAAATTGCCTGAGAAGTTGAAAATACTGTTAACATTAATAAAGAGTATTTTATCACAAGAATCTTTCTTCAAATGTCAAAAATATTTTGTAAATAAGTTAAGGAATGATTTTTTACAAATTAAAAAAATTAACGATGTAGTTAATCATAGAACAAATATTTATACTCTCAAGCAGCTTATAAAAGGATTGATTATTTTAAAAAAGACTAAATTCATCGATTTTGAACATGTATATATGGATTCGTTATTTATTAATATATTTTTATATAAAAAACAAAAGTCATACATTTCATTTCTTATTTCAGTATAATTTTACAATCAGTTATTCAATGGATATTATATTAAATATTTATAATGTATTAAAAATTGTAATAATGAGCAATGATGTATGTAAAATACTTGATGAAGATGTTAAAGAATATTTGGAAGAATTGATGAAATTTTTATTTCAAGATTACCAGGTAACAAAGTAATATCAAATTAAAAGTAAAATGATCATATGTATTTACATATAATTTAATGATTAATTCATTACAATATTCCAGCCAACAATAATAGAATATATAATAAGATTAATTATAATTGACAATCAACTTATAAATTCGACTGGATGTACAATTTCGCATGGTAAATATTTTTTAGAAGTATTCAAAAAACCAGTGTTTGATTACATGCTGAAAAATGTATTTCAAACAATGAAAATATTTGACAAATTTCTCGATGAATACACAGATAAAATATTTTTTATAATTGAAGAATTATTAATGTTTATCAAAATTAATAAAAGATCAGAATCAGAAATATTGGCAGATGCGGTTATTGATAGGTGCAGACTTTTTGAAAGAGAAATTAATGGGGTTGCGCACAGAAAACTAAATTTTCTGAATATTAACAAAATAGCCGTAAGTTTAAAAAAGAAACCAATAGAAGCAATAAGAAAAAATGGATCTCCAAATGCATTGTATTCATGGATCTTAGAAGAGCTTTTTACGTCAAATAATCTTGAAAAGAAAACAATATTCTTACAACACTTTTTAATATGCTTGGTTGACGAAGAGTCGACGATCATTAATCCAGAATTGTTCATAGTTTTCCGACAATTGAGAGATGAAGATACCAGTGTTTGTTTGAAAAAATTCGAATCGGACGATACACTACGATTTCAAGCTATATCATGCTTCCAAATGTTATTAAAAATGCTTGTCATTACGAAATCTTTAACATTATATCAAGGTCTTATTAAATACACAGCCGGAATGTACAATTTTTTATTTAAAGAAAATATAAAAGAATATTTAAATTTATATTTTGCTAATTTATCAGATGTAAATGCATTAAAATCATTAGAAATTGCTTACAAAATGTTCATGGAGTTCAATTTAAGCGTTGAAAGACTCGACGTTCTCAAGTACTTTCTATTGCCATCTATTGAATCAAATAAGACTTCAATCATTGAAAGGTTTTACGTTGAAAATTATAAGGAAATTATTTCATACGTAATAAGAAAAATTAGTGACGTTTTAAGTAGTACCGAAGATAGAATTAAACTAATTATTTCAAAGATAGGCTCGTATAACATATTTGAGCTTCTTTTTGCCAAATTTGAATTGAAATTTATGACAGTTGTAGATTCCACTACGCATATTGAAAAATCAATTAATCAAATTTTAGTACGACAAGCCATGGACTTGCGTTCTTTAATTACGAAAAATGCCGAAGAAAAGGAAATGACAAGGCTGTTGCACTGTGCAGGTTTCAACTGTTGCACTACATTGATCAGTATGAAGAAGGATGAAGTATTTTATCCGTTGATATTTTATGAAGATAAAAAGACAAACGCACTCATCTGGGAAAGGATCGTCGACTGCGACAGAAAATACAATTTCAATGAAACGACGTCATCCGTAAAGAAAGATATAAAAACATTAATAAACATTCGCAGGAATAATTATAATAACGAGGAAAATCCAAGAGAAACGGCTGACTCATACTATCATCATTATAGTCTAGCCTCTTTAACCTACTTTGAGGATGTTCACGCGTTCGATCTCAACGATTATAAAATCCTGACGCAAGTCGAGACAAATGTAGAAGTGGAGCGCCGATTGAGCATGAGTTTTGAGAGCGACGAACTCAACGAACACGAGTGCATGCCCATGATATCTGGCGTCCTCGTGCATATGTTTAACAACGAAATATACGCGATGCCCGAAGGTCAGATCGGCACCGACCAGTTGCCCCGATGTTTAAAGTATTTTCGTAACTCATTCGCCACGCGTCACGACAACGTCAGACTCTTCCTGATGAAGATTATCGGAAATGCCAAGAACGCCTTCGTACCGTGCATCAAGGCCTTCTTCCAACCCCTTTTAGGCACCATCGACCGTTATCTTGCAAGCAACCCGCTCAACTACATCGTCAGAGACATCCTCGTTATTCTCATTCAATCCAGGTACAAGCCCATTGGCGAGGGCGAGATAAAAGACGCCCAGAAACTTATCGAACGGCTAATTGAAGTCGCTCCTGATCATTCCCCTCGTTTTTTCCGTTACAACCTCGATTTAATCGAAAATCTCACAAGACTTTGGATCGAGCAGCTTCACTGGCCTAAAATACTCGAGAACAAGGTTAATTTGGACTGCGACTTGCTCGTGAAAGCATCATTGGCCCTCCTTCACGCTGGTTTGCGCGGGATCACCGACTGCGGTCTAATTTGCAATCACGTCTGGTCCGCGATGCAGCATTGGACAGAAGAGGAGTCTAAAGTTCTCGCACGTTTCGAGGCACTCGGCTGGATAATGCGCCTTCGTGACAAGAACTGTAGTCATATTGGGACTCCCGAGATAACAGCTCTCCTTAGCAATATCGAAGCTAAGAATCAAGATCGCTGGGCTCGTTGTTTGTTCGCGCTTCATCGTGGTTGGGGACTCCAGGCCCAATCGGGGCCTACCCTTATTGAGCTTAAACGCCTGCCTGAGCACGCCTGGCCCGAGGCCCTTGACCTTTTCCTCAGACGACTACCTCATCTGCAACCCGATCGACTGCACACGGAGTTTTTGCTTTTAGATCTGTCCATGTACCTTCGCGAGCGCTCACCCACCTGCGCAGGACCCGCCCTGCGTATTCTCGCGGCTTTGGTACCGCGACTCGCGGAGCCAGAGTTGCGACCTCTCTTACTCTTGGCAGTTAGGCTTACAGGTCCAGCGGGTACTCCAGAACAGAGGTGGCTAGGATACGCGGCGCTAGCTGAAGCATATCTGCACTACAAGGACGCGTTTTACTTACGGTGGCTCGTACGGGGCTTGAACGACCCGTCGGAGAAGGTACACGAAGAGGTACTCGAGTTCTGGCGTAATCGCATCTCTATGCCAAAAACAAGCAGCGAACGCCTATTATTTATTCTCGATTTGTATATGCCTGAGTTGGAATCCGTTTTCGCCCATTTTCTTTGTTTGTCGATGTTGGACCTGGCGGCGAATGCTCAGGATGGTGAGCGCCTGCTCTTAGACATACTAGACAATAACGTACCGACGAGCTGGAAATTTGCCAGTTTGGGTACTCACGCGCCGCTTTTCGTCCCGTCATTGGTCAGTCGGCTTAACATGCCTGGATCTTGGCTAGACGCAGATCAATCCGTACCCAAGCGAATGCCCGACCCCTCGCAAAATGAATTGTCCTGGCGTCCGAATTCGCGTGAGCTTAGCGCTGCTAGCAAACGCCACGGGAGTTATAGGAGGCGTTTTGTAACAGACGATTATGAGAAGTCTAACGTTACGCAGCAAGGTTTTGTCGAGAGTGTGAAACGGCTTCTCGCCCAGGACACGATGTTCTGCAAGGACTTTGCCGTGGCACTTGTGTGCCAATTGATCGAGCGTCTACGCGGCGCCGAGAAATACGATGACTTTGTAAATAATTTGACTGCAAGTTTTGACAGAGCTTTACAGGCGCAGCAAGAAGAAGACAGTGATTTCTTGGCAGTGATCTTGGAGATCGCATTGCGCTCGAAAGTAATGAGGGTAAACGCCGAGACTATAGGAAAGGTCTGTAAGACACCGAGTCTCAATGCTCTAGGGATACTTTTATTGGAACAAAACATAAATGAGGAGAGTGAGGAGGACCCTCCGCCGAAGAAGAGAGCGAAGACGGATGATTTGGAGGAAAAAGGCAATTGGATGAAATTGGCAACGTTATTTAAATCAATAGGCAAGGGTGACCTTGTGAAAAGTATTTTTAAACGCCCTAACGTGTTTATTAAGGAAATGAGAGAGGCCGCAATGGCCCATGCTAACACCGAATGGCTCGAGGCGAAAGATCTTTACGAAATCGCCTATGAAGTAACATTTAGTCCCGAAAAGGACTTCTGCCTTGAAAATATGTTCGAGTGCTTTTACGAACTTAGTTCCTGGGGCGAGATTACTAAGAAAACCGATATTATTCTTGACGGTAATTATAATTCAGTCTGGGAGTCTCCAAAACGACAGCTGCTTCTTCCCTGGATACTTCGGGGACAACTACAACAATCTCTCGAGGTTTTCAACGACGGCAAAGAGCTGGAAAATGCCAACTTCATTGCTAATTTCGACAGTTGGATACAGAGCAAGGAATCGTTTATGAAAAAGACTTACGGCGAGGAGATGGCAATGTTTTACATCTGTGGTCAGGAAACCGACGAAATTTCCAGGCATTCTGTCAAATGTCACCTTGATTATCTAAGAGAGCAATGGACGCGTTTGAGTCCCTTGTCTGAGATATTGAAGACGCAGATTCTGATGAAACTTCGAGCAATTTATAATATCAACAATTATATCGAGCTACTCAGGTCTACGGACATTGTTGAAGCGTCAAAAAGTATAATTCGTTACTGGGATCAGCACGTGCCCTCTCCGAACGACGAGCTTTCAATTTGGAATATTCACGTATCGTATAGATTAACTTTAGCAAATATATTACATAGAAAACTATTTGAAAACGGAGCAGAATCCATGTAAGTATTACTTTGAACTTAATTGTTCTATTTATTTGCTTACAAAATTATTTTCAATGTATATGTAGATTTGCAAACGCACTCAATCATTAAATTATTTAGGGCCTTCAAAGAAATAATAGCAGCGAGCATTCGACAACGATTAAAAATAACTGAATTAGCAATGAAACATAAAAATTATGTAATAGCTAAAAAGCATGTACTAAGATGCGAGATAATGTTAAATCAACTCGACGGAAACGATTATTTGAAATTGAAACATGATTTTACTTTGACAGCTTCAAAGTATAAATTTTTTTGTGGTCAACGTTTTACTAACACTGCAAAAAAATTTAAATATTATCTCTGTTCGTGGCAAATAACAGATCAAATAATAAAGGATAATAATGCCGATCTCGTGACGAAAATCAATGCCAAGCACCATCTCTTTGATTTAGCTTTAGCTTTAAAGAGTTCAGCAGAAAAAAATCCAGAATTTTTACATCTCCTTATGCAAACTAATATTTTCAAAGAAATGGATAAGCCAGATGGTGCTAATATTTTAGACGCTTTTAAAGCATATAGTTTTAATATTTTAAAGAATGTATGCGAATCGTCTAATGATACAGTGATGGCTAAGAGCTATACAAAATTTGGAAAGTATTGCTACACTTTCTTATATGGAATCTATCAACGCGACTCGACCATTTCCGATCAGTTCATCTCCTCTATATTAATTGGCATGTCCTTAGGCTCACTGGAGGCTGCTCATTATTTTCCTTGTCTTTTAAAAGAAGAGTTTTATGAAAACGAGCAATCGGTGCAACTTTTCATTTCTAAAAGTAAAAATGTACCGAGCTGGATGTTTCTATCCTGGCAGGCACAAATTTTAGCGTATTTAAATAAACCAATTGCTAAGCTCCTAATTCCAATTCTGTACAGACTAGTAAGCGATTATCCATATGGTATAATGTATAATTTCCGTCATATTTACGAGGCTTTACCTTCATTAAGAATAAATTGTAAAATCCAGAGTATGTATGAATCACTTTTCAGTAATCCAAAAATTGATACATTTTTTAAAGCGATGCATCGAGTTTGTCAACCAGAACATTATACGAGACATTATTTGTTGAAAATTTTCGAATCCGATGGTAATTTATCTAATTCTATCGATACTTTGATTGACAATATTTTTATACAACAAGTACAAGATAACTCATTGCAAGGATTGATCTATAGAGTTCTAGACAAGTATAAACGTCGACTAAACGAAGTAAAAGAGATGGATTGTGAAAATGCTAAAAAACATTTGCGAAATATTGCCATTGATTTATATGAATCAATGAAAAAAAGATTGGCAAATGTAAATAGGCAAGCTTTGCAAATCAAGGATTATAGTCCATATTTAAGTAATTTTTCAGGCGAAGACATTGAACTTGAGATACCAGGACAATATCGAGATAATGTAAAGCCAATGCCTCATTATCATATTAAAATCTTAAAGTTTCATCGTTTCGTCAGAGTAATGGATTCCAAATGCAACCCTATCAAGATCAGAATGATTGGAAATGATGCATTGACTTATGATTTCCTTACTAAGTTTGGTGAAGATCTTAGATTGGATCAGCGGTTACAACAGATTTTCAATATAACTAACAAAACCTTAAAGGCTGATATAAATTGTAAGAAGAGGCACTTGTCGATAAATACTTACAATGTTATTGCGCTATCGAGTTCGTTGGGACTTATTCAATGGGTTGACGAAACAAAGTCACTCAAAGAATTTGTTCAATTTTCAATGGCCGACAAGACAATAATCGAAACCGTGTCATTAAAATATCAAAGTTGGATTAAAAAGGCAGGGAGATCAGACGGATTAAGTAGTGCATATAAAAGAGCTGTGACGAAATATCACCCGAAGGAAGTGATATCTAAAATGAAAGAGCTCATTAATGTTATTAATCCGGATTGTTTGAGAAAGACTTTTGTAATGCTGAGCCCCTCTTTGGAATGTTTCGTATCGTTGCGACAAAATTTCATCACGAGTTATGCAACAATGTGCACAATTCATTGGATCACTGGAGTCGGAGATCGGCATTTGGAAAATTTGTTAATCGAAGTGAAAAGTGGAAAGTGTTATGGCATTGACTTTGGCTTAGCTTTTGGCACTGGCATCGATCAATCAATTCCAGAATTGGTTCCATTTAGGCTAACAGCACAGATTTTAGGCTTGTTCAAGCCTTTTACCGAGGAAGACTTATTTGGAATTACGATGACTCATGTATTAAACGCTTTGCGAATCGAACAAGGTCCTATGGTGGCCTGTTTAGATATATTTATTCAGGAACCTTTGGACTGGAGTAAACACGCAAATAAACATCTAAATGATGAGCAGGAGAAAGGTATTTTTTAGCTGTTTTCATCTAATATAAGATTAACATAATAAATTAAACAAACCGAATAAAGAATAATTATAAATGGAATAATTTTTTTCTCTTGAAACACAAAAATTCAGCATTTTATTTATTAAATGAGTTGAATATATTTATATTATGAATAGTTTTAATTTAAATAATTTTTTATTAATATACCAATTCATTGATTATTGTAACATATAACAAATTTTTGTAAATATCGATAAGATTAAATAAAAAATTGCCCTTGGTAGTTTTAGAAATATCGTCGTTTAAACATCACAAAAATGTATTCTACGAAATTTTACTATTAACATGATTTTTAAAATAAAATTATTTCTAGATTTTAAATGGTTACCACGAAAGAAAATTGAAATTATAGAAAAAAAACTAAATGGAGGTAATCCATCTAAAATAATGGTGGAAGAATTATCCATCATGCACGATGATGAAAATTTATTTGAAGGAACTCTTTATAAGTACACACACATTATTAATGGAACTGATTCTAAGCATATAAGGAAAAGATCAAGAATGAAAACTGAATTTCTTACATCAGAAAAACAGGTTTGATTAAATTATGTTGCAAATGTGTACTTTTGAAAATATAAATTATATGATCTTTAAATTATATTTTAATTTTATAATAGGTACAATGTTTGGTGGAACAGGCTACAGATTTAAATATTTTAGGACGCATGTGGGTTGGATGGGCTCCTTATGTTTAAATGTGATTTTTTGTGTCAAGTGTATAAACAACAAATTTTTGTAAACTTTTATTGTAATGTGATTATTTTATAATTGTAAATACTTTTATTATTGAAATTGTAGAAAAACGTTAAATAGAATCCAGAATGAAAATCCAACATATTACTAGGAAAAATTGTACATATATGTATATAATTTTATAATTATACGATAATCTATTATTATAAAGGTATGATAAAATAAAAGTCTTATTAAAAAAACATATTTTTATTTGGTCCTAATATTTTACAATCCTTAAAACTATATTTATAATTACTTTTATCAGCTTAAACTCTTTAATCTTATAATACAGTAACGTTTAAAACAGTATTGAATACAAAAATAGAGTTGAACTGTTTGAAAATCTTTTATTTGTATAACTTAAGTCGTTTGCATGGAGAAAAAAAGAACTTAGAAACCTATGAAATAAATAACTTCGTCAAATTATGAAGGATATTTTATGTTATTTCTCTTCACACCATTCATTTTCTTTCCGAACCTGATCTTCTTCTATGGGTGAAAAATCATTTTTAATGTTAAAGGTTTTGCGGATTTCTTCTGGTGTTTTACCCTTAATCATATTAGCTACAGTTTTACATGTAACATCCAAAAGCCCTTTGATATCAAGATAATTCGCAGATAATATTAGTTCAAAAAGTGTTCCTTGATCAACCTATAAATGAATACATATAAATTATTTAAAAACAAAAAGGATTCTACATGCGATAACAGTATTCAAACTTTTTTTATAATTAATTTAAATAAAAAAAAAATTACTTTAAGAAATTCCATATCCCATTCGCAAATATCATCTGTTCTTTTTTCAGGATTTTCATCTTCGTTTATTGGTGGATCATCTTTGTGATAATTTGCCCATTCAAGAACCTTTTTTAAAACTGAGCCACTGACATTTGGTAACGGAATAGGTTCATCTTCTTCCTCTTCTGGCATCCCCAAGTCCTCCAACATTGTTTTTATAGTTATAGAACATTGAGCTACTTTGACATCAACATCAAACACTTGATCATCACTGCTTTTAAGTTTGATATTTGTCATCTAAAATTATTAGTAAAAATAAAATTATTTATCATAGAAAATATTAGTTATTACATAATATAAGTACGTGTATTGTAAAGGAATATTATAAAAAATTACTATCGTTCTTAGAAATAAATATATTACCTAAGTTGTTCGGAAATATGCTTTTTTTTTATTTAAATTTAATACATATCTGTGTATACGCGATATACATAAGTATAATAAGAAAAAACATCGATTAATATAAATACAATATAAATATACAATATAAATAAAACCATAATAATATAAATATGTTAAATAGAAACAGGAGATTGTTTTTCATTTCATACAAATAACATTGAAAAATAAAAATTGTTTTATCTAAATATATCTATAATATATATAAGTATAAGTTTTGACAGATTATTCGCAATAAAACAATTTAAAAATATTAATAATCAAGCATACTTAAAAATTCGTGACTTCTAATGAGGAAAATCAGACATGAAAATATTCTATGTCGGTTTAATCATGTCCCGTAAAATCCCATAATGCACTTGGCATTTGTTTTTCTTTTGCTACACTGAATAACATAATTTATTTATAACGTAACCGGTGTTTTCAATTGGCATTGAAAAATCCTATATTCGTATTAGTACTGCAATTTACAGATAATTTTAATACAAATAAGCGTCGATGCAGAATTTCCCAAAAAGGCGTAATGTATATCAGAGAACTTCGAGTCGAGATATCGTTAGAAACATATCGATCCTACTAAAATTGCTTCCCTGATTGCGTTTCTTCAATTACTTAAGCAATCATCTGGAGACTAATAGACCAAGAGAAAGAAAGAAAATAATAGACGCAAAACTTACCTTCGATATATGAATTAGTTTAGGTTACTTTTTTCAAGCGTGTTCCTCGTTTTTCGATAAACTACAATTTTGCACTGCAAAAGTAGGGAGATGACCTTCGGTTGATTCAAAACCGTAATAATCAGGAAAATAATACTGGCGTGGATCTTCTGTGCTCAGCCGAACTAACAAATGGAATCGTAAACGCCGGGACCCGAAGAAAACAACGATCAAAGCGCGTAGATGTTATCGATGACGCGTGCCGATTCACTATCAACACGATTCTCGTTTTCCGTATTATGTTTTGGAGTTTCTGAATACAGAGGGCGTCATTGTTTTCTCAGTAATGAGGATAACGTTGAGAGAGGGGCGATTTTATCTAGAAATAATAGAGATTAAAGGATTTCAGTGTAATGAGGCAAGAATCTGAAAGATTTTTAAAATTTGATATTGTACCTCTATATCTAGTAATTTTTAAACTTATGATTATTGAGCATTATTGGCCAGACATAGAAAGTTTTAGATTTTTGCAACTGCACTTTTTATGATTTCACAGATTATCAATTGAATTTGAGTGCTTAAAAAAGAATAGACTTATTTTTTGTATTAATTTGTTTGAAATATTTAAAGCTAATTAAAATAACAAAGATAATCAGATGTTATTATATTATAAACCTACTGATTATGCATTATGAAAGATAGTGCTTACAAAAGTTACTCAGAATTGAATGTAAATAAATTTACTCATATTCTTGTGAATTTTTTTTTTTTTTTTTAAATTGACCATACATTTTATGTGCGAATATAATAATTTTTTTATTTCTTTTTTATCGGCAGTAAAATCAGATTTCCATTACTTAATTGCTCAATTCTTTATATCATTTATACAATAGTCTTTGCATTAAATGAGTTTTCATTTAAAAACAAAACACAAATCAAAGAAACACGAAAATCGAATGTAATTAGATAGTTTTAATAATACTTATTTCTTAATTTGTTCTTAGAGACTATTTTTGGGAAATATATAATTTCTATGAATTAATAAAAATGTATTATGACAGTTACATTTATTTATGTGTGTAATTTGAAAATAGCTTCTGCTTACATATAATTGGTATTTTATAATGAAAGAAAAAGGAAAATTGTTTTTATCTTACTTGATACTTTATAAATCTTTTAAATAAAAGTCCAAATTACATTCAATAATGTATTATTTAGATGTATTAAGAATTTCTTCAAAATACGTAAACATTCGAATATACAATTAAAAGTTGTATCCAATTTCTATTGATTTTTTATTATATTTGTTTGCCTTCTATACAACATATAGTAATGTACATTTTTTTATTAAGCTTATCTTTTTCGTCCCTTCTCTTATTGTTGTATGCAATCCGTGGATATATAACGATGAATCCGTTCGAATTTTTTTTCCATAAAATTTATTATTCGTTAAAGTACAGTAAAAACGCTACGGCATGGGATAATATGTAAACTTTCAAGAATTTAAAAAAATGATGACATTCTCGATAATTGTACGTATTATTTAAGCAACGAAAGTTCGGGAATATGTTCTCAATGATTAAATGTACATTAAATCATCAAACGGCCGATTTGCTATAAAGCTAATGTATATTAAGACATAATAAATCCGTATTAAGAGGATACTGTGCTTGAATTATATTTATTACAATGACATTATATCTCAGCAGAATTTGCCACTAATTTCCACCATACGTTATCGAATTTTTATAGATAATTACATTTGTATAATATAAATAATAATGTAACGATAAGCATCGATCGCACAATTAAAATATTTATTACCAACGAGAACGTGACTATAAGAAAATTTCATATCAATTACAAATTTTACTATTAATCGATATATATAATGAAAAAAAAATTTGTGAGCACACGCTATAATAATAGAATTGTAAAAATTCTTTATAGTAAATTTTGTTGGGCACGAATCAGGCTACCACATTGCTTCTCGCCCACGTACAACTATAGAAAAAGTTTCGTAACGATCATTTTAATATTTTTTACTATCTAAATTTGCCGAATATACCTTACAACGAATATCCGTGAAAACTGAATGCGCACTTATGGAAATCCCGGCACGCGATGCAATGAGCCCAACAGCAGTCCAACTGCATAACCTACGATTATTCGTGCTTTTAGCCGGTGAGTATTATATCATCAGCGCTTAGGGCACGCAACCGATTACGTCCAAGTCTCCAGGATACAGCCGACATGAGCACTTATACGTCTCCGTCCCGAAGCTGCGCACCAATATTCGAGCATACATCGAACGTCATGATTTTGTAAGAACGATGACGTCGCCACCTACACGCGGCTCCAGTAGACGGCGGTGTGCGTATGTCGGGATCTCACCCCGTGATACAATACATCAACGTAAAGTGGAGATGAGTTAGATTCCGGACAACGGATGTGCAGCTACCTGTGCGCTATTTGTCATAAGTAAGATTACGGGGGATGATTACTATTAATACTCGCGGCGGTACAGACACGGGGTTTGTGCGCGCGCGAGCCTTGGCGGAAAAAGCTCCCCGTGTCGCCAAGTCGTGGGAAACGTCGATTGTATTTAAGTGGTAAGTACGAAGAAATTGGCTAGCACATTCGCCCAGCTTATGCAGTACAATGCATAAGGCGTAGCTACTGTCCTTGACATTCTTCTTTCGCGCTCGTTGTCTCTTTCTTTCTTTCATTCTTTGTTATTTTCTTTTCTATTCTTTTTTTGTTTCTTCGTACCTTCGAGAGGGTGAGAGTTGCCGACTTACAAAGACCGAGAAGAAAATACTAGAAAGCATGTTGCGTGATTGCACACTTGCGTTGATTGATGCGCGTGTACAGTTTGACACGCAGCTTTTCACCTCTTCCATGTCTCTACTGTCCTCCGACATAACTTCCGACATTCTTCGGTTCTGTGCGTCTTTTGTCTTTAGCTTGTAGTGTTCTCGTTGTCGGTAGTAAGCTTTCCCTTGGCATTATTGGCCCACGGGCAAGTAATGTATGCGAGCTGTTGTCATTGATTTTATGTTCTGTAGTTACTACTTTTGTAGTCGACATCATCTGGAATAAACAATAAAGTGGAACAACTGTTTTTTTACGAATGCCGTGATGCGTGGAAGAAGCGACACTTGTCAAGTAATACAAAGGCGGTGCAGCATTTTTATTTTATTAATTAGTAGTCGAGTATTTTTGTCGATGCATTTTTAATTTTTCTTTAATTCGAAGAGTGGGCCTGCTAGATAGATATTGTTCGCGTTGTTAGTTCGTTTTTCTTTAAATTAATATTATTGTTGGATTGACGTGTTTTTCTTTTTATTATTTTTTATTTTTTACTTATCAATTACGATTTTAATTCAAGGAATAGTTAATAGGTGTCTTATTAATTTGTATGTTCAAATTCTACATATATTTATAATTTTATAATCTAAATAAATATACAATCTCTTGCATTCGTGATGCATTAAATGTTAATTATAAATTAAGAAACTTTAATTTCCACATAGTAGTTTGAGTAGACAAAAACTTAATTATTATTAAATCTTAGAACAAATGAATTTGTCTAATTCTCTGAAAAAAATACAAAATTTAAATCTCTTAAATTTCTTAGTTAGAAAATAAATATAAAATTTCAACACCTGTACATCATAGCCTACATTAATGACAAGAAAATGAAAGTTATGTGTTTTTCTCTCTTTCTCTCTCTCTCTCTCTCTCGCTCTCTCTCTCTCTCTCTCTCTCTCTGTATGAAAGTTTATATAAATTTAAGTACAATCAGCATTTAATTATTTCATTTTTCGAAATGCATTTATTTAACAAATCCATCTTGCAATAACATTAATTTTGTAATTTTTTTAATGTCAAACAAATTAAATTTAAATTTAATTGAGTATCAAAAGTTTTCTGCATTAATAAAAAATATATTTTGTTGTAGTGTATATCATATTGGAAAAAATTTCATAATAATACAATAAATATTTTAGATTTCCTAAGAACAATTTTCTAACAATAATAATGTAATTTATACCATTAAATTTAAACTAATTTAATCCAAACAAGTGTCGTAAAACATATTATAATGATAAAAAGTGACAATAAAATTTCATTAACAAAATATTAAATTTAATTATCTTTCATATTAATTTTATATTTTAATCACTAAAATCATTTATAATTTTTGACAAATAGAGATACCAGTTTTAAATAATATGAAAGATTTAATATAAATAAATTAAAAATACTTTTTAAAACACAGATCTGCAAACCACAATTTCACAAATTCTTCTTTTTTTTTTTTTTATATTAAAAACTTTTTAAATATTAATATTTATTCATGATTTTACTAAAGTATAATAATTTTGCTCTACATAGCTTACTTTCTCTTTTAATATAAATTGACTCTTCTTGTGGGTGTTTGAAAGTTAGAGATATCCTCCCACTTACATATATTATACTACACTAGACAAATGCTACATTCAGTTAATTCTTTCTCAGGCCTGGATTAAGTGAGGGAGAAAGAACTGTTCTTCAATCCATTGGTTTGCAGAGAAGCATGCAATTGACAAATTAAATCATAGAAATGCAAAAGCAACTGCTGCACAAGGAACGAACATCTTTAACCATATAGAGGGACTGTGATTTTTAAGTGATTGCATTAAATTGTGTAACCATTTGAATGTGCCCTAAATTAACATTTGTGAAATTGTGGTTTGCAGAACTGTGTTTTAAAAAGTATTTTTAATTTATTTATATTAAATCTTTCATATTATTTAAAACTAGTATCTCTATTTGTCAAAAATTATAAAAGAATTTAGTGATTAAATATTAAATTAATTTGAAAGATAATTAAATTTAATATTTTTTTAATGAAATTTTATTGTCACTTTTTATCATTATAATATGTTTTACGACACTTCTTTGGATTTAATGTAGAATTACCTAAGAGGACAATAAGTAAAATATATTCCAATAAATAATTGTGAAAATGCTTTTCAGAAATCTTTAAGAATAGTATAATTTTTAAAGATATTCTTATCGATATATTCTTACTTTAAAAAAACATTTGAAATAAATAATTGAGAATATATGTCTTATGCATTGTGCATAAAATACAAATTTATCTAAAGTATTCGGTAAATCATTTCAGAGAAAATAATATATACTTCATATTTTAAGTGTTGTCGAGTAATTTGCAAAACAGTCGATTGTAGTTTTTGTTGAGTTTAGTTCTCTTTGCTTGTATTACAAATTATTCAACCAATTGCAATGATTTTCAATATTATCTAAAAGCAATTCATTTATCTTAAAAATTAAATTTTTAAAAGGAATTTTAATTTATGGATTTGATAAGAATCACTTTATATTTGATTAAAAATTAAAAAATTTGATTAAAGGATTAAAAAATTTCTAAACGATTCTCAGGTTATCGTAGCTTTGAAAATAAGCATTAGTTGAAAACTATAATGAACATTGTGAGATCCTAATCAAGATTTTTAAAACAAATTGTCAAGCTCCAAAATATTCTAGTGTACTCTGTCAGAATCTCTATATCATAAATTTATACATTTCGTTATTACTTTCACATTAACGAAAATAATTATTTAAATACTTTATCCATCGCTTTTGCCTTTTTTTGCCTTTCTTTTCATTTCTACTGAACCATCACAGTGCCTGTCAATTTTATACAGAAATTATAGTCTTAACAATAGCTAACAGTAGCATAAAACTAATGGCACCATTGTACGAAATAAGCAATTGAAGCAACTATCTTTCAGCAGTGAAGTTAAAATCATAAACTTCACCAAATGAAGTGATACACAATTTTCGTGCAAGCTTAAGAAGGTGTGGAAAATAAGCCTCCGCAAGTCGTAGCGTGCTAACTTTAGGATAAACTCGGTGCACTGCATTGAACAAACAGCTAAACCGTGGTTGGTGGTGATGCGGGGATGTGGATCTGTTGCAACCATATAAGAGTCCGAGTGGGCAGCTGGGCAACTTCCCTTTTGTTAATCTCCCTTTTATGTTGGTGTCGCGAAGTTGCCGATGCTGATGTTAGAACGACGAGGGGCTCGCCGGTTCAAGGCGTCTTGCCATCGGAAATCATGTTACCGACACAGAATTCGATCACCGTCGAATGTAAAAACCTGACTCGTGCTAGTAACAAAGTGGGTGAGTCTCGAAAATTAATGCGCTTTCTCGATAAAAATTTTGTGAATATATAGACATGATTTTTAGACCATGTTGAGCGACTAAATTATAACTTATGTAAATCAATAGGTTTTCGTTCGTTTGATACCCTAGTCATAAAAACGCTCTTCGTATTTGATTAATAAATGTCAATATATACAAAAATTTAAGATTTTGAGATTTTTATTGAGTTGCTTTATAAACGATATGATACAGTCGAAATATAAAACGAACTATAAAATTTAGATGCCGTAAGTGTAAGTCTCGCGATAAAATAAAAATAGCCCTCTGCTATATTATGGAAGTCGATCGATTGATTACTGTGGCATAAAATTATATAATATATATATATATATATATATATATATATATATATATATATATATATGATATTGATAATTGAAAATACTTTCTGTGAACAAGAGTAAAGCGAGTCTTTTGTGCTGTTACTCCTAGATTCGAGATTGCCGGTGATTAACCCGTCCGGACCTAACTTGCCAATAGTGCCTCCAAGTTTTCTCAACGGAGTTCTTACTTGCCAGCCTTATCAAGGTATACATGTTAACCACATCTACTTCCAATTGGCCAACGCCTTCTTCCTTCTCTCGCATCTGGCTTCGAGCGGCCTCCACGGCGTCTTGTACCTCAGGTGCACGCTCCTCGTCGGCTGTGCCTTCCTCACGCTCTGGGCTTGGACTGTTGTCTGCTGGGTCGACGCGGCGCTCTGGAACGGACTCTTCGTCACCATCAACTTCGTTCATGTTTGCACGCTGCTCTACAGGCTCAGACCCGTCAAGTTCTCCAAGGAAATCGAAGAGGTTGGTTCAACGATTTGGCATTTGGTCTATCCGATAAGTAAAATTTTTTACGATATTTATAAGCTGCACCGGCTATATAATATTACAAATCCTTAATAAACATTTATTTTATTTTATGAAACCTGATACTGTAGAATTTATGGAAAATTCAGGACATTGTTTACATTAATTTTTTTCGTCGTTCTTAAATAAGGGGAAAATGCATTATTATTCATTTAAAGCCAATTTAAGGATGCTCTTTAATATTGCACTGTCGTTAAAGATTTATTGTTATTACTTAAAATAAGATAAAATTTATTCATATTTTTATGAGAAATTATTCGATGTATTTTATATTTCATGTCTTAAGGTTTTCAACAATCTTGAAACATTTATAATTTAATAGACAACTTTTTCATGTCAATTATTTATATTTTATGAATTTATACCGTTCTTTCATATAATTTCACATAATTTCAATTAATTATTTTACTATTTTTCGTTAAGATAAGAATAACGAATAACATTATTATTTTACAGGTGTACATTGCAGTTTTTCAACCGCTACGAGTATCTAGATCGCAGTTTAAAAAAGTATTAAATTGTATGAAGATTATTAAGCAGCTGAAATATCAAGAACTTTATGCTCAAGAAAAAGTTACCAAAGTTGACTCGCTTTCTTTGGTACTTTCAGGAAAGTGAGTGCATTGTTAAACATCATTAATTTAAAATAGATAACATGGCAATGTGTAATATTTAATATTTTTTATGACTCTTTTAATCTAGAATCTAGAATTAATACTTATACATCAATCTATTTAATTTTTAGTAGTAAGAATAGCTTTTAAACTAATAAATCATTTATTATTATTATTATTATTATTGTTAGATTGGTAGTATCACAAAATGGAAAAGCACTTCATATAGTTTTTCCACATCAATTCTTGGATTCGCCTGAATGGTTCGGTGTATCTACTGATGAATTTTTCCAGGCATGATTCAATTTGATTAAAAAATGTTAGTAAATGTTTGAAAAGTTTATCTCTTAACATATTTACGTTTATATTTAGGTTTCGATAACCGCCATGGAAGAATCACGAGTATTATTATGGCATCGTGACAAATTAAAATTGAGTATAATAACGGATCAATTTCTTCAAGCGATTTTCGATCATATTCTCGGCCGAGATGTTGTAAAAAAACTCATGCAGGTACATCGACTTATAAAATTTTTCAATATTAATTTTTCATTCGAAGAAAATCGATTGTATATCTCTTAAATTTGATTCGATGCTTACTTTTTGTGTTTGATGAGAAAGTACGACATGAGTCGCTGAGCTGAAAACTATATCGCCTGTTTATTTTTTCTCTATCACCATTCACGTAAGATACTGTCTGGAATGATCAACAGTGGCGTGAAATACGTTACATATATATTTAATGATTATTTATTGGAATGTTTACTATTTGTAAATAAGTAAGTGTCTCTTTTTCATATACAATCGAATTTTTTAATATTATAATTGAAATATTTCATTGAAACATTGACAAAAATTAAAGGAATCAGAAAAGCTTTGTTTCAAACAAATTTGCAAAAAGCAATTGATTTTTCTCATTATTTATTTTTTACTGCCCGTATATTATATAAGATAAATTAAATATAAATTCGTTTTCCTTTTGATATTTATTTAAATACTACATTTGTTAATTATTCATACTTTAAATGTCAGTTTATCATTGATAACGAAAGATTGATACAAGGACAGATTATAGTATTGAAATACTAAACTGAAATAGACGCAATAAATATGAATAACTAGTTTTGTATAAATTGTGTCGTAATGATTTTTTTTTTTGCATAAACTGTAAGAACCTTCTTTTAATTCTAAATTATTTTTGTAAACAAATCTAGTAGTTTTTATTAAAATTAAGCTAATATCGACAAATAAAATATTAAATTAAGTAATTTTATTTTACAGAATCAGCTAATCACATTGATGATAATTATTTTTGTAAAATTCATTTTTCATGACATTTTATATTCAACACTAGAGTTGCAAATTATATGGAACGATTAATTTATATAAATTCAATTTTATAACAAGCACGATAGAATTAAGGTTTTGAATCATACTAACATTACAATACATTAGATTTCGAGTTGATAACAGAAATTGTCAAATGTAAATAAAAATAGATATAAACTCTATGATAGCAATATACATATCTAAAATGCATATAATTCTTTAATATTTATAACTTTATTACTTTATAATAATACAATATGATTTTTAATTTATAAATTATCAAAATATATTTATTTATAAATTTATTTGTAAAGTAATTCAGTGTACCATTTAAAAATTAATTGAAATATGATTTTGATGGTCTCCACAATTATTTGCAATTACTAATAATATTATTCATTCATTGTTCAATATAAAATACAACTAAGCATTAATTTTTAGTGTTAAAATATTTACACGTGATAAAAAAAAATCAAATAGAAAAAAAAAGTTGGAACAATACTTACTGCACGATATTTATGATTGTATAAAGAAAAAATATATATATCGTAAGATCAAAGCACGAAAGAGTGGAATTATGAAATTATTATTAACCATGCATGAAGAACCAAAGTGGAGTGGCTTTTTTAATGTGCGTCCGTGCGAATTTTCGTTGGATATCATAGTTACAATAAGTGTTAATAGTATAATATTTATTAACTCATAGGTTAGCGAAACTATGGCGGCCAGCAGTCATCAACATCAGAATGGCCAAGTAATCGGCCTTAACGATATAGTTAATCAGGATAGCGAATTGGACGCGAAGATGTTTGTTGTAAAGAAGACGAGCGAGAATCAAGGCATCACCGCCCTGATAAGCCGCCAGATGCAAGGTAAGTGTAATTAGAGCTGGCATAACTTTGTCTAATTTGGCATGCATTACGTCGCATGTGGTTATATATACGTAGGTCGAGTTATTTATACATGTGTATGGCTATATATATGTCATTAATACGTCGCGTAATGTATATAATATCTACACACCTAAAAAAAAAGTTATTCGTAATTGACACTTCCTTGCTTATTCTTGAATCCAATTAAATAGTGTATGAATTTTTTTATCTTACTGTATAAAATTTATGTATCGTTTCGTAAAAATGTTGCGTATTTACCTGGATGAAGTGATTTTTTTATAACCTTTAATCAATTGTGTCCAGTGAAAAGTTAAATTTTAATAATATATTTAAATAATAATTGCTGTTTATTACTTAACAAATATTACTTTCTAATATTACTGTCTCTTATTTAATAAATATTTTACAATTTTTAAGACTTTTAACAGTTTGAAAGTTCAACAGTTATTTTAAGATATTATTTTAACAAAATTTTGTTGAATAAAAATCTGAAGCATGTCATAAAATCATGCAGCAGCCAGTCAAAAAATACTGATAAACTAATGACAATCTTATTTTTATTTATTGATTTAATCATAGATTTACTACTTTAAGTAATACGCTTTTTGCTTTGTTTGTTTGTTTGTTTGTTTGTTTCTAAATAATTTAACATCGATAATTTAATATTTAAAAAAAAATACAATTTTGCAAATTTTCATTAAGAGTATTTAAACAAAAGTACTACACCATACTGGACATGAAATAAAATATATAATGTAAATAATGAATATTTAATGAATTCATCGAAAATGGCACTTTCAGTCTTAAACGCAGAGAAAGATCACTTAGTCTAGAAAGCATTATTACTCACTGTCTTGCACAATCTTCAAAGCAAACATGAAAGAGAAACCAAAGTAAATAAAGGATTTGCACGTGTTTCACATTATACATATTTATTTATACACGTACGTGTGCGCGTACACTACAGAGACAGAGAGAGAGAGAGAGAGAGAGAGAGAGAGAAAGAGAGAGAGAGAGAGATAGAGAGAGAGAGAGAGAGGGGGGATATCTTATCTCGTGTTTAATGAAGTGCTCATCGATGAAATATAATTTTTGCACCTGTTCTTTCCTTTGTTTTCGTATCTTGTCTTGCTCTACCTTCCCCGTGTCTGCCGGCGCCCGATCCGAATCAGAGGAGCATGTGCCACTGCTGTACTCGAGTTCCGACGTCCTCAGCAACGCCTTACATCGTCATCCCGACCTACAATCGCCTACTAGTCGTGCGCCCTATCTACTCCCCTCGTATCCGCCCCTGCACAACAACGTGCGTTCGCTCCGATAACCGATACATTACCAAAAAAAAAAAACAGAATTTTGCAAAATATAAATAAAAAAGAGCGAAAGAATATTTATAAATGCACGGACAAAAAAGAAAGACCAATAATCCCAGAGCCATTCTCATAATCTAAAGTGGAAAGAGTTACTTCTTATCCTGTATACGTAAGAAGGTGAGTTTTTACATCGTATTTTCATTTTAGCCGCAAGAATTCGCCCAAAAGTATCAGAATTACCGAGTATTATTGAGTGTTTTTCTTCGGCGAACGAGAACTTAAATCGAGGATTTTTTTAAAGGACGCGCGTAAATAGTATTGCTACGGCCAAATATTTAAGTAGTGTTAGTTATATAGAAATTAATAGAGCACGTATAGATTTTAGAATACCTTAACTTTTATTAGTTCAATCGCTTTTTTATAATATCGTAACAAAGCGGATTGATTTTATTTGAAAATATTAATATAATAAACAGTGGCATTTTAAATTCACATAAAAACTTGATAATCTCGCAAGTTTATTTACCGATGAGAAACGTTCAAATTTGATGAATGTATTTTTATTACTTCGTAGATATTGTAATACTATGTGCGAAAATATATTAAGTGTATTGTCTGTAGTTTTTTATCATCCAAGAACAAATAACTGAAGATTATGCAATAGATGCTAATTATGTTAAGTATAGCGCAATGTGTAACGATGCAGACCTTCTTCGGTCAATTGTTATTATCCTCGCTATGTCATAACGAATGTGCAATACTTACTATTCCTTAATAATAAGATATTAACATCTTTATAATCGGATAATTTTATTTCTTGGCAATTAATATTTCCAATAGCAGATTCCCAACTAATCTCCAAAAAGGGCTGTACCTGTGGTTATATGTTGATCATCATAAGATTACGTGTGATCTCATACTCATTTGTCAACCTCTCAGGTAAGGAGCCTACGTGAATGTAATTTAAAATTATCCGCTCGCTTCTCTCTTTAACGTGTGAATTTCCATAAGTTCTTGTCACTGATTATTTATATCTAGTTATCGAGGCAGCAGCGACCTCAATTTTATTTTGAAAGTAAGTTTTACATATTTACGTCCTGATATAGCTAAGATAATTGCTTGTTACACCCCGCCCCCTCTCATTCCCCAATTTTTGAATGTAAGTTGTGTTTTAATACAAAGATTTCTTTTTAATCATTCCACTTACAATTTATATATTGATGTTCTTTGTTAAAAATGTCAAAGAGTACCATTGTGATATTTAGTATCTCTTTATATCGTTATGCGAAAAGACTTTGTGAAGTGTTGTTATACGTATATATCGACAAAGGTTTTATTTATTATTTTATCGTTTTCTTACCATTATTATTTTTGAATAAAGGGATAATACCTATTTGGAATCTTGTATAAAGCAAGTATGTGTTTTCCAAATTGAATATAAAGAATCATACAAATTTTTTTATTATTTACAATTAATAAATTTTCTAGAGCTTATTATCATTAAATTTTATTGTACGAAATTAAATTATTCTAAATCAAAATAAGAAACAATTGACATATACATAATTATATCTAGTCAGTATTATGAATTGTTAAATTCATTAATTAATAACTTATTTACTACTCGAGGAAGTCATAATTTGATATTTTATTATTTTGATAAATAACGGATGTAAAATGCAGTCGTATTTTTATTATAATAATTTTATATAGATATTTTTAAAGCGAGTAATTTAAACGAAAAAACGAAAAATTATTCTACGTTGACGTTATTTCAATGTTAATTACTAGAATTGTAATGCTCAACATTTCCCAGTCAGTAATGATATCTATGATATTTTAGTATTGAAATCTATTTGTAAGGTTGAATACGAACACTCGACATAATACACAAACACTCGAAATAACTTAAAATTATCAATCGTGAAGAAATATTTTTTATCAGTATTTTTATTTTTTGTAATAAATTATAATTAATGAAATATATGAATGCTAAATTATTATAAATATTTATATGTAATAAATAAATGTATAACAAATAAATTGTTTTTTATTTAATTTTTATCTTACAGCTTAGTTACAAAAAATTACAAATATTAATAAATTTTAGACAGAAAAATATAATTTTACTGACTTGAATTTCTTTTTTATACTTAGGTTTGCCTAGGATTAAATATTATTACTGTGGTAAGTTTAATGTATAAATGGACGATATTCTTCATTATCAGCATCTCATTAACTTGGGCATTTTATCAATTTATAAGTTTTAAATCATTTTTAGTGAACTAAAAACTGGTAAATTGTAAATACAAATTGAATTTATACAATTATGAAATTATATTTGTAAATTATAGATAAACGTTTATAAATCGATTATAAATAAATGTTCGTAATTATATAAAAATACATATTTAAAAAATAATAATAATAAATTTCGTAATGAAAATGATAAATACATTTCGTAATGTATGTATGTATAAATACCCGCGTGTATGTACACCTGTATTATTCTAATATTTTTATTTTAAATTTATAATGAAAAGTTGGTTGAAGTGTATAGATAGAACAATAGAAATATAATATGTATGTATGTATGTATATATATATATATATATATTTATATATATATATTTATATATATATATACAAAGTTACACGGAATTAAAACTTTTATTTAATAATTTATTTACCTATAGTTGAATTTGATTCATTTCACCATTTCACTGCATGTTAATTTATTTTTTGTATCAATCTCATAGTTTTTGTCCTCCGGTCTAAGCCTATTAATAAGTAATGCAACATTTTTATTGCTTATATAAAAAAATTATTTTTATATGTTTCTTAATTCTATTAATATTAAAATAATCAAAACAATTAGTTCATATTATTATAAAATTTAAAAATAATTCGATAAATATGTTATTGTTTGTATAGTAACGTTCTTATATTAATGAACTATTTAGTCTTTAATATAGGCAAATGTAAAATATTAAATTAATACCAAACGAACTTTTTTATATAATGCTATATAAAAATAATATAATACTATCGAGTATATGAAATTGTATAAGATTTTAAAATTTTCCCTTTAAATTTTATGATAATATTATTAACCAAAGAATTTACATTTAATTAATCACGATAAAACAATTATATTAAGCACAAGTAGATTTTATTTGAATGCATTGTTGTCTTCGTTATGCTTTTAATAATTTAGTCTTTCTAGTGCTACGATCAATACAGAAAAATCATTCCTATAAAATAATGTCGGTATTATAAGAAATTATTAAAATTAATTATTGAAAATGATACGTTTTCTGCTAATTTAAAGAATAATTCGAATTTTGTATTTGCTTTAAAAAAATCATATTACTATATTTCATATTATTTTGCTCTTTTGTGCGAGTCATAAGTCACCCAAAATTCAAATCGGTCATTGCATCATTCCTATCATCATTAAATCAATTACATTCGTTGCGAAGTATCGATTCTTGGCATGCTAATTAATATAAACTGTTGATATAATTGCAGCTTCGGGCGATCCAAATGCTTGGCGCTTGGGAAGGATTGAAGAAACTGATCACGAAACACCTGTTTGAAATTAACAAATCAGATAATGTATACTCCCGTAATTCTTTGCGAGCTCAATAAGGAATCTCGGTGATGTCCTTAGCGAGCCGATGGCGAGCAAACACGTTAAAATAGAGTAAACCAACGTAAAGCGAAAAGAAAGCAAATATACGGTGGAAAAATGTATTCAAAGAGTCGTTAGTGAATGCCCAACTATCAACACCGTTCGGATAATTCGATGATTTGACTCTTATTCAATCAATTTTTGTTTTACTAGCAGGACTTTTATTCCATTTTTTCCGGTTTTCTGTGCGATTCAACGACTGAGTAGAATTTATTGTGAAAAAGACTTATTTTTAATGTATAATTTGGAAATTCATAGCCTTACGTACAAAAAATGAAAATATATAATAGTAAAACTAATTAAATGATAAGTCGAATGACAATGAATAATGTATGTGTATGTGAGGAATATTTTTCTTCGCGATTGTAATTGGAAATGATTTTTTAATTTTTTAATTTTTTTGTTTTCTTTTGTTTTCACATTTCATTATTTAATTACATTATTAAATTCAACTGCCGAGAAAAACGGTATAAAAGAAAACATGAAAACTACGTAAAAATTCCCATATTTAAATAAGGTAAATTTTATTTGTAATTATGCGTAGAAACATCAAATTATACAAACGGTTCTATACAAATCATTGAGTATAATATCAAGTTAGTATCAATGGATATAATCGAAATTACTTTTACTACATTATTTAATGTGGTAGATAAAATAATACAAATAAAGTTAACGTTACGTAAATATCTTGATTAATTATCTATAGCTTTTTATATTATATGATCCCAGTATGATGCTGCTCCTTACATAAGACTATATAGTGGTTCATTAATAAATATTTCATTGTTTATAATAGCAAATATAATAAAAAAAAAAATGAGCCAAAGTTCCTTGGATTTGAAAAAAAACATTAGAAAAAATGTAGAGAAATCATTTATATTAATTTTAAATGTGTTTATAATTAAAATTATAAATTAGTAATAATTAAGGTAAGTTATATCTGTCTAATTATAAAAAGCTTTTTTTTAATTACTTTTTATTATAATTATATTAAAGTAGTCTTTTTCATATAGCTAATAAGAATTGATTATTTTTATAAAAATTTTAACAATATAAGAACAATATATTTTTATATGGAAGAAATATTAGAATTAATATAGAAGGATTCTTTTATAAATATTAATTTCATACCAATTATAATAGTATGTTTTTTTATAAGTAATCAAATTTAGTTTTTAACACAACCCATTGAGTTTTTACCCATTAACAAATTTTGTCAGTATTTCAAAATAAATAATTCAAAATAAATATTCGAATTATTTGTACGGTGTTCATATGATTAATAAAAATATTATTCTATGCCACCAAAGCAGGCACAAATTTAAATCTAAACATGTGTTAAGAATATGAATAATATAAAGTGAAAGATATTTCGAGAAAAAGTAAGATATAGAATAAGAGAAGGTGAACTTAGTAACTTTCTCTCAATTGATTGTATATGATTGTTATGTGGACTCGTCTTTATATGACGATTGCACGTGTATTTTTCCCTCTGAAACCAATTAAACATGTAATTATTAAGAGATGAAAATATTAATCTTGCAAATACACTTGCAGAAATTGTTTATTGTCGAAGCAGTGTTGAATGTCTTTAAACAATTTGAGGAAGATATTTTTTATTTACGTTGAATTTTATTTATTTATATGAACATATATGTGCAACCGTAATTGAAAATCATAATAAGTTTTGGAGTCATATATTTCTGTCTTAAGAAAATTATGTTTGATATAATAAATCTCGCTTGAGCAGTTATTCAAATACATTTTTTTACGTGGATTGATGATGCACACTTTAATTTAAATACTACTTTAAGCAGTTTGAAACTGAAACTCTATTAAGTTTATGAAACAAAATCAGAAAAAATTCAACACATAATAGAAAATTTCTAAATATAAAACGTCAGACGATGTGTACAAATATGTTGTTATTAGATTTGAAAATTATCCTATATTTGATATAACAGGAAAATTTAACAGAAAAATTTTCTTTTTCTATGTCATATTATTTATCAATTACTGTTTATCTTGGTTTATTAAGTTTTCACGCATTTTCAATTAATTGTTTTTCAGTCATTTACATGATCACTGCATATAAACAAATTTAAATGAGTATGTAAGGGTTATATGTATATATAATAAATATAACAGAAATTAATAAAATTTAGATTATTTATTGGCAGGTTACGTGTATAATCAGCAGTTGTCGATGAAAAGTTTTACCTCTATAAGCTGTTCGTTTAAAATTATTTTAGCGGTAACTTGGCATGAGTAGAACGAGTAGAAAAGAGAAAAATATGGGTTTTCTAAAACTAGTGCCTTTTTTTAACATAATTAAAAATATTTTTTAACTAGTGCACTTCATAATATTATATTTTTTTATGGTAATCAAAAAAAGAAATTTATTTATATATATATCTATTTCATTTATATTTCAATCCAAGTATGCAAAATTGTAAGCACTCAATTTTTTTATAATTATTATTTGATATAAATAATTTCTGTTTGAAACAAAAGTTTTTTATTTTTATAAGTACATAAAGTGATAAAAATTCCTGAAAATCTTTTATTCGCAATAATTTTTGTATGTTTTTTGCCTTACGAGGCAGTCTATTGTTAAATAAAGTTGTAAACTTCATTAAAACTAATTATAAAGAAAAGATAATATTCAGTAAGATAAATATCTTGTTATATAAAAATCTCTATTCAAACAAATTAAAATATTCAAATCCAATAGAAATTTTAGTTGATTACAAAGAATTCCGTATATTAATTAACGTTGCATCTCAAATCTGTGTATAAAGATATACATTTACTAACATCACTTTAACATGTAAAACAAGAGACTATTTAACTTTCTATGTCATGATATTTTTCAAATACTTTATGTAAAAACTTTACTCATCAGCAATAAAGTTATACCTTATAAATACGTTGCATTATCTCTTTCTATCAATAGAAGTATTTTATCATTTTTATGATTATACAAAATCTCACCGAATTTTGTTGTTTTACACTTTTTAATTATAAATCTAATATGTTTTTATTAACAGTATTAATATTATATATATATAAGTAATTATAAATAATTTATTTTTATGAATATTTTAATGATATTTTTATACAGTAATATAGAAAATAATAAAAATCAAATATTATTTGTAATTATAAATTTTATATTACTATTTTTAACAGAATTATCCTTTAAATGATATATATTTAAAAACATCTTATTTTTGTATAATTCACTAAACTATAAATTTTCAGTAATGTAACTAATATTCACATTATTATTTGTTTATTATTGTTTTTTAATTAATACATTAAACAATCAGTATTTTTATTAAATTTATTATATACAAATGAATTATTGAAAAAGGATGAATAAATATTTTATAAATGACGTTTTAATTTGTTAAAATAAGAATTCATCATATGGGTAATAATTTAACTATTTGTATTTATTTTATAGCACATAATAATTAATTACAACTTTTCATTCTTGTAATTAAACAACATTAGACTACTGTAATATATAAACGTAGAAAAGTGAATTGTGAAAATGCTTTAAAGTAACAATTTATTATAGGTAAAAATGCACTTGTTCATTCAGTTAAATTTCAAAATTGCAGCAAAAAACAAACTTTAAATTTCATTTTATATTTGACATAGATTGTCAACTATATACAGAATTCAATCTTGAAGGAAAAAAAATATAAATAAAAAAAAATAATAAGTCGTAGAAATCGTAATTAACGCTATAAAAAATTTTTAATACATGTCATTTTCTCATATAATTCGAAATACATTTTTATTTGTCATTGTTTTTCTTGAGATAATTGTATAATTTTTTAAATAAAATTTTTTAATAAAAAAAAACGTATTTTTATATTAAAAAAAACTTTATATTTTTTATTATACTATACTAGCGCATTTACTAGCTTTGAAATTAAAAAATAACTTAAATAATTATATGTAACAATATTTACACTATTTCGAAAATATGTCAATCACAATTCTTTGATAGTTGCACAAAGTGTTTGTAAAAAATTTGTTGCTTAATTTGTTAAATATCAAAGTGGTATAAAAATTCGTCCTTGAGTTTAATAGAATTATGTTAAAGTATAAAATAAGAACTCATTACGGCCATGAAATTTTCTGGCGTTTGCTGATTTCTGTCTGTGCTGTAACCTGAAATCGATGTCATTCTTAATGTATTTATTTAAAAAATAAATATGGAAATATAATTGATTAAAAGAAAAAAATACTAACTTCTTGTTTATTTATTTTTCGTTTAGCATCATTTTCTAGAGAGCCAGTTGTTTCAAATCGGCAGTTGGAAAAATGCATTTTTTTTGGCGTTGAATCTTCGAGACATTGCATCGGTTTTTTACGGCTCCACCTTTTGTCAGTAAGTTTATTATTATACAATGCAGTTCTGTAGATTAAATATTGAGAATTAAAATAAAACAATAGGATTAAAATACTTTTAAAAATATATGAATAGTTGAAGATATATGTATTATTATGAATATAAATGTATAGAAGTATAGAAGAAAATGACTTTTTTTCTATGTCTTATATTGTAATTCGGAACTTCATAGCTTAGATCCCGGAATTAAAATTATGGAATATTAAAATATTTATATCTATAGGATTAATGTTCAATAATTGTAACAGAATGAATATTATTACTTAAAATTCTTAAAATTTAATCAGGAACTAAAATTTACTTAAGTTTAATATGAATTATTGATTTATTGAATTTCTTTTATAATAATTCATTATTAGTAATAAATTAGTAAATTAATTAAAAAAAAGAATGTTGTATTGTATAAACTAATATTCATGACATTATAAAAATTTTATTTTATTTTATATATTATAAGTGTAATAAATTTGGAAATCAGGCTTTTAATAGAAAAAACTTCATATCAATTATTCCTATTATATAATGATTAAATTAAATAATATACTATATTAGATAAAATTTTTATTTTCTATTAACCCAATGTTTGTTAACCTTTTAAAAAATGTGTTGCAACGGATTCTTGTTTCACCTAAAAACGGTTTTTATAATAAATTATAAAGTATTAAACTTCCTACTCTGTATCAATTTTTTATTTACACAAAATTCGGTTATGTACCTTCACTATTGGAAGCGATAACTCTATATAAGCTATTCAGAAAAATTTTTTTTATTTAAAAGAATTATAAACTTCAGTATTATGAAGTTACTTAAGGACTGTCTCTTATGGAAGCTATTTACTATTTATAAATTATTATATTCTGAATAAACTTTATCTCTTATCTTTATATTTACACCGTTTAGAATTAGCCAATTTCCAAGTGGGGATAAGTGGAAGGGGTAGCGCTTCAATTCAGTATTTAACACATCAGCTTTTCGTGCTTGTTTATTGCATTTTATTCACAACTACACTATACGATTCTACGCTGTCTATGAGATTCGCTGAGATCTTGCCGTTCCTTGGTTGTTGCCACGTGGTGTCAGCATGCACTACTTGTAGAGGTAGGAGGTGGTAAATCTCCGGATCCTCTTCATGCGGTGCGCTTGATGGTGGATTACTACACAGAGAAGTGGACGGTCGTAAATCTGTGGATACTTCTTAGTGTAGTGCCACGTGGTGATCACCTGATTGCTGGTCTCTTCTTTGAAGTGGCGTTAAGTGATGTTTGCTTGCACTGACTTGTGGAAGCGAACGCTTGCTGATCTCTACCTGCAACCGCTTCGTACGCTCTGGCAGTATGCATCAGATTTTATGCTGAGAGTTTACTTGCAACCGCTTCGTGCGCTCTGGCACTATGCGTGAAGTTTTATGCTGAGAGAGAAAGAGAGAGAGAGAGAGAGAGAGAGAGAGAGAGAGAGAGACAGTAATTGCGTGAGTAGCTCCTGAGTAACTAGCTCTTGGCTAAATATTGCCTATCTCGTGGTGCGCTTGCCTTAAATATCCACGTGGTAGCTTTATTAGCGGCTAATAATGGAGGCGATTGTGGTGCTAGAACAATGAATGTTATTGTGCACTTGTTTTTTTCGGGTGTAACGACTTTTTCCAGATGTCCAACGACCGTTGGAGGTTTTCCCAGAAATGATAACATTCCAGAAATTCTCGAATACACAGTTATTACACTTTACGATAAGAAAAAAGTGTAATTAACAGCCATATTTTGTTAGTAGTTTTTTCAACCATGTTTCTTGCATATAGCAAAAAAGGACATATAGAAAGAATACTGAGATAAGTTTAAATACAACACATGCATTTAGCGAAACAAACTATTTTTAACACAAATATACCTCAAATTCCCACTATGATTAAACGGTTCGAACTTTAAATTAGAATAATTGCTTTTTATTATTTAAATATTAAATGCATCAATTAATAAATAATTAAATAATAAAATTATGATTAAATGAAGTCGGATATTGCAAAACGTATTATTTTTTTATGGAATATTAATTATGAAGTTATTAGTAGGGAGTATTTAATCCTAAGTAATTTTACTTTTTCTTACCAATTATACAACTTTTATGGATACGTTTTATGATATTATGCAAGTTGAATTAATACAAATATTCTTACTTTTTAAATAATAAACATGTTTATATTAATGAATGACAATACAACAAATAAATTTACAAAAATAAATATTCAATAGTATTGTTTTATTCAAAGTTATCTTTTTAATTAATTCCATTATAAATATAGTGAAATTTATATTTGGGTAAATTAAAAAAAATATAATATCAATATACTAATACGAAAAGTACGAGTTATTTGAATTTGAGATTAATTTGAAATCCAAAATTCAATCAACTAATATCAATAAATATTTAATATCTTCCTTCAATTTTCATCAGTAAAAATAAACGCAAATGAATAAAACTGTTCATAATTTTATTACCATATATAGATTATGAGATATTTGCTTACTATTAATAGTGTGTTATAAAAATATTATTTATGATTTTATGATAGAATTGAAATTTTAACAACATATACTTTAATGAAATCAAATTTAAACTTTATATGAACAATAGTATATTGATTAGTTTTAACAAGTAGATAATTTTCTTTACAAACAGTTCGATTTTACAAATTGAATATACAAAAACGTACAGATTATATGTAAAAATTCAATTAATATAATACTATGAAATTTTTTATAAGAAAATCAAATGAATTTTTAAAGAGAATGTAAATTTGTATAAATATTGAAATTTTAATATTAAATGTACTACAAGATTTTATTAAATTTTATAAATAATTTTATTTGCAGTTGAAAATATTTAATTTATAATTTAGTATAGTTATTAAGAAAAACTACACCATTTTGAATAAAATTTCATATTTATTCAGGCAGTTTTATGTATATAATTAATTTACACAAATTATTATATATTAATCAAAAGATGAATGAACAAAATTACATATAATAATATTCATATCTTTATAAGATTCAATATTAATTGTCTTATAGATATTCATTTAATATGTTAAATTTTAATTGAAGCTGCCTGAATTTATTAAAAGTAAATAGTAAAATCAATGAAAATACAATGTGCATTTGAGCTGAATTTCATAAAAATATTGTTTAAACATAACACACATAGGATTTTAAAACATATATATTAATAAGTTAATAATAAAGAAAAATAGAACAATTAAAATTGTAATAATAAAATAACACATTTTTAAATGAAAAATTGTATTTCTTCTATATTAATTAACTTATTGAAAGCCTTAAAATCAACGAATCAATGGAAGACACTTTTTATTTCATAGTTTAATATTTCTATTAAGGAGAGAGTTTTAAAAACTATAGATATTATATAAATAGATTATATAAATACTATAGATAATCTAAAATAATAAAAAATTGAAGTACTATAATATTTAAAATTGCCTAAAATTTGTCAAATCATTTTTAATCTTTCTGTTTAATATAAAATCAGGTATTTTATAAAAGTCGAATGAAATCTGTAATAAGTTTGTAATAAAACAATGAAACAATTTTATAAATTTCACAGGCTATATATAAAATATGATACTAATTTTTTAATATTATCATAAACATATTTTAATATATTCTTAGATATAGTATTTACTACTTCAATCTCATAATTTAAACAAGCTTTTATATTTGGTTTAGAAAAATACATAATTAAATTTTTATTTAATTGTAATTATTTTTTTACTTTGAAATTTAAAATTATTGATACAATTTATATTGCAGAATTAACGATATTATACTGAATCAATGTTTTAAAAACACGATTTGTATAATCTAGAGGAATTGAAATATTAGATTCCAATGATTTAATTAAAAGTAAATAAATAAAAAGCCCTTAATAATCTGCTTATGACATTTTAAACACATTAGTCTTTCAAACTTTAGAATTTTATTTTACTTCTGTAACTATTTTTATTTCGAAATAATTGAATGATATTTTTTTTATCAATTATTAAATTGTTGAATATTATAATAATGAAAAAAATAGATCAATATAATATTTATAACAAATTTAAATATATGAAATGTACTATGTTAGAATTTTGAAAAAGACATAGTATTAGTATACTTTTTTCATTGATAAAATCTGATTTTTAATAATTTATAATTTGTTTTTTAGAATGTTCAAATGAATATTTTAGCTATTTGTATATTTGCAATACCAAATATTGTTTGGTTTTCAAGCGGTAAAATAACTTGATGCTAAAATTAGTAAAATCATTTAAAAATATAATGTAATATTAATAAATATAATCCCACAATTATAATAACTTACAACAAATTTAAAATGACTGTATGACAATAGAACTTTCAAAAAATAAATTCATAAGATTCCTAAATTGATAGTGTAGCAAAATATCTTTTATATTTAAGAAAAATCATATAATAACGTTTAAATTAATAATCGTTATCAATATATAAAATAATATATAAAACTAATATTCATTTTTTTAATTTAAATATTAGTGTAATAAGAATATTACTATTTACAATATTATCCTATTCATATTTTGAATAAAAATTTATTTGAATAATATCTTTTTTGTTAAAGAAAAGTATTTAAAAAATTGAGATACTTAATCGTATAAAATATGTTCTTCACTTGTAGCAATATCAATGTTTCTGGAGATCCTTAGATCATTAAGTTTCTTTCCTAAAGGCCTTCCCTCATTGCATTGTCTTTGTGGCATTGGCAATGCTACTCTTTTAAACATTTCTATCAAATCTGCTTTTTCCATATTAAAAATATTTGATGTATCGATACATTTCTAGAAAAATAAAATAACATTCTATATAAAATATAAACACAACATACAAAGATAGCAACATTAATTGTTTTGAATCGCAAATTAACCTCTTACTTACGCTTTTCAAAATTTCACGTAGTGTCCATTCAGTTAAGAATTCTGGATGTAATAAGTCCTGATAATTCAAAAACATTTAAATGCCTTTAAAAAATTATATTAAATTTGTTTAAATTTAGTAATTGATAAATTTAAACCAAAATACTATATACATTAACTAAATAAACACATTGTTCGAAATAAGTAAAGATTCGTTAAGTAGAGCTTGAGATGTTTTAACCTACAAAGTTAAAAAAGATTTATAGTAATATGGTTGTTAAATAATTATTATCATGTAATATGATTTCATTCTAAATTGTATTAAAAGTTCGTAATTATGCTTTATAATTATCATTTGTTGTCTTTGGTAAACAAAATTCAACTTTAGTATTCTGATTACAATTAAAATAGCCGCTGATAATCTTAAATACTTTCTAGAAAAGAAAACTAAACATCCAAATATTTTGTTTGATCGAGACCGTTTATTATTATACAAAATATTAATACTTCACACATTAATTAAGTATTTGAATTATAATATTTTATTTGAAATCTAACAATAAGTTTCAAGATTTGATTGAATTTACAAAAACTGATGTATCACAATATAAAAAAAATATTAAACATTGTAAATATTTATTAAACAATTTAAAAATTTAGTAATCTTTAGATGATTTTGTCTATTTTATGTTCTATTATTCAATATATATTTAATGAATAATAGATCATGGTATCTATTTAGAACAATGAAATATTTATACATTTTTCATAGAAATGTTAAATGTTCATTGTTCAAAAATTTTTAATTTATTCATAAAAAACAAATGAATATACTAGATAATTTGATTGCGTATTGTGACTGTAGAGGGCGAACAATATTATTATTGTATATGCCTGTATATATTACCGTATAATGATATAATCTAAAGATTTATAAAGAAAATAAATATAAATATCTTATTTTTAAATTTTATTCTACGAAAATTTTTTATTTTAATATGGAACAGTAGTTGTTATTCAACTTTTCTTCCATATTTGTGTATAAATCTGCGCTGGTATAATCACAAGTGTAAAATTTTTTATTTAGGATAAAGTTTTAATACAAGATAAACACATTACTTTTAAATAGAGTATAAATCTATACAAAAATGTTGAAAGTTTTTGACATCTGATCATAGATAGTTATTAGACGTATCGAAATAGTAATCGGAGAGGTATTATTCTCTATTTAATTGTAATTTCATTAGACACTCCTATTTTATTGCGCAGCTGCAACATCTAACCTATATAATTCAGAAATTCGATAAAACAAATTAATAGTTTCTATTTTAATATAAAATTTAATAATAATTTGTATATTGCCATAATTATAGTTTAATACGATTCAAATAAAAATAGTGATTAATTAAAAATCTGGTATTGTAAAAAATAATATTATTAATAGTAAAAATTTATATATTAAAAATTCATATTTTGATAAAATGTTAAATAGTAAATTCATAAAATACTAGCGTAAGTGTAATATTATATTTGTCTTGATGAAAATAAAAAAAAAAAAATAATTTTAATTGTACTTTATTAGAAATCTATGTAACAAATTTTAAAGTGAATATTTAAAAAACTGTTTGTATTAAAGGAACAAATGGATCATTATAAAATGTTAACATCAGATAGATTTGAAATTAATTTTTCATTCATACAGAAATCTAAGAATGACTGGATTATGGAATCATCCTGAAAACTGGTACCAAATTTATATCTTGACATATGTGTTCGATTTAATTGACCAATTACAAGGTAATGAATTTTATCATATTTAATTTTTTTTATAAAATATGATTGTTATTAAGTTTTTGTTTTAAGGTAAAGAATTTTCAGGCATAAGATATGTCAGGCATAGTTAATTTAAACTTGATAAATGAGTATGTAAATATAGTAATAAATGATATTGCTTATTGGTGGTCGTGGTATATGACAGAAATATCACATCAGTTTTTAATATCCATAATCGCTTATATTTGTACATGTGTCTTCCTTTATATTATTTTGAAGCGAGTGAATCAACAAGCTTGGCAATTGCCTGGACCACCATCCAGGTTACTTGTAGTAACAGCCCATCCAGATGATGAAGTCATGTTCTTTGGGCCAATGATTTATTCGATGTCACGTACATATTCTAGTCAGATTTACCTTCTGTGTTTAACAATGGGTTAATTAATAATTATATTTCTGCTAAATGAGATTTGATAATGTTTTAAATATAATATTTTTATTATTTTTAAAGGTGGAAATAAGCAAAGAAAGGAAGAACTTTGGGGGTGTGCAAAAGAATTGGGTATACCTGAAGCAAACGTTACTATCATAATGTATGTATATGAATTTTAAATAAAATATTTATTAGAATATTTAAGTAATATAAATGTTTCAAAAGTATTTTCATCTTCAATTTTTCAATTCATTATTTAATTTTTTCTATTCTATTTTGGTTAAAATTATAAATTTATATATTCTTTTTACATTTCAAGTTTTATTTAAATTTTACATTTAAATTTGACGTAATATTGGGTTTTTCTAAGTTTTCGTCATATTATGAAACTTATTGCAAAATAAAAAGAATTTATATTGGAATAAGATTTTGATCTAATACAATTTCTAGGTGTACAGATTTACCTGATAATCCAAAAGTACAATGGCCAGAAGAAATAGTGGCTACGAGTGTCCTACAACATATAGAAAGCCACAAAATTAATGCTGTGGTTACCTTTGATAAGCACGGAGTTAGTAGACATAAAAATCACATTTCTCTTTTCTATGCAATCGCTTCATTATGTATAGAAAAGAAAGTTCCTTCTTGTAAGCAGTCCATATATAAATTTTAAGTTGCCAAATCAAATTTTGCATGCATAAGTTGTTCTTTTTATATTATATTAGTTCTTAATTAATTAAAATAATAAAGATTGATTAGTAAATAGATTTTGTGTTTTGAGACAAATGAAAATTTTATGTTGAAAATAGAGAAATTTGCTTTAGTGCATTATGTATAATTTACATGTAGTTTATTACTATAAAACTTTTTTTCCAGGAAACGAAACTTAATTTCAAGTACATGGTTAAAATTGATTTCAGATTGTAAATTGTATGCACTCGAATCTGTAAATATATTGCGAAAATATACACAACTTTTGGATTTACCGATCAGTCTACTAACATCTTCGTATTGGTATTTGATTACGTACCAACAGCGACATTATATTCGAGTAAGTAGTTGTCGAAATTAAATTAGAAAAAATGCTTTTTCATTTACTTATTACATTATTATTTTTTTTATAAATTATCGAAGATTATAAATTTTAGATGAGAATATTTGCTTTATCTATGACTATTTAAACTATATGTCTATGATACATTTTCTATAATATTAAATTACAAAATTATTTATGTTCTTCTAACGTATTCACTTGTGTACATGTTCAATTACTTTATGTGATTTTCTGAATTAAAAAACTATATTTTTATAAATTACAGAATGCAATGAAGATACACAAATCACAATATGTATGGTACCGAAAATTATATATGATGTTTTCTCGATATACTTTAATTAATACTCTTCAAGAAATTAATATACTTGATCTTGAATTAGATCTAGAATTGGAACAAGATGATTAAAGCTATACAGTTATGTTGAACAAGTCATATTGTAAATAATTAATCTTTCTTTACCAAAGCATTAATAATTTCAGTTTTTATGTTTGTACTAAGTGTTAATATAATAGTTATCAAATATTTATAAACAATTTAAAATATTTTTGATCATTTTTTAAATAAAGATTAATTCTTATTATTCGTAATTTAATTAATTTGCCTTTTATTTCTTCATAAATAAATGCACTAAAATGTATAACATCTTTCTATTATTACAGAAAAAAATGAGCTTTACAAAACATTCAAATCATAATCGTAATATTTTGTGTATTAATTTAAACATTAAATTAAAACAACTTATAATAATAATTTATAAATTTACAAATTTAAATATTGAACATATTAATTTAAATTTTATAACAGTATACAAAAGAATTATTTTTTATATATTTTTTGACGTATAAATAAAAACTATTTAAGAAATAATCATTTGTAATAATTAAAATAAAACTCTGGAGAGTATCAATAATAAATATAAATTTGAGATAAATTTTCTTTTATTATTTATCCATCAACGCTAATTTACATTTGTTCTAATACTTGCAATCCAATTAACAATTATTTTGACAAACGCTCGTTGAAACTGATAAAATTTAATGTCTCTCTAGCAAAGTAATAGAGACATTTCTTAAACTAATATATATAACAGAGTAAAGATATAATATATTTATATATTTTTAATCATTTCATACTTCTAAAATTAAAATCGATATGTCGCATTGTTACTTACATATTTTTGATTTATAATACTTGCATTAGATTAGATCGTTTTATTCCAGCCTTTTATTTTGAGCAAGTGGCATGTTTAATTTTTCTTTTTCTAGATGTTGACATTTTTTAAAATTTGGCACATTTTAAATCTTTGGATTAATAAAATTTGTTACTATTGTCAAAACTTTAAATATCTTAAATTATTTTAAAAACTCTAGGAGAAAACATATTATTATACATTTAAAATTCACAAAAGAAATTTTCAAAAATAAAAGAAATTACACATCTTATTCAAATCACAATTGTTTACTAAATTAAAGAAAAAACAAAAAAATATTTTTTTATAAACACAGTATTTATTGAACAATTATATGTTCGAAAAAATTTAGTCAGTTTCCTCTTCAGGAATACAATATGCAGAACAATTTACAAAGTTTTGTATATACTTAACAAATTACTAAGTATAAAATATAAATATATTAAAATATTCTTAAAAGTCTTGTTTGCCATCAAAAATACAACCAAGTTTTATAATTGTAAATTATAGCTACATGAGTTATCGCATAGATAATAGTATAAATCTCATACTCGTAGAAAAATAAAGTAGAACTGATACTTGGAATGTTTCGTGTAAAGATTCGTTAATATTTGAATTTTACACGCTTATAATTAATACTGAACACAGAAATCACGATTTTGTGCAGTCAACCCTTTTTTTAAAATTTACTAATTGCTGTTTGTGCACTCTCTTATTTTATATTTGTGCATAATAATAGTAGATCAATACGCAAAAAATCATTTGAAAAATATAAATTCGTTGTTCGATAGAGAAAATAAATTTTTATCGAACAATAAGAATAATCTTGAATCTGTGCAACATTGGTCTTACAATCTATATAAATGCATTATGTTATACTTTTTACGCGCTACAATGAATTTTTAATAAATTTAATTGATTCAATTGCAATAGATACGAGAATGTTAAAGACTCTGACATTTTGAAAAATATATCATACTTTTGCTTTTAGATACAGCAGCACAGTGCGATGAGAATATTTTTCATAAGATCTACATGAAAATCAATATTTTAATAAATTTTTAACAAACTTAATTAATACTAATAATTGCATATTTTGTAAGCTGCTATTTAATTTTCCAGATTTAGTTAAATTTTCAAAATTTCAAATTATAATGGCCTCCTTGATGTGATTAGTAAATTAAATGGTACTAACTAAGTAATTTTCTATAAAATATAGCATTTGTAATATCTTATTTTTGTACATAAATATTCTACCACGTTGATTTATCGCTTAATTTTTTCATTAAACAATGTAATATTGGTTAAAAAGCTTTCAAAGATATCTGCCAATCCAATTAAATATTTATAAGTAAAATTATATTTTTTATAGTATTTACTTAGTTAATAACAAATGACTTTTACTTTTCTCTGTAGAAGACAGTAAAAGTCCTTTATTACCAATTGAGTAACAGTAAAAAAAATATATAATTAATTTTATTATTTTATTAATTAACTCGATTTTTAAATTTTGTTTATATATCTACACAATTAAGTAATTTTTTCTAAAGTTTTATTGAAAATATTGGAACGATCACTTCAAATTTTATAGAAGTATTATAATGCATAAATGAATATCTTTATATTTTATCTCATGATGTATAAAAATTAGATTAATTAAAACAAAAAACAATAATAACCATAATTAGATATATCTTATTTATCATATGTAATATTGTATACTCAATAGGTAAGAGGGCTTTCTTTTATATCACTTTAAATTCAAATGCAAATCGGCTTTCGAAATACATTCATAGTGCTGTTGCCATCTAAGTCGCGAATTAATGGACGGCATAGAGTGTTCCCGCAAGATCCTCCGGTCGGTTAACAAGCACTGCGACATTTAGTGACCGTCGACAGGGGATAGGGAATGTTAACATTTCCAGTCCCTAATAAGAAATACAATAATGATAGTGCCATAATTAGATCGACCGATCGCCAAGTGGCGAGTTGACTCTCCCCGCGCGCGGACGTGGGCATGTCTGAGCATTCAGGATTTACATTTTTCTTTTTTTGGTACTTTTTATACATTAAATTGATAATGAATTCTTATATACTTTAATTAAAATACCGACTGAATAAAGCTTTTTTTGTAGAGGGACGTACAGTATACACGTTTTCTCTGTTTTACCTAAGCTCTACATGTATATACAATTAAAACAATTTACGCAAATTGAGTAATTTTTTTATTTTATTAGTTATCTTCATTTTAATAGGTGTGCATTGGTTAAATGTATTCCAACTTCTCACCAATGACTTTTAGATTGATATTATATTGCAAAATGTGTATCGTATGAAACGTATTAATGATACTGCTTGAATTCTTTATTAGTTAGTATTATAATGTAATACTTTCGTATTCAATCACGTCTTTATAAATCTGGTGAATTATCCCCTTCCCCTTCACTGCAAAAGATGTTCAAAACATTTGCTTCTGTAACTACTTTTATCTATTTTGCCAGTGCTCACCAGAGTATTATAAAAATATAGTTCTAATATCACTTAATTTTCATATAATGCTGGTAAAACAGAGAATATACAGTCATTTCATCTATATAGACAAATAATAAAATAAAAATATTAAATTATTGCTTAATTACGTTAAAATAAACAATTAAATAAAGAAACAAATATTTTTATTTAACAAAAGCTCAGTTGTCAATGCGTCAAAAAATTCGGCTAACCACAAACGAAAGAATAAATATTAAATGGTAACAAAAAACGTAAAAATCGAAAGCAATTAACTTATAAATGTAACTTCGAATTATGATAAATTACAAAAAAAAAGAAAAAAAAAACACTCGATCTCGTGCGCTCAACATTGCCCAGGTCCGCAATCGTCGACTCATCGGCTCTTGGAGAACGCGAGCGTCGAATTGCGATGATGTTACAAGGGGTTCATGGCGAAGATCTCGCGGGCTGTATCCTAGAACCTGTCCTTGCTACGGTGATGCGAGCCGAGTGTATCCATGCATGGCTGGGGGGAATCCGGATCACCAGGATCCTGGAGATACTGGAGATTCTGGAGTTCCTGGAACTTCTCGTGGTCGCGGATATGGGCATAGTTGGCCGATAAGCACATTAGGTAGTGGATTAGACTGAGAATGACAAGGATGGTGGCGATCGTCGCTAAGATAAACATCACCTCCGCCTTTTCTACGTAGTCCTTACAAAAGAGTTTCACTTCTTGAGAGCCACAAATTTGCATGTCGTCGACTCTCGTATTGTTCGGGAACATGAAACCTGTTTACAATGTACAAATTATTTCAAAATTATTTTTCCCAGTTTTTATATGCTACATTGATTCTTGTTTCGTTTTTTTTAAAATTATTATATATAATGCAATGTATATCACTATCATATTATATTATACGTTAGTAAAAAATTGTTCGTTTAGTAAAAACATATCAGTGTGCAAAAGAAATGGAGTAGTTATAGCCATGTTAAAAATTATATCTTTATTATTGAATGATATTATAATGTTGGATTTGAATTTATTAAAATAATCGCGAATAATGAAGATTTATTTTAATTAGCAAAAAAAATATATATTCATATAACTTACTAAATTGGGTTAAATCAATACATTGATCAAGAGACTGAACCCTTGAATTACTGCATAAACCCCAGAAGACTGTAAATATCAAGGTAGTAACCACTAAAAATGCAAATATTACGAGCCAGAATAATTGCAAAATGTAAGTGATGGTCATAAACTGTAAAGAAAAGAACGAGTATATATTAATATTTATATTTACCCTGATAATGTAATGCCATGTATTTACATTGAAACATATGCAATATAGTCGACCTATAGAATACCACAGGTAAATTTATAGTTTCAATAATGAATTGAGAATTTAATTAATTTTATTGTCAGATAAGCAATTTTCATTATGAAAAGCATTCAAATTCTCATTTCATCATCACAAGGAGAAATGTCGAGGAACAAAAAAATAAAATAATTAATATGTAGCAAAGGGAACTTACAACGGCGCAAAATATGCGGCCTCCAACTCTGGTCCTCCAGGCGCGATAGACCTTAGTTCTGGTGGCTCCGGTTGCGAGACAACCGACGCACAATATCATAAAGCCTAGAGCGGCCATACTTGCCCCGATGATCGCAAAGACCATCTGCACGGCCTCGAGCCAGGTGAGCCGCAGGTGGAAAACCTGGTCCATCATAAGTGCGCTGAATGTCGCGCCCCGATACATTGTGCCGCAGAATATGCCGACGCCGAGACAGCACATTATCGTCGCTATCAACGTCGCGTACGGGACGCGAGCCATGCAGTCGTTACACATGTTACCTACGAGATTATGCAGGATAGATTAACATCGAACTCTTGCCAGGGTGTCTGTTTTTTAAGCGCAACGTATTCCATAATTACAAGATTTGTCGTGCGTGGAAGTGCGTTTAGTTAGGTAGGAGGGACATTACGAGACTCGAAATTATCGATCAATTACATTGGCTCGTATTGCAACATACAACGAATCATATTACGCACTTTATTCCACGAACTACTCTAGCTCAAAGAGCTCAATTCAGATGTATAAATAAAATAGTATAAAATATACTGACTATAATATTTATAGCTTTAAATGGCTATGGAATTAAATCTTTCATAACACAGATGTAAATTGCAAGAGCATTCAAAGGGATATCTAATGTTCAAAAATAAGATACCAATTGTAAACTTATATCGGTAGTTTCTGTCTACCCTCCTGCTGTTCTCTCTAAGAATTATTTTTTAACGTAAAAAATTATTTACTTTTCAAGTATAATTTTTTAATTTTAATTTACGCATAGTTTATATTAATTCGAATATTTTTAATACACGCATTAATTTACTATATATTACATAAATATTTAAAACATATATTTAAAATGTTTAATTTTTAATATTTTGTTATTAAGACTCTAAAATGAATAAGTTCTGAGTATTTTAGTAATATTAATTAAAATGAATTATCTTTAAAAGCTTTTTTTGCACTTAATAACTTTTAAACGCATTTGTTTTTTAATTGCAATATATAATTCAAAGCTATAAGATGTTTATACACGATATATTAAGTCTTTAAAACTTAAACGTTTTAATATAAGTATTAGAATAATTTAAATATTAGAAAAATTAAACATACATTCTTTTTTAAACTAAATTTATAATAAAGTTAATTTTAGTTTTTCACGTAATGTGAATGTATATATATATATATATATACACATAGTGTGGAATTGAATTGCATACGCTGATGCGGTATGACACAGACGATCGATCATTAAGCGGGTAGAATAGAAAATAAATATACGAAGAAAGCTTTTTTAGTATTTCTTCCGAAAGCATAAGACAATATTGACCTCTGCAATCTATCTGTTGAGTCCGCTAAGTTGATTTGGGATGAAATGTATAGATTTTTTCATAAATTGCTTTCGCTGATAACAAGTTTCCCTCCACTCACAATAACAAGAGGTTATAGATAATTTATAAAGTTATGATGTATACGTTTATTTTTAAACATTTAAACATTTTGATAATATTTATTAAAATATTGTATTTTCTATAAATGATGTTAAAAATTTTCAAAACTTTTAATACTCTTCAAAAAAATTTTAAATATTCTTGGAAAAATATTTTTATTCTTTATGAAATTAAAAATTTAATAGCATATTCTTATAACACTTAAATCTCAATATATCTTTTACATAATCAATTAATTCACGCAATATTTTCAAATATTACAAAATATTCAACTTCCACCTATCTATATATAAAATTTAACATTTTATATTATAGAATCATTTATACAAAACTAGATTTTAAATTCTTATTTGGATTATCAAATATTAGCTCATTCTTATCCAATCTCATTTAATCTTTGATATCAGTGATTAAATTTTGAAAATATGAATAATTATTTTTTTGGATAAATGTTTTTTATTAATGTTTGGATTATTTATTTAAATTAGCTACAACCCTATGTCTACGCATTAAACAAATATTTAATAACAGAATAGATTTTCTAATTAAACTTTAATTTATAATTTGACAGATAAAAGAAATAAAAGCATTATTGTATTTATATTTATTATCATATTTTGTACTAAATAAATTAAAAACTAAAAATAAGGAATATTTTGATGTAATAAAAAATCTACTCTTTACTTTCCAGTTACCTAACCTCAAATAAATGATTAAAAACAATAAAACAAGCATTTGTACAACATAATAACATTGTGAATAACATGATATTGAAAATTATTAAAATTATTTAAAAATTTCAGAAACATTAATTTAATCACTTTAACAATATAATATAAAGTATCACATAGATTGTTATTCAATATAAAATAACTTACTTGATTTATAATCTCTCAAATATTTTGCATGTATACCATATTCTGAAAATGTATCAACACTAATGACACTTTGACACTTTTGTCTCAAAGGAATTTCACTAGCATTAGAACGAGAATGTCTTCCCATGATCACAGTAAAACCTCTTTTATTCCAATGATTAACTCATTCACTCTTACCATGAATAAAGTGACATTGGAGAGGTTTGTGTAAGTTACTGGATTGTCGATAAATGAAGAGTTAACTGCTGACTAATTCTATATATGTTCCCAGAAATTTTGATAAGATTACACGTTATCTCCCTAGATGATTTACTCAAACACTTATTTTCTTTCCTCTTTAACTGTTCTGATCTCCTGGTAGCTTTTAATATAGATTTTGTTTGTATTTAATCTATTTTCATTTCATTTATTGTTAATTTAAATAATTTATACAAATTATTGAAGCTGTAACAACGTATGTATAAAGAAATTCTAGATATATTGAGTATAATTAAAAAATTTTTTAACAATGGACTTAGAAAGTGAAAATATATATATATATATATATATATATATATACATATATATACATTTTATAAGCGATTTATAATACTAAATAAAGATAACATTAATTAATCATCAATTGTTTATATTTTTTTAAACGTAAATAATATATAATTGTATAATAATACTTTCATTTGTAAAATATTATTAATTATTAATTTATTCATTTAATTTCACTAATTTAATGTTTAGAAAGTTAAACTAAACTCTACTCTTAACAAACTACATCCTCACGGGTTGTTCATGAATATTTCTGTATATGTTATATATATATATATATATATATATAGGTACATGATAACAGATGTTTGATATAATAGTTGGTTACCATAGTTATTGAACAATTTCTAGAATAGAGAATTATTATCTTACATAAAATGCATGAAGATTAATTAGATAATTATCATTTTATTTAATTTGATTGTAGATTTTTACAAATAATGTAAAACTATGACTTTAAATTATTTTACATTATGAAATACTTTTATATTAAAAATCTATAAGAATTTTTGTAATGACATATATAATTTATTTAAGAGTACAATTTATTAAATATTTAAATCGAGGAATTAAACAATTTACATTCAATTTTCTTTTTATAAACAATAAATTAATAACTGAATCAATTTTTAAATCATTTAAAATTGTCTTCATCAGGTTCATTAAAATTTAATATTACAGTAATTAAATGAATTTTTAGTTATTTTCAAATTAAAGTATTTAAGAAATTCAAATATAAAATAACATTTTTAAAATAATAACAGTAAAATGTGAAATTAGCAAGAGTTTATATGCAACATGTTGTATATGTGTCTATTATGTATAAAATTTGGATTTGGCCAAGATTTGCACATTATATATTTAAAAGAAAAAAAATTCTCACCAAAATAATTGGTAGTAAATGAGAAATAATAATTCATTATCCAAAATGGGATTTTATCAAAACTTATAAATAGTAATAAGAATTAATTAAATATTTATTTTTATTAACATTATGATGTAAAATGAAATTAAAAATTGATAATTTATGGATAAAATTAAATAGATCCAGTTTCGTTACGTTATTTCAAATTAATTATATTAAATAATTAATGACTTATTTATACATTGAAAATAAAAATTATTTGTTTGTTAGAATAATCGTATTGTTGTGTGGGTAGACATTGGTGTTTTGTTTTGTTTTGATTGTATTACAAGTGTAGTCACGGCAATATCTCCCCAGTAATCTTATGAATAAGAAATTGATTTACAATGTTATTTAAACGTATGTAATAAAGAGCCATGGATGAATTTTTTGATGAATCGTAGTGAAGGTTCCTAAATCATGAAAAAATCATAAAGCGTCAAAGCATGTATTTTATTTTCAATAAAGCCCTTGAGAAATATCATTAACGAATCAATCCAACGAGATTCGAGGTAGATGGAAATTAACATAGCAACGAATGCAATTATATTTAAAAGCAAGATGACGATTACGAGGATAACTACGACGATAATTATGAAAAAAAAGTACAAGAAATCGGATGACCCGCGTAAGCGATCGCAAGATAAGGGCGTGGAAGCTCAAGTCAAAACAAAAAGGTCACACAGTCCCGAGATCCCGTGCTATAGTCAGCCATATGCGGCACATGGACTCACCCATGGCTCCAGATAACTCGAGCAGCTCTTAATTCCTGTGCGTGCGTGCGTACGTCGACCTCCTCCAGGAACAACAACGGCCAGTCGCGTACGAAACGGAGGTTAGGCTACGAATAAGAGCCAGTCTTGGCAGCAGTTTAATTCTACTTGTTAATGTGTTATGGCATACACCTTGCGCGCTCTCCTCGCACAACGTCGTCGTCGATGCCCTCCACTATACCCTCTTCCTTTTTCTCCCAGGAACGCGCGCGCGCACCTACTCCCGTATCACTTTCTAAATGTTCCCAGTGTGCGTGCGCGCGCGCTTATATGCAGCAAGAGACGTACGTATGCGCGCGTCGATGATCAATCGATGCCCTTTTCCAAACGGGCGACTTTCCTCTTTTCAGTGGTTCTTGTCTCTTGGGTTGCTGGCCGTCAATGAGCCCGAGAAAGAAAGGCACCTTTCATGATGCATCCGACTTACGTGGAGAACAGCCTTGTGTTTATCGCGATGCCAGTGCGTGCGCGACCTGACTTACGGACAGAACAAACACAACGACATGGGGTACCGGATGAGGGAATCCAAGATGGCAGCGGAGCGAGTGAACGATATTAAGCGCACATGTAATTGTGCACCTGTAAATAAGCTAGACGCTCGGGTTTTAATATGAAAGTGGAGGAGGAATAATATTGTTAAGATATTGTGTCGTTAGGAGAATAAGCCATGCTCGCCCGGTCTAGTTGAATTATTCCCGTTAGACTGAGTCTGAATTTCAGGTTTAACTGATACATAAAGTTTTAATTTTCATGATATTTTTTTCGTTTTTGTTATTTGTTATATTATTCGTGGAGCGTTGAACTCAAGTGCAGAGAAAGTACATTACCGATGTTATAGTTTTATGACAGACCAGAATTCACTGTACAAAAAGATAATGAAAACGGTTCATAAGCAAAAATAATAAATCTAATTTCATATTTTTCAATAACAGTTTTGCAAGAATAGCCGTAAAGTATATTATTACTGCAAAACTACAATGAAACGATTCATGATAAATTATCCAAACATCATGACGTTTATTTAATAATTTGTTCAAATATATTACATTTTAATAATAAAAAAAAACTTCATAGGTTTAAAAAACAACTTTGACATATTTTTATTATTTATTTTATATATTATGCGCGCGCACAGATGCACTCTATATTCTATAAACTCGTTATCATCTATAAGTATATAAAAAGATAGTCTTATGTAATTTATAATTTCGTAATTATCTTAATTAAAAAAATTATTGAAAAGAATCCATGTTTATTTTTACTCTTAAATGTAATATTAATATAAGAATAATATCCATTTATATCTATATTTCGTGATAAATATGTTAAATAAAAATCATATACTAATTTATTAACAAAAGCTTTATTTTTTACTGTTTTGAGTTTATGCATTATCAATAATTTCTAAAAGGAAATTAAATATATGTTGTTAAATCAGAAATATTTTCTTAGCAAATTTAGAATATGTTATGGTAATCTAATATAAAATATTATTCTATTCTTCCTGAAAAAAATTATTAATCGTTAATAAATATGACTATAAAAAATGATTGTGTATATAAAAAAATTCTCAAAAAAATATTTTCATGAATTAAAAAATAAAATTTTATTACATTTACATTAAATTTCAAGTTTTCTCAAATTCTTATTAATATTGTGGTTCGAATATTTAATATAATTCTTCTAAACAATTGAATAATGTTTAATTGTATAAATGGTTATATTTGTTAACGCTTTGCGCAGAAAATATTTGAAATCGTTATTATTTTAAATAATTTCTTATATTTCATAAAATCTTTAATAGCTTATCTTATAGAAAATTGTTTAAATTATTTATCAATTTATTACTTTAAATAAAAGGATGATGAAAATTATGCATACGATTATGAAATAAGTACGAAACTGGTATAAAAAAGGTTATTTTATTCAATATTAATATGAATATATATATATATAAATAAATCAAAAAATTGTAGATACAATTAATACTTGGAAATATTGTATGCTAACCATTTTTGCGGAAATTTATTACTATTAAGAATCATATAATAAAAGAAATATACTGCAAAAAAATATGTATGCACACACATAAAAATAATGTTTTACTTGTATTCCTATTTACTTGATTTTTGTCAATTTATAAGCACATATTTCGAGTATTAGCATATGTAAACAATGTGAATTTTATTAATTAAAAGCCTGTAACGAGCAAGGAACAGTATACATAAAGTATTAAACTGTATTATATAATTGATATAATTGTAGCATACGTTGAACAACGTATATTTAACGAACATATTCGGATTATTATTTTATATCGGGTGTTGTGACTATTTTTACGTAAATTAATGAATATTAATTCTTAAAAAGTGTCCATAGACTATTAATTTGATCTAAATTAAAAATAAAAATTACTTTAAATATTTAAAATTCATGGAATTATATTATTTTTTACAAAATTTATTTAGACTTCAAAAATAAATTACTTATATATAATTATGTGGAACGAAATAAAATAAACACCATAAAGTATATTGTAATTTATGTAAGTTGTAAAAAATCTAGTATAATTAAATATGTAAAAATAATAAAATATGTAATATTGTAAACTATACTATACAAAGTAAAATTTATTAAAGATACTATTGGAATAATAAATAAAATATTAATATATCGTACTTTATGAGATAAAGTTGAAAGTAAAAATCTTTGAGTAAACTTAGTTGGTGAATCTTAAAAGAATCTTTCAAAAAAAGTATAAATTAAAAATCTATATAACTAGAAAGATAATATTGAATTGAACTTAAGTGCATTGAAATGCAACAAGTTCAACGCGCTCGCGCGTGCACACACACACACGCGCGCGCAAACACACGTATATATATATATATATATATATATATATATATATATGTATATATGAATAAAACGGAAAATATTAACTTTCATGGGTCGATTCTCTTACAAATTTTCAAGTATCCAATAAATACTAATATTTATAATGCATAAGCTCTTAAGGATGTGCTTTATTATATTACATTTTCTAAATTAAAAGTACAAAATGAGTTGCATAAGTGGAAAAAGTTTTCAAATGATCGAGCACGTATTTTAAAATTTGTACACAATTTTGGTATGTAATTGAAAAGTTAAAAAGAAAACAGGGAGCATTGGTAGGGGGAGGCGGAATTGTTTTGAGTATATTGTTACTTGCGGATACAAAAGTCAAACATTTCTTTGACAAAAATCGTAACTACGGAAGAGGCCGACAAGTTTCAATCTGCATCATCAAAAAATTTATATAAAAATTATTCATTATTACAAATTACTATTACAAAGAGTATAATATTATTATAATTATTAATATAATAATTATTACAAAGAGTGTAATAAAGTCAATAGCGTAAAATCTAAAAAATATGGACGTAATTATCTAGGTCATAAATAGCCAATCTGGCATGTTATGGCTTATTTTAGGTTACGGGTACACTGTCGATCTTCTTTTCGTTATTCGCGTCGCAATTTTAGCATCACGTCAAATTTCTAATGGAAGCGGATACGCGCACAAATAAGGTGACCGGGGCTTTTTGCGGAATTGGAAAAACATGTCTGGGTCACGCGAGCGTAGCCGACTTATCTTTTTCTTCTGTCATTATAATAGAAGAATGCATTGAAAAGCACTTCACTAAACAGTTGCGATATTCAAGATGCATGTAAAGTAAGTTGGGATTATTAAGTTTAGTTTAAGAAATTTAGAATTATTATTGCAAGATTAATAGTATTGCCAAGTGTTTTGTATTCTCAAAAATACGATAAAAAGTTTGACTTTATGAAGGATAGCTGTAATTATACTATAGATCAGATGATTCGGAAAACTTATTCAAAGTGCATTCTCTAATATTTTTATTTTAATTATTATTATCACTTGCTGCATTGTCTATTGTTATTTAATGAAGAAATACTGAGCAGAAGTGCTATTATTTCAAATTACGATTCATTTTACATTAAAAGAAATAGAACTACAACCACTTTCGATTCATTAAAAAACGGCTCCTCTGCAGTATCCCCCTTTCGCCAACGTCTTATGTGTAATCGCGACAATTGAAAGGGAATTAGAGGCCTTCCTACGTGACAAATTACAAGTTGCTTCTTCTTTATCATCTCTTCATCATCCTTCGCTCCTTTTCGTTTGTACAGATAAAATTAAATAAAAGGTTCTAAATGTGAGTACCTATATATGAGAATAACCGTTTAAAAGCATAGAATGCAGTTGACACAATTTAAAACAAAAACTACTTATTTTGTCTTTCTTTAATATTTTCGTTAATTCCAACCCATTTTATTTAATGAATAAGTTAAAGAGAATTATTAAAGAATTAAAATGATTATATTGCGATAGCTAATTCTTATGAGGTACTGTAATTTCCGAAAGATTAAAAATGTTCATCGATGTCTTCATTTGAAATAATTATCAACATATAATATTTATTGATTATTTATTTAATTAATAATCATTTGATAATGTTGAATTTAGTTTTTTCTTTCATTATTTTAAATAAATTATACAAAATTAAGAAATCGAAAACGAAACAGTATGTTTCTAATTGTAAATAATTTTTTTATAGAATATAAACAATCATGAAAAAGTGGTACTTAATTAAAATTTATGTTACAAATTTATTAAATATCTATTAAGATTTAAATTCATATAAAAATGTTTCAGAAAAATAAGCAAAAATTTAAAAGAACAGATTTATAATAAATTCAACATATTCATTTTGATTATATCACGGTCTTAATAATAATCATACTCTTATTATTTTTGTTCGATGTTATATAAAAACTTTTTCTTCTCTTTTTTTTTTGTATATAATATTTTTAATTTCATTTTGAATAAAGGATAAGAGAAAAAGAAGGATAATAATATGAAAAGTAAATTATAGATCTTTTTACAAAATTTAAGTATAAACTTGTTATTTTAAACATTTTATTTAAAATTAAAATTTCTTAGTTTATAAAATAATTTGCAAGATTACAGATAAATATTTATATTTAATAAATATCATGTTTTCATTTAAATTGGACATACATTATTTTTTAGGTTTTTACGAGTGAGTTAAAAATAATTAAAGTATTCAACTTTCTCAAACGATGCTTGTGATGTACCCTTTAAATATTATTTATTTATTTTATTCGAACTTTCTTTGATATCGCACGTGTGTTAACTTCTATAGATCTCTTTTTTTTGTTGTGTGTAACCGTGCAGAGATAAAGTAAGAGTCTGGTTATGTTGACAATTTTTAGTGATTACGTACTTTTTTTTTCTTGAAAATATATATTAGGGGATGCAATATTTACAATAGTTTGCATAATTTATTATTATTGTTCATTCTTATCCAATTTAAAATATGTTGATTAAGTAATTATTCACGGTCCTATTGTATATTATTAGTTCTCGGGTTATCAAATCCAATAAAGTATAAATTTCAGAAATTTTTTTAATCCATTTTACAAATATTAATTGAAAATATCATTTCTTACAAATTTAATTACATTACCAAAAGCTGTTTAAAAAAATCATTTTTAGATTTAAAATGAAAAATAAACACACGTATTTAATTTACTAATGAAATTTAGGTGTAAATTTAGAAAATTAAAACAGTATTATTTGAACAAATGTAAAATGTAACATTTGGATAGATTTTGATTTATTAGTAAATATTTGCATGTTAAAAATGTATTACATAATTCAAAGAACATCATTTCAATCAACATAATATATAACAATAATAATCATTTCATAGTTTAAAGTTATGATTTATCTAACAAATGAATATAGTTTTTATTTTGTGTTTATACAAATTCTAATTAACACAGTAATTAGTATACATTTTTCAAGGAAAAAAATGAAAAAACCAAATACTACTTTTAGCACAAAATATTTCTCGAAAGATAAAACACAAATGATAGTCAAAAAATTTATTTAATTAGAACATATTATTTATTATTTTAAATTTACAATTTATTAATTTTGTATTATTTCACGATGTTGATAAATTAATAAAACACCAATAATTCTTTGTACTTATGAATACAATTTGAATTATAATGTAGTTCAAATAAAATATATAATAACAAAATGCATAAAATGAGAATAATTATTCGACAAAATAAGATTTTTTATTATCAATGAATTTTTTATTTAGGTCACAAAAATTATAAATTGGTTTTGACACTTATGTATAACTAATTTGATAAAAAATATTATTTGGACTAATTTAACTTTCTACATTTTCGAAGTATAACGAAAGCACTATATGTAATATTTTATTTATATTACAAATTTAGGAGAATATGGAGTACATTATAAACTTAAAGTAATTTTTCATTTTATTGAAGTATAGTTAAAAATTTTCATATTATGAAACGCAAATAAAAATTATAATAAATAATTCTCAATTCATAAATTAAGGTAAAAAATAATGTATTTACAATTTATGGAATTTGATCTTTTTCATTTTTACATAGCAATAGTTTATAAAGTTTAATTATGGAATAATGAAATAATTTGGGATACAATTTTTTATACAAATATCTTCTTAACTATTTTATTTTTGAGATTTAAAATTATAAAACGAATATTATTAAATAATAGTTTGAGTTCAGCAGCTAAGGTAATTCACAATTATATTGTACCTTTTTGGCCTTGATCATTTTTCTGATAAAAACACTAGTTTATTAATTCAGTGTTATTAATAGTCCAAATTAAAAACTAACTTTTACAGATTTTTATTTTTTTAATAGATACATTATATAATTAAGTTATAATTTGAATAGAAGTAGTTTCAATAAGGATTTGTTGGTAAAAGGTTTAGTATACAATACCCTATCTCATATGACTAAACTTATATTTGAGATCAATAAAATTATTCAAAACATGTTTTTGCGCGCATAAACACATACGAAGAAACAAAGAATTTTATCTCAAAATTATTATTCTTCATCAGAGATTACAGGATATTTTCTTTCTTATTTATTTTTGATACGTAATGAAGTTCTGTAGAAACGTAATGATTTTCAATATCAAATATTCTAAATAAGGAAAATAAATAACTTTTATTAATTTTGTATATTATTTTTTATGGATACTCTCTGAGAATTTAAATAATATTCATATACACATGTATGTTATGCTTTTCATATTAAAGAAAACGGCAAAATTCTTTATGAAATTTCAAATTTGTAGTAAATAAATTTGTTGGCACACAGAAAACTCTTGTTTATTGAAAAAATCCTTTGTTAGATGTAAAATTTGAAATTATTTTATGTAGATGAAAACGAATTCATAAATAAATATAAATTCATGATCTTGTTTATTGTTTTCATTAAATAATTAAACTTAAAATGTTATTTAAAAGATGATTAACAGGGAATAAAGCAATGTTTTTTATATTCGATTCTACCAAGAGGTTTGGTAATAAAAATTTCCCTAATTTAAAAAATTTAAGGAAATTGGTACTTCATAAAATTATTCAAAATTATTTTTCATTATTAAAATAAATATAATTATAAAAAAAGATATCAATATTAATTAATGAAAATAAAAAATAAGGATTATGGATACATTACAATATAATATGAATGTCTTATTTTTAATACAATTATTTATATAATTTATTTTTATCAAATTCTTAAATAGATAATATAATGAAAAGTAAATCAATACTTAGTAGAATCGAATTTAAAATTTTCTCTTTAAACATTATATCTAATAAAAAATTAGATTTCCAATAACATTTATTAAAATATTAATTTAAATGTATGTAGATATAAAATAATATTTTCAACTTTTCTTTTAAAACTTTATGTACATTTTTATTATAGTCATCTAACTTTACATATTTCTTTGTTTTGAATTAAAATAAGTTTTTTTTAATCTTATGATGTACCATTACCTTTAAAAATTTTTTCAATCAAACTAATTAAATTATAGCTAAAAGATGAATATGTACGTGAGTACGTCTTTATTATATTTTATATAAACTACTAAAAATAAAGTATATTATATTTATGTTATTATATTGTTGGTATTAATATCTACTTAAAGATATGTGTCCTAATGTAGAAATTAAATTTAGATAAAATAAAGGAAGTACAAGAGTGTCTTTAGTATGTTTAGGATAATTCATTTCTGTGTGTCTTCTGTATTTTCTATCTTATATTTTTATGCGATGGCGTCACTAAAACCTTAACTATGTTGGGCAAGTGACGAAGTTTTTCTTTAACTATCGATGGCATTTCTGCTACCTGATGTTGATTTTGGTTGAATCGTAGAAAACCACCGTTTGGATTCTCGTATAGTATCCCACCCCCATAATTTTGAGGAGTGACCTAAAATGGAAGTCATCAATTATTAATCATATTTCTTTAAAATTGTTATTATATTCATTATTCATAGTAAATTTATACTATTTTACATATCTGTTAATAATGGACAGATATATGATGCATAAAAGTCAAACATCGTCAATTTTTCTTAGTTTAACTTAGGCTAATAATAAAATGCAGATTGATTTTTTTGTATACTAAGTTTATTGATAACTTTTATCCAAGTTTATTTTAAATTTTTACCAATAATATTTTATTAAATGTCAATTATAAAATGTTAACTTATATAAAATAGATTTCTTTACCAAATGTCTATATTTATTTAAGCACACACATTTTTTATTATTAGGAAACTAGAGATTCTGTATAGAAATTAAAATTCAATATTATAAATTACTTGAAATAAATTATATATTTGTATTATTATCGTATTAATAAAAAATAATGAGAAGTGAAATTTCAGAGAATACACTTTTTAAAGGAAATCAGTTGTTTATTTTGTTTATAAAAGAAATGCTAGTGTGCGTGCGATATATATACTTACAGTGAGTGCAGAGCCATCCTTATAATCGACTCTAATGTCACCAGAAGGCGTTTGAGTTGCTGTACCAATTCCGGGAACATTGACTTTGATTGCTTTAGATTGTGAAACTCTAACTGAGTTGGATCTTCTCGAGCGCGAATTTATAGTTGAGACCATAGAACACGTTGCATCAAACGAAGGCATCTAAATAAATATTATAAATAATACATAAATTAGTTGATATATAAAATTATTTATATCTTAATAATGGTAACGACTTTATTATTTTTCGATTTCCCACAAACAGCTTTTTTAACTAATTGCTGAGAAATAATTAAGCTTAAAAGTTTGAAAAATTTTACTTTATTCTACAAAAACAATAACTGTAACATCACTACAATCTAAAGAGCTTGTGAATGCCCAAATTTAAATGTGAATATGTATAACGCTAACTTTTATTTCTTCTGTCTCTTATATGTCTTTGAACTCTTTTTAATATACGCTTTAAACAATCAAAGCTATTATTCATTTTATAGAATTTAGTATAATTAGTCTTCAAATAGAATTCAAACCAAAGACAAAAATATTCAATAATAATAGAGGTATGTCATTCAGATTAAACAAAATAGGATTACTTGTTTCATTAAATTCACAATGTCTGCTATAGGAATAATATGCGATCATACAGTAAAGTTGATAATGACATACCACGGGTGGACTGGAAGGACTTCGCGTCACATTTTCCTTGCCCTGCAAAGGCATTGCGATGTCATTGAGAGGCACTATGGGCTTACGGCCAATTATTGCGGGAAAGTATGAGTGACCGGTGGCGGTTTCGAGCGAAGCCAGCGTCGAATCCAGCAGCAAACAACGCTTATAACAGTCGACGTAATGATCGTAGTACTCCTCAAGGTCTGCCGGCACCTCGCCTTCTACATAAGACTGGCCCGATTTCTCGATCATTTTTACCACTTCATTTACGCGGATTACCTGGAAAATGACAAATTATTTTACCTTTTAAAATCTTTTGTTTTTAATCTATTTATTTTCCAAATAATATCTTATAATACAAAAATTCTCGATAAACTTTATTTTCCATTAATATTGATTATTCAATATTTTCACTTAAAGTGCAATTTTATTTATTTATCAGTTTAAAGATATTCTTTAATCGATATTCGATTACGAACGTAAAATTATGTCAAAGTATATTAATCGTTGAATTAAACTCTTATCTAAAAGTTGAAAAACTTAAAAAAAAAAGCTTATTAATCAAAGCTCCGCTAATCTCTATTACTCAACATTTAACATCTAACAGTTGAGTCGCCAACATATCGATAAAAGAAAGAATTATTATTCAATATTTGACGCAATATCCTTACCTTCATCCCGTTATAAAATAACGTCTCGCAGTCCGGGTGTGGTCCGTTCTCCATAAATAGGCACTTAGCTTTGCTCGTGTAAAGGGTGATCTTGGGTGTCTTCGCTCTAACGAGGCTAATGAAACGCGCTGCGTACATATATTTGCGGTGATGCTTGGTTGGTAGACTCTCGTACGAGTGTATGTTGTCGGCACCGCGTGGTGGTAAGGGTGGCGGCTGGTTACCTACTTCTAGTATCTCTGTCGGCTTGTAAAGGATGATGCGCAAGCCGTCGCTCGATATCCTGCACACTTCGCTTATGCGCTCCTGTGAAATAGGCAAGCTCTATATACTTTATATTGGATAGATAATATCGTAACATTGATTTTATCATACATTCAGCCGTAAGCGGATTTCATTTCTGATCATTTTTTATTAATATATATTACGCCTGCTGGCGTATAATTTGATATAATTGATATATATAATTGATCCGAATAAAAATGGCCAGGCGTAAACTTACTATTGTAAAAATGGCTTGGCATTTATATTAAAAAAAAAGTATTGAAATCAACTGGTTAAACGATACACGATGACTTACGAAATTGTTTTTTTTCTTTAAAAATTCAATGCAAACTTCGCCGTTGCCTAATATTGTAAGTATGGCACTTTTCGTTCGATGTCGGGTCGGTTGAAGTCTTAACGAACACAAAGCTGGCACCTGCAGCTTCCCACTGGATGACTAAAATTGAAAATGTTTTTATTAAAATAATAAATTAAGATAGAGAAATTCTTTTTATTTTATAAGTAAAAGTTCTCTTGAATTTTGTTAAATATGTTGCTGAAGTTGATAAAGCTATTATTCACATTGGTCCATACCTCTTCGGGTTCATCCTGACCATTTTCTTCTTTTTGCCGGTGATTACTGCTACTACGGGCTACCGTTGCCGGTATGGCCACCATCTCTTGTCTTTGTTCGTCTTCTTTCTGCTCGCTTTGACTCATCCTGTTTGGCGTTTCATAATTCGAAAAGACTCGACTACCGCAGGGTGGAAGTGGCAGTGGAATCCCGTACAGCACCGAGTCCTCCCTGTTGTCGTGATGAGATGAGTACCTTTTTCAGTAATTACATTCAAAATTTTTGTTACCTAACATTTTTATTAATTTACTCATAAACGTCACATTTATTGAACTAATACATATCTCTTTTACTAAATATTCTTTGGAATATAATTATGAAATAGATGTCTGGATATTCAGAATTAATGATTTGTATTGATTATAGATGTTTTAATATTTACAAATAAGCATCTTTAATACATCTTTTTAATAAATTGGAAATTTTTATATATAGGAACTAGAAATTAAAAATTAGTATAAATAATAATAGTATTACCTCCTGTGATATGAGACTTGAATGCTCGAGGAAGATGGCTCCATGAGGGGCTCACTCCTGACGCTGACCGCAGTTCCGTACCCGTTGTACATCATCTGCGTACTAGTTGCTCGTTCTTCGGAGCGTGAGCGTATACGTGGTCGACCGCACGAGGATAAGGTTCGACCTAGACCCGAGTCTACGTTATTACCTGATAGCCGCGCGAAGCCTATTTTGTCCTGTAAAATTTTATATTGAATTTACATTAAATGTAATTTGTTATTAAATAATTAATTTTGTTAATTATTAATATGAAATAAAGTTTTTTAAATTAGAATTTAATTTCTTAATGCTTTTTCTGTTTAATTTTAAGGCTTTTAATGGCATAAAAGTGTCAATTAAACAAACAATTGGTAATTCGTGATTAATACTTGAATTGAAACCCTTATTTTTGAGATGTTCTATTAAAGTTTTTGCAAATTGTACTTTAAAATATATTTTATTTTTATACAATCAAAGAATGTATAGCAATACCGATGTATAACAATCGATATACGAGTAGCTTAATATCTCACGGTTTACAATACGTCGTTATAATCAGCAAAGCTTAAATTTTTAAATAAATTAATTCAATAAATGCTTGATTGATATTTTCAATTCCTTATTACTTGATTTATATAATTTTAAAAGACGTAAAAATATTTAATATTTTATATATGTATATTAAATACGATACTTTCACTTCATTCATACTTAAACACGAATACAAAAATATTCTTACGTTTTTTCGATGCTTATCTAATGACGTTATGAATGGATGTTTAATGATGTCACGTAATCGAATCCTATCTTTTGGATTTTTTTTCAGTAATCTCTCTATAAGATCTTTGGCACTGTCTGATAAATGTAGTGGCATTTCATAATCTGCCATCACAACTCGAGTCAAAGTACTTTTTACTGCATCCGTATCAAAAGGTGGTTTACCGACTAATAGAGTGTATAACATACAACCTAAGCTCCAGACATCAGCCTCTAATCCATGAGACGATCTTGTAGCAACCTAAAGAGGAATTTAATTAATATACATAATATATATAAAGTATCAGAGCTCATTAATAAACTGCAAATTAGAAAGGCTGGCAACTAAAGTTTCTTATAATACCTGTTGTAATACAATGTATGTCATTAATTTCAAATTATTGTACAGTAATTTTCTACCTCTGGGGATATGAAATTAGGTGTTCCACACATTGTCAGGTGCTTTTCATCAGGGCGAGATAATTGAGTTGCTAGTCCAAAGTCTGCTATTTTCTACAATTATAGGTTTTTAAGATAACCAATGCATTAATAAATTGTAAAATAAAATATCAGGAATGTGAATTCGGTAGAATATAACTCACAACTTGCATATCACGAGTCAGTAATAAATTTGATAGGGACATATCTCTATGAAGAATTTGATGGGAGTGCAGGTATAGTAAACCTTGTACAACCTGCTGAATAATGCGTCCTGCTAAAATATTAAATATAATTAAATGTAGTCATAATTAATATTTGTAATAATAAATTTTAATATTAGTTCAATAAAATTTTGAATCATGAATAATTTGCTATTAACTTATTTTTAATAGAAAATTTTCAATATCAAAGATAAAATATCCAAAATTATTCTATAAAATAATTATTAATAATTATATATATTAAAAAATTATTATATTATATAAGAATTACATACCATCTTGTTCATTGAGAGCTTTAGAACCTTGCTCTTTAAAATATCTCTGCAGTTCTCCATTATGGCATAGCTCTAGAACTAAGTAAACATAATTTTGATCTTCAAAAAATGTATAAAGCTCTAAGACTGCAGGATGTTTAAGACGGGAATGGATAGCCACCTCTTGTCTCACCCTACCCACCATCCCTGCTGCTTGCATCAGCTTTTTGTCGATCTTAAATTAATATTAAAATGAAGGAAAACAAAATTATTATCAAATTTAAAGCATAATTTTAACTAACAACTATATTTTGTTAATTTTGTATTTAGTCAACGGTATTTCAGTACATATTAACATACTAATATTCAACATATAAATATTTTTTTTATTCATATTTATAATGCTATAAAAATTAATTTTATATGCAATCATAAACTTTTAATAATTTAAATTGTTATTTTACAACTACTTTTTTTATGAAATCTTAAATTTTATAAATCAGACATAAATATAAATTTCATAAAACCAAATATCAATATTTTTTATGAAATTAATTATATTATAAACATCCAATGGGATTTTTTGTTCTAAATGTTAAAATAAACATAACAATTAAAATGTTAATAAAGTATATATTTCATGAATTTAGTTCTTAATTATCAAGTAAAAAGTACATACAATACAGTCAAGTACATCAAATTCAATCGCATGCTTGCAACAAGTGTTCCCCCCTCCACTACGTATCAAAACAAACGCCTACTAGTTTCAACAAACGTTAAAGTTGATATACCATTTTGATCGCAACTTCTATGCCGGTGCGGAGGCATTTCGCCCTATAGACACTGGCGAAACCGCCCTTTCCAAGTAAATTCAACACTTGATATTCCTATTAAAATGAAAAATATACGTACAAATTTAATGATAGTTAAAAAAAATTCATTGCTCCTAACACAGATGTTGTAATTCTAACCTCAATCTGCTCGCCGAAACCGCCTGAAGAGAATGCCGGCATACTTTTGTTGCCGTTCGATTACGGGGTCTTCGTAAAGACCTCGCGTTATCGTATGAGCATGGATTAGTGAAA